CATGTCATGGGAATTGAGCAAGTTCTAGAAAATCCATTTAGTGTTTCTGTTAATTGATATTACTGTATGTTGGGTTGCTGCCTTCAGACACTTTCCGGAAGAGACATTGAATATCATTTATCCAACACTGGCGCGTTCTATTATGAAGATTTGACCAATGGAAGTACCCTTCAAACCAGAATACGGGAAAAACTGTTAATTACACACACTGGAGGCCAGATTTCTGCAGCTAAAGAGGTGAGTGCTTTGTACGTGTGTGTGTGTGTGTGTGTGTGTGTGTGTCTGTGTGTTTTCATAGGAGCATGTCTGGTTCATACATTTCCTTTACCGTGTAGTTTTAATGGAATTGTTCTGTAGCATGTTTTAATTATGCATGTTTATATTTTAATGTTTAAACAACTGGTTTTTATACCTTGTAACCCTTCCTAGAAGCCTATTTTGGCTGTAAGCAGTATATTTAATTACTTAATAAATTAATGTACTTAAATATTAATAAACTGCATTTTCATAAAAATACAATGTTCCAGGAAAACATCAGGGGGGGAAATCCATAAATTCTGCTTGGTTATGTTTTTTTTTAAAAAATCACATTTCAAAGCCTTGTCTAAATAACATTGTTTCTAGGCAATGTCTAAAAGAAGGCAGAAGTGATTCCTGCCAAACTTACAATTAATATTTTCCCAAGGGCTGGAACTCCGTGAGGTATAGAAGTGCTGCAGTCCTCTTCCTTCCACCTGGAATATAGTGCTTTATTCACATCATCCTCCCCTCTCAAATCAAAACAGGCTGAGTTTTCCATTCCTGCATGAATAACTCAGCCTGTTGTGATCTGAGTGCGGAGGATGATGTGAATAAAGCACTGTTGAGTATCATAGACAGGGAACTACAACGGCCAGGATTGGCTAATGATTCACAAGTAGGTGGGTTGTAGGTCAGGGGTCATTTCCAGACCCTACTACATGCAAATCTCCTTGTTATGTGTGAACCAGGTTACGGATGCACAACATGTAGGCTGAACAAAAGAATACTTCCTTGGCTACTATGAAATCCATGCCATAGGGTGAAATGCCTCCAGGCCAGATTTTGGGAGAGCGGTTTTGAAGAGTGGGATGACCCTGCCGTAAGCACAGAAGCAGATGCTGCTTGTGCATGGACAGTACTGGATATCACCCATACTTTTAGCAATACATTGATTAGAATCAGAATATTATTTCAGATATATTGTTTTGCCTGGAAATATACAGTGGTACCTTAGGTTACAAACACTTCGGGTTACAGACTCCGCTAACCCGGAAGTAGTACCTCAGGTTAAGAACTTTACCTCAGGATGAGAACAGAAATCACACACCGGTGGCACGGGAGGCCCCATTAGCTAAAGCAGTACCTCAGGTTAAGAACAAACCTTCGGAACGAACTAAGTTCGTAACCAGAGGTACCACTGTATATGAAATCAATCAAAAGGTGGTGGCTTCAGTCTTCGGTAGTATCTAGTGTTGGGTAGACACGAAGGGAGCCAAAGGTTAACACACATTCCTAGGAAACTTGGTAATTACAATCTACTAACTTATAAGTACCATAGTTGTCATATTATAATAACAAACATACCATATCAGGATTGAGCAAGTAAAGTTACCCAATGAGATGGAAAGAATGTGACATTAGTTCAGCAAGAGATTATATCTGCCTAAAATTAAAATGTAGCTGAAGCAAATTCCCTGTTAAGAGAGGCTAGATTCCACCTCCTCCAGCCAGCTGCTTCCAGTAACTCTCGCCAGAGAAGAATTGAGGTTTCCTTGGGCTGATGTCCAATAACACACTAAAATAAGGGGCTGAGTTCTTCAGCCATGAGCGGGATCATATGAGAAGGATCTAAGCACTAAGAAATAAGCTCCAGCTGTGTTTTGAAGAAACTTAGAAAGGTCAGACAAGTATTTGTCAAGTTGCCATTTGGTTTGCTTTTTCTTTTTAGGTGGAAAAACGGTATGTGGCTGGGCAAGCTATCCTCGAATGGGACATCGTTGCTTCCAATGGGGTCATCCATGTCATCACAGCACCTCTGAAGGCTCCTCCTGTGCCCCATGTAAGTCTTGTGCAACTGGTCTCTTTTGTTAACTCACTTGCTGGTCAACTGGAAAACTGAACAAATAGTTCCACGTCTTCTTTGGAAACAGATATGAGCTTTGATAAGAGTGCATACAGATGTCTCTAGCTTCAGCAGGGAGCCTGCTACAAAAGTGCACTCACTTTATTTGGTGCACGTAATGGTTTCTCTCCCAGATGTATCTCAGGGGAAATGGTCCCGCACCCTGCAACTCACCTAGGTAATTTGCAGCAGAATATGGATTTCCACTGCACTTTGGCTGGCCGTCGTATCATTCACAGAGCGATTCCTCATCCTTTGTGAAGCAGGACAGCTTACTACAGTCTTGACCCCTTCATGCATTCGTTAAACTTAAGCATGTTGGCTGTACCCACTGATAATGCAGTCCCCCAAGTACCTGCCCATTGCCTCATGTGGCCTTGGGAGAGGAAGGAAGGTTGCCCACCTTGAAAGGCATAAACACACCAATTGAAGATACTATTTATTGAATCTGACAAGGTGGGCTCTAGCTTATAAAAATGTATGCCACAATAAATTTGGGAAACTCTGAAGTACTGCAATACATGCTCGTGTGTTCTTTACAACTGACAGGATTATCCATATTCCAATACTTTAGACGTAACAAGATTACTTAAACAGCATGTAGCATCCAGTAACAGGGAGCTTTACCTTAGTCCCAGAAGCAGCTTCTTATCAGGCTTCCAAGGGGAGGGTAGCTGGAAACTCCCTTCCTAAAGCATTGGTTTTCCTTTGCTGTCTTCACTTAGGCCTCTCTACATCCCGGAATTGGAATATTCTTTGCAGTCCTCCTGGTCATAGGAATCATTGCTCTAATCGGATATTCATACTTCAGATTTAAGCAGGGAACCGTTCGTTTCCCATATTTCAAGGTAAGAAACCAATGCAAATGTAAGTTGACCTTCGTAGCTACCGCCTTTTCCTGAATTTTGACACAAGTTTTTAATTAGTGGCAATTGAAAATGTAGAAATTGTCCCCTGCCCAAGCACAATTGCTGTAAATGCTGCACCTTTGATCATGAAAGAGAATCATGACTAGTTTGCTTCCCTTTAATGTAACTATTTTCAGAAAGGGAAGACACAAAAGCAGAATTCTCCCAGTATTTCCCATTATGAACAGGATTTGGGCATCTTCATTTTGTTACCACCTTGGCCTGGTTCAGACATTATAGGCAAGCCATTGTTGTGAACATTATGAACGTTTGCTAGAAGCACTTGTAAAAATATCCTATGACTTCTGAATTCCTCAGTTTATCTGTGAAACAAACTTGTTCACTTACTTATTTAAAACAGCAAAAGGATGATATTGATGTGACCACACTGGACAGAGCACCGTCTTCAAACATCTCAAACCCTAACTATGAAAGCTCCACAACTTCAGCACCAGACTCTTCTTATGATCCATTTTCCGTAAGTTTTGATTTTGATAAGATATCCCCAGAACTATGTGCTTGAGCTTTTTCTGAAAAAGCAAGAGCATGTAATACGTTGCAGCACCAGTTTGGGTAACAACAGAGGCTGTGTCAATTTACCATGATTTATTCTCTGGGAACACCAGACAGAGACTTTCCCAATGTGATACCCTCCAGGAGCAGGGCTTTTTTTCAGCTGGAATTGAATTTTGCAAAAATGAGATACTACTGCACAGCCAGTCCCCGCTCACTGGATAACCAAACACTATCTCTGCCTAATCCTACCTCACAAGATTGTTGTGAGCTGAAAAGCAATGTATGCCACCCCAAGATCTTTGGAGAAATCACGAGGTGAAAATGACATTCATAAACAAATGCTTTGTTGTACTGATTTTCCAGGATGTCAGTAGGAAAATTTATGCCAAAAATAAATACTGTTATTGTAACCCATTCTTTTTTTGTATTTTATATAGTGAATTGCTTTGTAAATTAGTATTAAATTTGAATATAACTACAGCATATAAATTGTAGGTTGTTTTTTCAGGTTTCTGATGAACAACAACTGGTGAGCAGTGGTCCCCAGGATGAGATCTGATGCCTGAATGTGGAGATAAAATAAGCAGCTTTTCAGCTGAAGCAATGTGAAGATACAAGGAAATGCCAAGAATTGTCTGGCTTTAGGGAGGGATGTTTGAAGACTATGGTAAATTCTCAGCAAAGTTGCTGAAGGTAGTTCGGTTTCTTTCAACGCTGTTTTACTATTACATTGTACAGTTCCTGCGTTCCTGACATCCAGCTGTTCTTCAGGATTTTCTACTGTTCTGCTTTTAACTCATAATTTTCATGGGGAAAGGAGTGTTCCTTATCATATGCTGCAGATATAGTTAGCTATACATTTAAAAAACAAAATAATGCATAATCGTGAACATGGGATTGCTGACTTTGCTTGACTGAAATTTGCTCTTGTAGGGGGCCCTGAATTTTATGCTTTTAAAAAAGTTTATTCAGATACATTTCATTGCAAAAAGCGGCTTCTAATTTCAGCACCATTCTTTCCTGGCAAAGAGTTACTGAGGGCTTATGTTCCTTTTATTTAACTTTTTTTTTTTTGCAGGTTCTGGTGATTTTATTACTTCCTGATGGATCAGTGAATTATTAGTCTGATTGCCCCACTGTCAGTTTCCATGGAAGCAGGCTTTAATTAAATCTTCCTTCTTCCAAGAAGCACTATTTTGTTATAAAAGTAAATAGAGAATGCAAGAAAATTGGCAATTAAGACCTCTACACTACAGAAACAGACATTGGGGTAACAGAGATAGGACACTGGTGCCTTCTCCCTTTGCATCCCATGCTCAGGAGGCAGCAATACAGGCTAAATCTAGGAGTAAACTTTTAATTAAGATTGTTAAGAGATTTTCCCTACGGTTAAAGCAATTGCTGGATAATGTAGAGCAACAGCAAGTGCAGAACCTCTTTAACTGTAGAGAAGCGACACAAGGGTAGAAGTAACCCACTAAGTATCCTATGGGTTACTTCTACCTTTGTGTCGCTTCTCTACAGTTAAAGAGGGGGGGGGGAGTTTTTGGACAATATTTGCCTGCTAAAAGAGAGGGAAAGAAGCTAAATTTCCATCGCTCAGAACCTGGGAACGGGCTACCATTAAGACTGTTGTATTCTGGAGCTCTGCGTAGACTGTGAATAGACCGCTCATTGACAGTCAGTGAAACAAGAGTGATATATTGTTTCAATTACCCTCTTCTGATTCAAAAGGGACTAAAAGGAGTAAAAGAAACTGAGTAATAGTAGCTGAGATTTGATACTAAATATACTGGTGCAACTGTGGTCTGGAAAAAAGCGACATTTTGGACTAATACAATATAAATAGTAACTATTTCCCTCTAGAGGAGGACTTTGAAATTGCTACAAGGATTGGAATTTCCCAATTCTAAAGATAAGACTCTGGGACTGTGAAATTGACCTTGAAGGGCTTAAGTGTTATGGCAGATGGAAAAGAAAAAATAGATCCGCCAATCCAAGACAAAACAACAAGGTCTGGGAAGATTTGGCGAAGAGCTTCTACATCCGGCCCTCCTGCTTCTTCTGTGGCTGTATTAACGCATTCTAAACCAAAAGGAATGATTTCAGAAGAGGCCCTGGCACTTGCTTTGAGCAAAATAAATGAATCATTGGAACAAATGAATAAAAAATTGGATCAGAATACACAAAGTATAAATCAGAATACACAAAGTATAAATAGTTTGGGACAAAAAGTTAATTCAAATACAGAAGCTATTGAGAAATTGATCCAAGAGTCCAATTCAACTCGACAGATCGCAGAGGAAGTTAAGGAAAAGGTTGTTGCTGTGGAAGCGAAGGTAACCCAGCTGGAAACAGAGAGAGTCCCAGACCTTCAGAAACAACTCGAGGACCATAGGTTGGCGCTCTCTATGATTGAGCTTAAGGAAAAACAGACAAACCTGAGGATTAGAGCTGTACCTGAACTGAAAAAAGACTGCCTGATAGATTATCTCATGGAGGAATTTGCAGATCATTGGGACTTGGATTTGGAAAAAGAGGAGTTTAGAATTGTGAGGGCCTTCAGATTGGGAAGAGGAGGGAAGAAGGAGAAGAACAGAATAAGAGACTGTTTGATTACCGATCTAAAGAAGAGAGAGATAAAATTTTGGGCTGGCATTACGAGAAGACTTTGGTAATACATCAGTCAATAGTGGAAATATTTAAAGATATCCCAAAACATCTTCTGGACCTTAGGTCCAACTTTGGAGATTTGGTTGCCCTGTTGAGAAGGAACAAAATCATTTTCAGATGGGAATTTCCTCAAGGCCTATCTTTCAGTTTCAAAGGAAGGAAAATAAAAATAAGATCAGCAGAAGATAAAATAAAGTTTCTGCTTAAATACGAAGAAGACCTGCAGAAGGGAATTGGAAAAGAGCCAACAGCATTGGACAGAAGATCACTAGATAGAGGATCAGAGCAAAGAGCATTGGAGAGAAGATCACCAAACAGGGAAACATTGGACATATCAACATTATCTTTTGGATTGGACCCCCCAGTGAACATGCCAACACCACCACCAACAGAAGAGGAGCAAGCTTTGGGGGCAGTCGGGGGGGTACCAAAGTAACCACATGATGGCGCTGCAGGTCTTGAGCTGGAATGCGAATGGACTGAACAGCCCAGAAAAAAGGCGGAGAGTATTTCATTTATTGAAAAAAGAGCATCTGGACTTGATTTGTTTACAAGAAACACATGTGACAAAGTTACACAGGAAGTTACTGAATAATAAAAGATTAGGTCAAGAATTTATCTCATCGGATAAAGTAAAAAAAAGAGGAGTGGTCCTCTATGCAAAGGAGAATCTATTACCAAAATTTATATTTAAAGATGATCAAGGAAGATTTGTAGCAATTGAAATTCAAACGCAAGGAGAAAAATTTCTGATAATAGGTATTTACGAACCTTCTTTATGTATGCTACAACAGCAGCAAGAATACTTATCGCAAAGCATTGGAAGACACAAGATCTACCCACCAGGGAAGAATGGCAGATGAAGCGGATGGACTACATGGAACTGGCGGAAATGACTGGTAGAATCCGAGACCAGGGAGAAGAGTCGGTGGAAGAAGATTGGAAAAAATTTAAAGTATATTTACAGAAACATTGTAAAATTAATGAGTGTTAGAAGGATGCTGGAATGAAGTTATATGGTTTTAGTAGAAAGGTAACAAAGAATTAAGTAAAAGCTGATTGATAATGGGCCAAAATGAAAAAATTTAAGGTTAGACCGTTAAGATAAATTATAGAACAAAAATTGAGAAAGATGGAAAGAATTTGCTGAAATAGTGAATTGAATTAGAATACAAAAAAAGGGAGGGGTGAGGAGGTCGATGAAACAAGCAAAGGAAAGGTAAAGATATGGAATATTGGATGTGTGTTTTAGGTTGTGTTTTTTTTTCCTGCTGTATTGTTGTATTGCTTTTCTATGTTTTTTTATTGTTGTTTTTTTCTTTTTTCTGTAATCTTTAAACTTCTAATAAATATCATTAAAAAAAAGAAAGAAAGAAGTAACCCACTAAGTATCCTAATACGTTCAGAAGTGAATGAAAGGATTGACTAAATCCAGCCCTTACCTATGGCTGTTAAGAGAGAGTAGGACATTTATATGAACAGAGAGTTGATTCTCTCTTGAAGTCACAAATGACTGAGGAAGGCTACTGAAAATGTGAACACTAGCATTCTATTTGCAAGACTGCACAGTAAATCCAAAGCTTAGCAAGAGCAATGCTACTTTTCTCTTTTGTTCAGATCCCACCCAATTATGAAGCTTACTGAATGGCATTGTGACTTTGCTAGCTCTTAAGAGCTGTTGGGAAGCTTAAAAAGAGGAATGAAGAACCTTGTACTCCTTGAAAGAAGTGTAGGATATATAATTGCAATAAACAAATTGTAAAATACTTTACAATAAATTGTAAAGTACATTGTGTCTGCTATTAAGTGACTAACGCCTCTGATTTTGGAGAAGAATTCCGGCGAAACTTTCTGCTGCTGGGAAGCAGTGCTATAAAAAGAAGAATACAGGTGTCTCCCCACTTACATGCTTTTGACTCATGTGCGGCACCAGGAAATAATTCGAACTAAACTTCAAAAAGGGCAAAAACAGCCTGAAAAACAGTGGGTCTACCTCTGAATTACAGCCACTTCAGGGTGTGGATCTACCCCCTCCCTGTTTCCACATCGTCCTCCAGTGATGAAGAAAACAGAGTCACCGTTTCCACCATTCTTGTCAGTCTGGTAACTACTGCTGGTGTTTTTCAAGGGTTTCCAGAAGGTGTTTACAGGCTTTTTAGATGGTGCTCCTCACTATATGTGATTTCATGTATACATGTGGTACCCAGGAACAGAACCCCCATATAAGTGGGGAGACACCTGTACTGAACAGGGTGGGTAAGGATCTTAAGCAGGTTCCCTGTGGGTGTAATATCACATCTTGTAGACTCTAGTCTAATATTCAGAGGGTCGTGTGTAATTGCCACCATTTCTCTTCGAATACAGTTTCATGCTGCAGGAGGCTTTTCTATTTCAGATAAATTTTTAAAACCAACAATTACGACTTCCAGACTATAATCTTAATGAATGTGACAAGACATTTATTGCATGATGTTGTACCAGAGACATTTTGGGATACAAAAAAGAAAATTTATCTGGCAATTTCTATTTTTGGGGAAGTCAGTTTGTCAAGAAGTAAACTACTGACTTCCTTTTTGGTATTCAGATACTAACAGAATTCCACATGGCTACAATATCAGAAGTTGTGGGTGCTACAATAAGTGATTACAGTGCTTTTAAATAACAGCAGTAACAGAAATGAGCAAATGTTAGTTTGCAGCTGGTTAGGCCCCAATCACTTCACATGCAAGATCATTTTACAATATACGACATTATGTAGCAGCAAATCAGCACCAGTTAATATACTTTGTATACAAAGAAATAAAAGTAATCTGCAATAGAAGTAGTTTTCTACAAAGCGATTTTGTACAAAAATTATGTGTGGAGAAGGAGTACACAACACTGGATAGTGTTCTCATAAACCCTTAAAACACTTTATGCCATAATTTTCTAGAATACAAACTAATTCCATTCTTTAACATCTTATACAAATACAGTCTTTTAAAGGGGCTTTGGAAGCCTAGAATATTAGATTCATTTCAAGTAACACCAAGTCTTGGTTATGCTTTAACAATCAAGTCCAATCCCTTGGATTTTCTGTTTAAAGGGCTTTTCCCTCTTCTTTAAAAGCAATAAAACAGAGGCGACTGTTCTGATAAAGCTTTACCAATGACTCAGCCGAGTTTCATCCACTCTAGCACAGAGCATTAAGGTGGTGAGTGGCAGTTATGCATTCCAAGTATAACATTTACAGGCAGAAAAACATCCCCGCCAGCGTCACCAAAAGACAAGCTCAAGCCCCTCCGCGTAAGATGGCAATTAGGCGACATGGCCAGCACATCATAAGAACACAGGAAACTGCCTAATACCAAGTCTGATCAGTGGTGTTGGCAGTGGCTAGCAGTGGCTCTCCAGTGTCCCAGGTAGGGACCTTTCTCGAACCCCTGACTGGGATTGGCAGGGTTTGAACCTGGGGGTTGTATGCCTGCATGCAAAGCAGATGCTCTGCCACTAAGCCACAGCCTCTCCACTCCTCAGAAAACTAAGTAAGTCTGTGTCGATACAAAAACAATTATAAAAAGTAGGGGAAATACTTAATGCCAGAAAGGGAGCTCCTTGGTGCTTTAGGGGATCACTGCGAAGAGACACCAAAAACAAAGCTTGATATCTGAACACGTCTATAGGATCGTCCATGTGAACATAGCTCTCACACAAAATGGGCTTCATTTGCCCTTCAAGATATCAGCACATCATCCAATCCAATTGGTTAAATTCGCATTGCACTGCATTCACGTGATCCAGCCATTCAGGGATCATGTCAATGCAATTGAAAACGGGGGGGAATGGTGCCAAAGCAATAAAGGGAGGAGAAGAGATCCACACCCCACCCCAAAGCCATAGCTTTCAAGGCAAAGAGGAAAATTAAAAACTTCAGCTCGGCATTACTTAGAAGTCTATTTCAATGAACTGAAATCCCGGACCATATTGAGTCATGCAAGCAGGCAGTTCTTAAGCAACACAGAGAATTAGAACAATGCGATTAAAAGCCTCTCACGTACATATAAAATGTATACAAACTAGTAACACACAAACTTTACCTGACCAGCATTGGGGGGACCAAATTATTTCCTAAAAATAAAGAGAACAATTCTTTCTATATTTTGAAGAACTTCAGCAAATAAAATACATGACTTCTAAAAATAAAAAAGGGAAATTGTTTCAAGGCACCCTTCCACAACCTGGAGCTCTAGAATCCAGATGGTGAAAGACCTCAAACTCCTATCATCCTTGACCACCGGCTCAGCTAATGGGAGTTAAACAATGTCTGGAGGGCAGCAGGTTGGGGAAGGCTGTTTTAAGCTGCCAGCATGGCCAATGGTCAAGGATGATGGGAGTTGCATTCCAACGATAGCAATTTGGAAGGGAACCTAAGTTGTAAATTTGGACTTCAATCTAGCTTGCACACAACTGGTTACATAGCAACTACTGGCTCCAGGTAGAGAGGGTTTGTCCTCCATCTGAATCAACCCAGCCAAGTCCAGTAGGACTCAGATGAGCATTCAGATGCACATCTGCACAGAGACACCTAATTCTGCATGCAGATGATCTCTGCAAACACATTCTCAAAGTTGTAAATTAAATTTAGGTTTGTAAGTATGGCACTCATTTAAACTTTTCCCCTGCTTAGAAGCAGCTGTAGGGAGAACACAAGATTTCTTATCCCCTCATAGCTTCAAAATTTATTGAAATTTTATATTTCTTTTTCCAACTAGAAGAAAACTAGCTACAATTTAAGATAAATCCAGATTCAAAACACGTCCAGAATCCAAAGTGATGCTCATCTGGTTACAGTACACCAGAGTAATATATCAGGCTGCATGTCATACAACTAGAAATATCTTAAATTGTTGTTTTATGTGCAAATAATTCTTTTTCAGCAAATATTCAGCTGGGGGAAGGGATCTATTTTCTATTAGTGCAACATGACTTATCAGCTCTTACTAAAGTCAAGAAAAGAGACCTAAATAGAAATATTTGCTCTATAATCATATACAGCTATTATAGAAGAGATAATTGCTTTTAAAGATACATTCATGTTATGATAAATATACTTTGCTCTACTGAGACAGTGGAAAGAGGGGAGGAAGGTGGTAAAGGTTTGTCATTATAAAAACCAAGGGAGAGAAAAGAAAACTTATTTGATTTGAATCATCTCTTGCAGAAATGGTATTCTGAATGTACCAGTGCACAGTTGGTCCGACCATGTCGGGAGTTCATGCTGCAAAGGAGTCCTCCTTGGATAAAATGTGTAGTCGTGGTCATAGTTCAAAAGGCAACTCAAGGATGCCATGTAAATATCAGCAAAGCGAGACAAGCGTCTTAAAAAATAGGTTGGGTTCTGGTCAGTCCTGAATAAGCTTCCAAACTGAGAATTGAAGAAGTTCCTGGTTGTTTCTCTGGGAGGGGTAAGAAAGATACGCATTCTTAGAATTGTCAACCCCTTAAGGTAAACCAAGCTTTCCAAAGTGCTTAACAAAGATTCTTTTTCCCCCCAGTTAAAACCAGTTTATTTATATATTGAAACAAGGTACCATGCTATTTTGTTAACTGAAAGTCACCTTCAGAAAACATCAGTTTCATCTTGCTTCACAGATATCAAAGAATCACAGAGTTGGAAGGGATCCTGGGGGTCATCTAGTCCAACCCCCTGCAATGCAGGAGGAATATGCAGCTGCCCCATATGGGGGTCAAACCTGCAACCTTGGCATTATCAGCACCAGGCTCTAACCAACTGAGCTGACTTCTAAGTCAGAAAATCCAGGGGAGGAAACTTTGTCAACTCTTTCCCCTCTGCTTTTTGCAATGTCTTTAGAATGTGCTCCTGACAAAGATTGCATATATTCGTTAGTTTAACTTATGTACAGTGGTACCTCAGGTTACAAACGCTTCAGGTTACAAACTCCGCTAACCTGGAAGTAGTACCTCAGAACTTTGCCCCAGAATGAGAACGGAAATTGCATGGTGGCGGCAGTGGGAGGCCCCATAAGCGAAAGTGCACCTCTAGTTAAGAACGGTTTCGGGTTAAGAACGGACCTCCGGAACGAATTAAGTTTGTAACCCAAGGTACCTCTGTACTGTCCATTCAGTACAACTCTCAAGATGGTTTGCAAACCCATTTCCAATAATAAAAGAACATTCAAACTATTAAGCCAACTATAAATAATGCAAACAGCTAAAGAAAACTAAACCAACAAAGGCATAGCTAGTACAGTGGTACCTCGCAAGACGAATGCCTCGCAAGACAAAAAACTCGCTAGACGAAAGGGTTTTTTGTTTTTGAGCTGCTTCGCAAGACGATTTTCCCTATGGGCTTGCTTTGTAAGACAGAAACGTCTTGCAAGTTTTAGCCAATTAAATTGTTTCCCCAACAGCCAGATTTGGTATCTAGTGGTGTTGAATACTCTGCTGTATCTACTACTATTAAGAAAGGTAATAGGAAAAGACAGCAAACTGGGCACTGTCGTACATTGTTAAAAGCTTGTATCTGGATTTGCATTTTCAAATCTTGAAACGCATTCCCAATGTTAATGCTTACCTCATTTCCTTTCTTTCCTTTTTCCACTCGTGTAAAATCAGCTGAGAATCTGGATCCCTGTGAACCTGAAATGATAACAAGCAACCTTGTATGTTCTTAGCACAGACTCCTTCACAGGAAAAGGACATGAGTATATTGTAGTGTAATCATGTCTGCACACCATTAAGAAATTTGACACAGAGGGAAAAACGTGAACAAGATAAGAGCTGTGGCTTTTTAACTTGTCAGCACAAAGCTAATGTACTATGAAGGAGCAGGGGATTGTATCCGCCAGTGGAACAGGGAGGAAAGCTGTTTTCAACCACCACCCACTAACCTGACAGCACCCCATGCCTCCCCTAAACCAGCTCTGCAAGGTTCCCCAACCCTGGGAGTGGGAGGAAGAATTGCCAAAAATTGTTTCCCTCATCCGACTGTTGGAAGCCTTGCTGTCAGCTGTGTGACACCAATTAATGAAACCCATTACTTAATGCTTTTAACAAAGCCACAGAATTTTTACAGGGTTGTAGGGGAAGAATACAATTGCTTTTGAGTGCAAGAATATTTGTATGAAGACGTCCGTGTGTCTATAAGAGACAGCAGGAGAAACAGACTTAAACACGAAAACAGCTTTTCATCAGAAATTATATTTAAGTTCTGATTACACATATTTCTGCCCATTCTTAAATTACACTGGCAACACCAGAAACCCTAGAGGAATTTGTAGAAAGGGCTGGAGGCAGCTAGAATAAGCACAACAAACCTGCATGTGTTCCAGTAATCCAGTGAGAGTCTGAAGCCAGGTCATGGTCTGAATGTATTGCTCTGTGTTCATGATCTTAATCTCCGTCCGTAACTCCGGAATAATTGCACCTGTTCGCCAGCCGTGCTTTAAGGTCAAATCCTATTTTGCCAGCCAGGATTACAAGAGACAAAAGTGTTAGTGTTAAAACGATTCAATGTGTACTTTTCTACTCTTTCACCCTAAAGGCCATTTGTAAGATAATTCTTGCTTATACATAAGCAGCAGTTACACGCTAAGTGGATCAGCTGGGCCACTGTACAAATAATTAAGAGGAACAAACTAAGAGGGAATCCATCTGATACCAGGTAGCCAGGCTGGAGAGCCCATGGGGTAAACAACACACAGCTGACCAGGAAGAACATTTGTGTCAGGAGAACAGGGAGGCAAACCAATTAGGGGGGAAGTATTGTAACATGTGGAAATGGTAAAATATTAACAGAACCTGCGTTAAGCTGCTTAAACAGGATAGGAAAACTTCTCCTCCTGTTGTAGTAAGGAGCCTGGGGCCAAAAGAAGAAAAAAGACCGGCTGCAGTCCTCTGCAAACTTGGAAGTAATCCCCAAAGAGCAAGCATGCAAAGGACCTAGCTCAGTATTGACAACAATGACTGGAAGTGGTTCTCCAGGGTTATTCTCAGTTCTAAAGTTGATGTTTTATTCTATATATTATGCACAACACACCCTGGAATCTGCTAGTGCTGCATGGCAGGATAAAAGTGAAATGAGCAGCACTCAGTCATTGCATTTTTACACAGATGATATCCAAGGGACTGTACAGACTCTTTCACTGTCACTGCAGGGGAATGAGCCTGTCTTAAAAAATAAACCCAGCGAAAGACTGACATTTTTATACAGTGGTACCTTGGGTTACATACGCTTCAGGTTACAGACTCCGCTAACCCAGAAATATTACCTTGGGTAACTTTGCTTCAGGATGAGAACAGAAATCGTGCTCCAGTGGGGGGGGGGGCGGAAGCAGGAAGCCCCATTAGCTAAAGTGGTGCTTCAGGTTAAGAACAGACCTCCAGAACGAATTAAGTTCTTAACCCGAGGTACCACTGTACTTCACCATTACAAAACAATCTCTAACAAAAAAATAGAGTAGCTTGCTTTATTTTAAAGTTACTCTGAAATACATTTAATTCTCTACCAGCCCTCTGTATACAGAGTCAATTTTGGGTCAATGATGTGATAAGCATCCTTCCCAGACAGGAAGAGGGAGGCTTCAGTAATTAAAAACTCAGTGCTAAAACAGCACTTGCAACAGCAATTCCCTTACTAGCTTCTGTGCTGCTTCTTCCATCATTAGAAGTACTCAGATCACTGGGCTCTGCTTCTCCTATAATGGATGTAAAAGCTTCAAGGCGTAGTTTAGCTGTAGCCTGATGAAACACGTTGCATGGGCCCACCAGACAAGTCATTGGTCACATTCCTGGGATCTGCTGGGGCTGGCAGGGAGATTTCCTATGCCGTCAGGCCCTTCTGGGCATTAGAGCAGATTTCATATCTTACAGCTACCAAGAAAAGTGGTTTTTCTGTCCCCTTCTGCACCTTTCATGTGATTGGCAGGTGGAAGTATAACTTAACTGCTGGATGACAGCCCAACGACTGTGATGTAGTAGTCACAAGGTGTTTCAATTAATCCCTGTTTTAGCACAAATCATGACAGGTCTCTCTGCAACAGGCACGGCCCTCCATCCATGTGTCAATAACAGGCACACTCAAGGACTTTACCAATTGCAGTTGAAAAAGCTACCACTCTGTATATCACCTTGACTACCTAGTGGATAAGCGAGTTAAAATGAACACACATAAAAATATCAAACAGTCTAGTGCTGAGGTTCTTATAGAGGCCCACCACACATGGTCAGCTGCTAAAATGTGGAGTAAAGCTGGGAACATCCCCAAACCTAAATCCAATTTCTATTGCACAAACTGCTTTGTAATTTGTAACTCGTCATCTTATTTATTGCTATTTTTGGCCTGAGCATTAGTCTGCAAAGCTGTCCTTATCTCTTCCTCGGCCTCATTATTGAGATACATTAAGTAATATTTTAGCCAGCTTACATTTATAGACATGGAAAAGATGTTGTCCTGTTAAGTTTTGAAGTTAGAGAGAGAGAGAGTGCGCGCACATACAAGAGTCCACTGCAAAGTGTAAGAGATCTGAAGTACTCAAAAGGTGAAATACAATTCTCCACTTAAATATAACAGTAACTCATTTGAACTGCAATTATTCCCGTTTTAGGCCACTGTGCAGAGCCAAACGGTATGAATGTCCCAGAAGACCTGTAAACCTGTAAATCTTGGCAGTCATGATAACCCCAGGACTAATTGGTATTTACTGTTAGAATGAACTCATATGTGCTTATCTGCTTGCACTGAAGCTTGGAAGCCTTAGCTTTTTTGTTTAGCTAGTTGGGAAAGGAGAGGCTTCTCATGCTGGCTGCCTGTCAGCTGTACCCTTGTCTGAGTGATGGATGGGAGTGGGGAATGGACTTCTATCCCAGGGGTGGTTATAACTGGGTTATTGCTGCCAGCTTACATAGCTTGCTTTTTGATTAAGTAACCCATACATGATTAGCCCCCGCAGACAAAGCCATTATGCTTGCCACTTCGGCATGTGTCCAGAGGTGTAGTGGCAAGGAATCCTGCATTGCACTGCTGTATCTAAGTCTCTTGATATATCTCTATGATAAAGCACTAGAACTGATCGCTCTGGAGTTTTATACATCTTCCTTTGGGATCCTTGCAACTGGGTCCTTCAGAACATCAGTCAATCCTTCACCCCAATCTGTATTTGGACCCACAGGAAATGACAGCCATCCATATCTAGCCTTTACGTACAGCCCAAAAACTTAGCCAAGTGCCCTGCAGCCTTGATCCCAACCATTAAATAAAACTCAGAACTACGTGGAAGGTGCAATAAGAGGCTTATGTTTCCCCGAACAGAAACAAGTAATCCTATCAGGGCTTTACTCACTTTTATGGCAGAAACTTGGCGCATTGGTCTATTTTTTTCATAAGTTTCCCTGTTTTACAAAATTGTTTTCACAGTACGCAGGTCGTTTCTGTAGACATGACCAGTTTTTATCAAACTAACAAGTAGGGGAGCAAGTTACTTACTGCTAAATCGCTATAAATGTGATCGCCGAAATACAAGACTTTGGAGCCTCTCCAGCCAGTCAGCTTTAGAAACTCATATAAGTTGCCCTACGAGAGAAGGGAGGAAAAGACAAAATTATGAGTCATAAACAGAACCTGGCGACTGTCATGCTGGCAGCTTGCCCTCTCCGAGGAAGAGTAAAATCTTTGCTTTTCACATGAAAAGCAGATGCTAATATTATCAAAAAGAGACACAAGTGGCCTGATACTGAGTCAGATGGAGCAATGGTCTGAGTCTGTATTGTTTAAAATGACTGGCAGCAGTTCTCTCAGCCTTCCTTGGAAGATGCCAGGGATGGAACCCGGAATGTTCTATATGCAAAGCAAGCATCTTCCCACCAGGCTATGGTCCTTTCCCTAGAATAAAATGCATTTTTGCTCTCACATAGCAGCCCCATGGCAAGCTAGGAGGTTTATGCTCACAACTGTTGCCTATGCTGAAGACTGTCTTGCTCACCTCTTTCTAAAGAAATTACCGAAATCTACAGGGGAAAAATGGCTGCCCACTAGGGAACTCCCTAGTGGGGTCAGTCCCCACAGGGCTGACGATCAGCTGATACAGACAATGAGCGCGCGCGCACACACACACACACACACACACACACTCTTTTCAATGCTGCTGACTAAGGTTGCTCTGGATTTTGTGTATGTTCATCATGATTGTCAGAAAGGTCCAGTTTGACGTGAAAAGGTGAGGAGTATAAATATTTAAACCAACAAAAAACATACCTGTTTGTAAATCTGGCCTTTCTGCAGTTGATGGATTTTGTCCCAAAGCAAAACACCTCTCTCATTCACCTTGCGGAAAGGTCTATTTAAAAAATGAGAGAGGGAGTGCACAAAGATCAATGACCCAATAGTATTACTGCCGTCACCACTCAATGGAAACAGATACAGACCAGAATATAAGAATAATTTACACTCTCCTGCAGAGTCTCCCTGCCTGCCCCCCCCCAAATAAACAGCTTCAGAAGTGTAGGAATAGTCTTCATTCAGTAAATCTTGTTGAGGCTCAACAACTTACATGTGGATGATCCTGGAAGTCCCTTCCAGTTTTAAATATTGATCATCACTGAGGGAACTGGGTGACCAACCCTTTTGGTAAAAACCAGCAGTAGCCCTGGTGAAGGACTTCAGAAAACCTAGTTCACTGAATACCTGGCTGCTCACCATAGATCTTTAAGTCACACAGTGTGACTATAGTAAATTATAAAGCAGCCTGATTTGCAAAGAGGTCAGCTCTTAATCAGATGCCATCAGCTTTTATTACCTAAGTCTTTAAGATAAACTCTCAACCTTTTTTGGATATTAACCACCCATTACGTTCACCTGGCCTCCTGCATCAGCACAGTTCTGTTTGTTTGTTTTTAACTTCTTCTTCTTCTTCTTAAAGTAGACCAGAAGTCCAAAGCATGAGATTAATGCACATTCTAGTGCAACTTTTCTCAAATGGTGGGACAGTAACCAGCCATGGACCTCCATCCACTTTCAGGTGGCCCTCAGTGCTACGGCCCACCCGGGGCCTTCTCACTTGCTTCCCCTGCCCCTTGGCCCTTCCATGGCCTTTTGGTTTGACCAATGTCATCAACCATTGCTCCTTGCAATGCATATTGTGTAGGAACACGCAGGAGATGGTTAGAGAGAAGCTCACAGGGTTGGAAGGTGAGGGATGAGAAAGACAGGAAAACATGATGGGTGGACATAGGGACTGGCTGAGTGTGAAAAAGAGAAAGGAGGGGGGGAGGAAGGGAGGCGAAAGTGGTGGTCTGAGGGAGAGGAAAAGGAGAAGAAGTGCCCAAGGCCACTTTTGCATCCTCTGTCGCCTTTGCTTCACACATGCATGTACACTCATATCCCCACTCTACCCGAATTCCTGTCAAGCCAGAAAGGCTCTCTTGGCTAATTCTACAGTGTTGTCCACCTGCTCTGCCGTAGAACCACAAATCTGGCCTCAGGGAGCAGGAACTGAAGAGCCAGATATGTGTCTGCAGGAGTGAAAAGGGAAAGAAAGGGCTCCCTCCGCTGAGGGGAAAGAGCCAGCAAAGGTATTAGGAAACTGTGAGAAAGAGGTTAAAAGGTTAATGGTTTTAATCATCATCATCATCATCATCATCATAACTGAGGAACATGGGGGTGAGGGATTTGTTAAAGAACTGAATTTAAAAGGAGAGGATGCTTTTACAGGGAGGGACTCACCTTCTCTTGTCATTGAAAAAGTTTGGCTTGTCAGCCTGGACAATGACAACATCGAAAAGTTCCCTCCAGTCTTTCCCAACGATGTACTTCATGCCTCTGTCCCTGCAAAGAGCAAACCAATTTTTACTGACACAAATATTACTAGCCTGCTTTTTTTTAAAAAAAGCAACTATCGACACCCATTGTTTTAGAGAAACACTTTTGGTTTTGTACGTATGAAGAAATCCACCTACACAAAACTGCTAGGGCTGTTTGTGATGAGGAACATCTTCTTGCCGTGATCTGCCAGCTTTGCAAGCACTGCACGCGTTTGCTCAGCATAACAAATGTACTTCTCTACAGAGAGAAAGGGGTGGGGAGAGAAGGGGGAGAAAGACACAAGTTACAAAACCCCAGATTATATTATGTATATATCAAAGGAATGTCTTCAAGCTTGTGTAAATTCTAAGCCTACTCATGTTCCCTCTGTTACACTGTTTTTTGGTCGAGTACAAGCCGTCTGAGAAACGCAACGTAAAAAGGTTCGCAATGTAAAGAGCAACAAGAATCCACAGGGTAAATCGGGGATGTGGAACCTTTGGCCATACACACATGCCCCATATGAACTCAGACATAAGGATAGAAGCCTTTCTCTGGAAGGTGCCCCCATTTCACACAGAAGGCAACATGATTTGTCTCTCTACTCCTGTGAATGTCCTGTTCTGTTAAAAAGAAGAAGCAAAGGTTAAAATTCTTAAGAAGAGAAACTGCAGCTTGAGCTAATCATCTGGAATCCATGCCCTGTAATTTGAATGCACTTCCCACAATCCCAGAAGGGCCGGCAATAGTGTATATGCTGTGGCCAACGGTTGCTGAAAAATGTTGTTGACATAGAAGTGTTTCTGGGGATCCGCCGAAAGTTCCAAGGATTTGACCTGGCATAAAAAAACTACTTCCAAGAAAAAGCCCTCACTCAAACCCTAAGCTCCTAAATTAGTGAAGATGTGTTATCCCTGGATACCAAAGGTTTATAGCTACACCAGACTGGAAATCCAGACTCCCAAACACCCTGGCATTTTGAAGCCTTTAAAAGGCGCATAACATTTCTGAACTGTCTAAACATTTTTAGGAACATCTTGTGCACCATGACTTTAAACTCTAAAGCATCTAAAAGAATATTCCTCATTAAATAAATCTAGCTACCGTGCAAGCCTGATGAATTGTCCTGGTTTGCCACCTTTGCATCTAGAGGGGTGGCAATTTGTTCTGGCTGCTGCCTACATCATGAGGAAAATACAGAGTCTTGCAGAAATGAAGTGCGACTCACGACTCTGGGTGCAAGAGGTCTTATGGCCAGCATGCTCTGGAGAAACAGCGCAATCTAGCTTGCTTAGAACAGCAGTAGGCATAGAATCCTACAAAATTCAAGGAGTCCAGACAACCAGTTTTACTGAACCCTGTTTCTCTTCTTAGATTTGGAGAGGGAAGAGGCAGAAAACGACAGAAGTAGCAAAAAGCTGGTGCAAGGGCAAGTTGCGTATCCTTATTCTATACTTCCAATTCAAAATCTCAGTGAAATATCCAAAGTGGCAACATCTGTACTTTAACTCCATTTTCTTGTCACTCAGGAACACTGTTCTCTGGTGGCTTACAGGATCTGTAAAATAAATAAAAAAATAAAAGACAACCGCAGCCAGAGATTCACATCTCTTGCTGGGGCACTTTCGAGGAAATATGCACAAAGTCCTTCAGAAACTTGCACTTTTCCTCGTGAGGCAGGTGTAAATTACTAAAAGGCAAGCTCTGCAGCAAAAGTGTGAAAAGATGTTGTACAAGTGACTGAAATAACTTCTTTGAGGCTTTCTGGAACATCTAAACAAGCTCTTAGAAGCCGCACACCATTACAGTGCCCGCATCCTTGCACATACGGCCACCTTGCCTCACTGAAGATATGGTTCCCACAACACCTGTTGCAGTTCATGTCCAGATAAAGGTAGTTGCCATTACCCCTGACTAAAACAGGAATGAGCAATGTGTGTTTGGGAGATGTCCTTACGTGATGGATGTGGAACCTGTAGCCCTCCAGATGTTGCTGGACCTCCCTGACCATACACCATGTTGGCCAGAGCTGATGGAAATTGCGTCCCAACAACACCTGGAGGGGACCATGGCTTTGCCAACGCTGCCCTACATTAGTTCAACAATTCACACCGCACCAGGTGTTTGCAAAAGCACGAAGAACGCCATCTGTTAGAACGAAGAACTGTAAAACATTAACAGTAAGAGGAAAACAAGTTGTTCCTTCATAAAAGCTCTCTTAGCACTTACCAATATCTGCTTCAATTGCACTGTACATTATTCCTTTGATGTGGACATCTCTGATAGAGTCCTGTCAAGGAAATTAATGTAGATGAACAGTGAGATCTTTCTCCAACTGAAAATGGAATATTGGTGAGTGGGACACCTTCCACCCCCAACTTAGAGCACAGTCTTCAATAAGTATTTTGGCTGGCTGCTAGACTACCAAAAGCAGGTGTCAGGAAGTACAAGATATCCAGACACTAGGAATGGGGGTAGCAGAAAAAAACAGGACTAAGGAAATATTTGTTTATTGAATTTATATACTGCCCTATACCCTATATACTCCACTGTATCTCAGGATGGTTCACAGAATAAAATCAAAATATAAAACCACAAAATACATAATCAAAATAAAAACAACAATCCAGTACCCCCCCCAAAAAACCCCCACTTGATATAGGATCCCACTTGAAAATTTCCTCAAATAGTAAAGCTACATACAGTGGTACCTCGAGTTAAGTACTTAATTCATTCCGGAGGTCTGTTCTTAACCTGAAACTGTTCTTAACCTGAAGCAGCACTTTAGCTAATGGGGCCTCCTGCTGCTACCGCACTGCCAGAGCACAATTTCTGTTCTCATCCTGAAGCAAAGTTCTTAACCCGAGGTACTATTTCTGGGTTAGCGGAGTCTGTAACCTGAAGCGTATGTAACCTGAAGCATATGTAACCCGAAGTACCACTGTACTTGGACACTGGTGTCATCAGGTAGAACTCCTAATTTTGTCTAAGACAAGCCAAATTTTGCATAAAGGGAAGCTGGATTATGTAATACTAAGTTTTACAAACTGTATAAATTGCACAATTTATTTAATTCCATTTATGAATCACTTCTCGTTAAATATCGCAAAGTAATTTCAGAACAGCATATAGCTATATAGCTGGCTCTCTCTCCAGAATCACAGGAAACAGTCAAAGCATGGAATGTGGGGAGGCTGGAGGGACCCTGCCATTGATACTTAGAAATCCTACTCGATACCTTTCCATACTTTTTAAAAAAAGAACTTCTCATACATATTGGGCAATATCTAAAGTTAGACCCATATAAGCCTGCTTTTCTCAATGAGTCTACGCTGGGTATGACCTCATCGCCAATTAAATCCAATAGCCAGAAGAACATTTATAGAAGACTATAAATTGTTTTGCGGGCCATATAGTTTAGCATAGTGTGCAGTATCCTCCTCATTGTAATGAATTTGTGGTAGCTGGAAAAGAAGGAAATTGGCATATGCATCTGGCAGCATGAAAAAGTCACACGGATGAATGTTAAAATGGGACAACTCAATACCTTTACATCTTTGTAGAGATGAACTGGCTCATAGTCTATATTGTTTTTCAGAAAATACTCATTCACACAAGACAGGAGCGTCATTTCAGGCAAGGAGAAGATATCCATGAACTGCTTCATGGCGTTACCTTGTGAACTCTGCAAACAAGCATACATGTCATAAACCAGTTTTGTAAAGCTTTAGTTTCTGCTACTTGCATTAAGTCTACAGGAAACAAAGGACAGACACAACCAGACTGCCTCTTAGCTTGGAATGAGTCACATGAGAACATCAGAGAATGATTTTACAACATGCAATGTGTGTGTTTAAGTGTCTTGTGAAAACAGGTTCTGTGCTAGAAAATAAACAATTTCAGCTTAGTGACAGAACACTGGTGAGGATACAATAAAACATCCTTTTTCACATCAGTTTATAGACGGCACAAACTAACCTGTTCACTATCCGGCACTACATTAGCGAACAAAATCCTTATACATGCATGGAATCTAGATATCCACAAGCATTAAAGTTCAGCACAAAAATAAACTTTGGAAGTGTTGAAATGCATGGCAATTTTTGGAATTTCTGGCCAGTCAGAATATGTATCTCCACTACCATTTAGTTATTGCCTCATTAGCTTGGTGATACTCCACTGAACTACCCTCTAAAGATGTAGCCAGAAAAAAATTAAAGGGGGGGGGGAGGCGTCCTAATCACAGGTTACCTACCCATGACATAGTGAATGATGAGCCCTAAACAAACAAACAAAACAAAACCAAGCCATCCTAAATCGGCTACATTTCAAGTAATCTTCTATGTTTCTATTTTACATTTGCATTCCCACAAATCATCTATATGTTAAGGTGGATGTGGCTCGCACCATAAGATTGTATTTTGAAAGCAGCATCCAATTTGATAAGCAACATATTTCAGAATGAACATTCGACTACATGCACTTCCTTGCGATGCAATGGGTTTAAAAAATATTGTTTCTCCACTCTTGATTTCTGCATGAACAATAATAAAAAGCAGCAGCCATCTCAGTAGAGGAAAATGCCAGTTTGAAAGAGGCAGGTCACTCTTTCCATCGGCTTCCATAGCTTGATGACCTAAGTTATGAACTTTCAGCTAACAAGAAACGATCTGTTAGTTATAATAAAGCTACTGAGACATCATTATATATGTCATGGTAATGAGAACACGTGAGTCTATTATGCCATCATATGGAATTTTTAGTTAAGAGATGTAGTGGCTTGTACTTTTACCTTTCCATAGAAGTCGCTCATTTGTTCCAAGGGGACATGGGACCCGTCGTACATGGCAATGACTTCCTCATCCGGGACGACACTCATTCCTCTGGCAAGAGCAAGAATAGCTTTAGTGCCAAAGCCAACCTGGCAGTACAGTGGTACCTTGGTTTACAAACTTAATCTGTTCCGGAAGTCTGTTTTTAAACCAAAGCATTCTTAAACCAATACATGCTTTCCCATAGCAGCGGGGGACTCAATTTACAAATGGAACACACTCAACAGGAAGCGAAACATGTTCTGCTTCCAAGGCAAAGTTCACAAACCAAAACACCTACTTCCGGGTTTGCAGCGTTCTTAATCCAAGTTGTTCATAAACTAAGCTGTTCTTAAACCAAGGTACCACTGTATCAATATTCTACACAGAAAACCCACATCTTCTCTAGTCTCACATAAGCAATGGGTCAGCCTTAACCATTATGAATACTTCTTCCCTTATCTGATGTCACAGATTCTGCAAGGAACACCATGCACTGCCAACTGAGACAGACTGACAGTCTTGTTAAGTCAACGAAGGAAGCCAAGTTTTACCGCAATGACACATTGTGGATCTTAAGTTCTCATTTCTGTCCTAAAAGTTAATTAGACACTAATTCTTTAAGGCCCCAAGGGCAAAGTTAAAAGAAGGCATTGCCCCCACTTTTAAACTTTATTACATAAAGCACAGATTAGAAGATGGTATTTTAAAAAAGGATTATAGTCAATTCATTTCTAATCTTAACACAGCTCAGCCTCAATGACTTTCAAAGTACAGCAGAAGTGTGTGTTACAATCAAAGGCTGCCATGTTTCAAGCAAAGCAGGTACATTCTTCCAGATGAGTTCAGTTAGAAAGGATGGGTTTCAATTAGAATCACAATGGACAAAATGAACTTTCCCAAGAATATTGCAACCTGCAGGGTGCAAAGCAAAGGGTGACTACACACACACACTCCGCTGCATTCTGTTTTAATGATTCCTTATATTAAAATCCTTGCTAGAGTAGATGAGTCATTAGCAGAAGCCTAAATACCATGCAGTCCTGCACGGTCTTCTAGTACCATTTGGCAGCTGAAAGCAAGGACATTAGTCAGTGGCACGTGGTCGGCCAACCCTCCCCAGACCACAGAAGCTAAAGAACAGACTTTTTCACTCAGCCATTTCTTCAAGCAGAGAACACCACAACACAGGGGCTCATTTCATCCTATATATTAGGGACGTCCAACTCCCAAGAGACTGCGATCTAAAAGGTAAAGGTACCCCTGACTGTTGGGTCCAGTCGCAGTCTACTCACAGAATAAAAAAACTGGCAGTGATCTTCCCCTTTTGGGGGGTTCAGGTCAAAGTTGTTGACCTTTTTGGGGGTTCAGGTAATAATGTTGACCTTTCTCTAGAGGGGAAAGGAAAATGTCGCTCACCAAAAGATCATTCAGCCTCACAGCAAAAACTCTGCCTTCCATTCTTGCGATCATGCGCGAATGGAGAGTGGGGCAAGGCCGGATGCTTTTTTTTCTGCCGCAAAGGAAAAAGAGCCCGCGATCGACCGAAACCTCCCGGGGATCGACCGGTTGATTGTGGTTGACTGGTTGGACATCCCTGCTATATAGTAATAGTGAACTCACTCTTCACAAGACAATTCTTAAGTAGCCAAAACAATGCTAATGAGCCACAGGTGGGAGATCTCAGCCAGATTGTGGGGACCCCAAATATTTGCAAAAATAATGATTTTAAAACCTCCTTTTTTTGAGCCGGGGGGGGAGAGAATGTGAAGGGAGTTTGGTCCACAAAACAGCCCAATGAGGACTGAGTACAGTATGCTCTCTGGCCATGAAATTCTGAATGGATTGGGGGAAATAGGATGGAGTATCCTGAAAGCTGTCACAATTGGCTGGCTGACTAAACAGAAGCACCACCTGCTGCAACATATCACTGCCTGTCCCACTTGCTGTATTTGAACGTTTAGACTTTTGAATGTTTAGAGTCCCCTGAAAAAACAACAACCTCACAGCAACATTTTGCTGTGAACCATGCAGGTTAAGACTTACCTGTACACTGTTCCCAACTGAATATAATGAAAAGCATCAATCTTCATCAATAATGCCTTTTAAAAAAAGAGAAAGGTTTTACTTGAAACCTATCAAGGCTTCACAGCAGTATTTTGATGAAGTTACAGGCAAATACAGTTGTCCATGATTACTACAAGATTTAGAGCAGACTTCCTCAAACTCGGCCCTCCAGCTGTTTTGAGACTACAATTCCCATCATTCCTGACCACTGGTCTTGCTAACTAGGAATCATGGGAGTTGTAGGCCAAAAACATCTGGAGGGCCGAGTTTGAGAAAGCCTGATTTAGAGTTATATTAGAACTTAAGAAGAATCCTGTTGGATCTGGCTGTTGGCCCATCTAGTCCAGAACTCTGTTCTAACGATGGCTAGCCCACAAGCAGAAACGGAGCACATTTCTCAGTGAATGAGCATCTCCAGTTAAAGATTCTAAACAAAAGTTTTATTAGAAGTGCAGGACCTACATAGATGGGCAAGATACAGCCACTCTGGCCAAAACTTCACTTACTTCCAGCTGAGTCCAAAAGGAGCATCGCACAAGCTACAGGGAAGCAGAACTCAAGTTTCCCCAATAATACAAGATCTGACAACATTTGATCAAGCGTTAGGGAATACATCTCACAGAATGATGATATCAATGGAATAATGTATACCTACCCGATGCACATCATAATGAAGACCTCTTATTGCAAAATTTGGATCGTAGTCATACTTCCGGATTTCTGCAGGATACTAGCAGAATAAGGGAGGGGGGAAATTATTTTACCACAACTTATTTAAGCAACATGACCTATCCCCTTTAATCAGATAAGACAACCAGCTCTCTTCTTTCCTAGTTTATATCAGCTTGCCCACTAAGGGCTATGCAAGTGGAGAAATTCTTTTAAGAAATTCCCCGTTAAAAGCCCCCTTTCTGATAAGAGCCCATTTAGCATCTCTGCAATCCTTCCGAGAAAAAGCTGCCACAGAAGTCAAAGCTTTCACTATGTCCACTCCCTAGCTCAGTGAAATCTGCCTTATAACTCTGTAGTGTCCCCCACTCCTTGGGAAACATAGTTATTTGTCACTCCATGCAACATGGACTTCTGCTCTTCGCTGCCTCCTGCCCACCCCACCTCCCACTCTTGAGTCCCACATTGCTTATCAAGCACCTGCTGTGGATTAGGCAAACTGCTCATCCCTGGTGCCTTGCCAATACCCATTTCCAGAATGCAGAGATTATGTTCCAATGAAACAACATCAGGAGCAAGCCCTACCAAGACTCCTTACAGCATCCCTTCCAAATTAATGCCAGTTTTGGTAAGCATCTAGCTAAGGATCCATGATTCACACTCTAGATTCACTCTAGATTCACACTAAGGATGGCAACAGACAAACTCCTCACTTGTTTATCATTTGCCTTGATAAAACAGTAATCTCTGGGCGTATTACTTTGTGACCCCTGAAAGTGGAATGTAAGCAGCTAAAAGGTTGGCTCCAATTAGATCATGTGTGTGAGTGTAACGACCTCCATTCACTGCAACCCCCAGCACTGCACCAAAATCTGATCTGGAGGGCTGGGGGGACCCCCAGATATCTGGGAGGGGGTGCAAGGAGAAGTTCCATTGTGCTCATGGGAGGTGTTCCACTCACACAATGATTCAAACCAATGGGTCTGCAGTGACCTCATAATTTTACATGACTAGTATCCAAAACAAAATCTTAAGGCTCCTCCCCTCCTCAAAGTTGGCAACTCTTATTTAGGAAGGTGCAAGGACAGTGTCCCAAACTGTAGTTCTAGGCTTCTCCTTCTCACTTTAGTGTCAAGGGATGCGGGTCCCAAGCTGATCCCTCTACTGAAATAATGGATGAAGTCCTTGTATGGACACAATTTGATGTACATGGACTCACACAGATCATGGCCAATGGAAGGTTCAACACTGATAAGGGCAAACAGTGTGAATATGTGTTCAGAAAACAAAGCTTCTGTCCTCAGCCTGGCTACCTCTTCAATTTCTAGCTTTGTTTCCCTACAACTGAAAATCGTACATGTTAATTAAAAACAACACTTCTATATATTCTGTATAATTTAATACAAAAGGTGTTCTCTTTGAGCAGCGCATGACCCCGGCAAATATCTTTTCCACACTTTTTTCAAAACACTACAACAGTGGCAGAACTCTCAGGGGAATTGATCTGCTTATTATTATTTTGCTAGGAAAGTTTAATTTACAGTGCTCAAGCATTTCTCATGTACTTGGAGATGTGTGTGTGCTTCATTTTACCTGAATGTACTTCTTAGTCAGGATCATCTGTTGCCAAATTATAGCCTCCAACTGAAAGCAACCATGGCATTTTTACAGAAAACTATGGCTTAAACTGGGATGCAGGTGGCGCTGTGGGTAAAAGCCTCAGCGCCTAGGACTTGCCGATCGAAAGGTCGGTGGTTCGAATCCCCGTGGCGGGGTGCGCTCCCGTCGCTCGGTCCCAGCGCCTGCCAACCTAGCAGTTCGAAAGCACCCCTGGGTGCAAGTAGATAAATAGGGACCGCTTACTAGCGGGAAGGTAAACGGCGTTCCGTGTGCTGCGCTGGCTCACCAGATGCAGCTTTGTCACGCTGGCCACGTGACCCGGAAGTGTCTGCGGACAGCGCTGGCTCCCGGCCTCTAGAGTGAGATGAGCGCACAACCCTAGAGTCTGTCAAGACTGGCCCGTACGGGCAGGGGTACCTTTATGGCTTAAACACCTACCCACAACAGGAGGCAATGATATCGCTCTCCTGGCTTCAGGGATAGCCATGCAAAGCCTCCTGAGTGCAGTGGGAGCGCTCCTCCCGCTGCGCTCAGGAGACTTTGTGTTGCTTTCGCTGAAGCCAGGAGAGCGAGAGGGATTGGTGCGCACCGATCCCTCTCGCTCTCCTGGCTTCAGGGATAGCCACGCAAAGCCTCTTCAGGGCAATGGGAGGAATGCTCCCCCTGCCCTGAAGAGGCTTGGCATGGCTATCCCAGAAACCAGAACACCAAGAGGGATCACTGCATTCGCTGCGCAGCGATCCCTCTTGCTGTTCTGACTTCGCTTCACTGGAGAGGCGCTGCACAGCTTTCCCTCTCTGCGCAGCACCTCGTCAGTGCTGAAGAGGCACTGTGCGGAGAGGTAAAGCTGCGAAGCGCCCCTTCAGCAAAGCGGGAGGAGAAACGGAGCCCCTTCCATTTCTCCTCCCGCTTTGCTGGAGAGGCGCTGCGCAGAGAGGGAGAGGATATTTTTTTTCTTGTTCTCCTCCTCTAAAACTAGGTGCGTCTTATGGTCAGATACATCTTATAGAGCGAAAAATACGGTAAACATTGCCACCAATATTTTGCTGAATTGCAATACTGTTTACCATAGATATATAGATATGATCAAATTTCTTATTCACTTCTGCAGGGATATTTATAGATGTATATATTTAGCCACTGACCTTTGGACTGAAATGCAGAATTGGAAGCGTCTAACGTATTCATTCAGGAGTTCAATTCAGACAGTGGAAAGGAATAATCAGATGCAGCAGCACAGAGAGGGTTAAGCACAGGCATTTCTACCAGTGCAGTAAAGCAACTTTGACTCAGAGGACATTATAAACAGCAGGGCTCCTACCCTCAAATATAATTTTGTGCTGTGCCGCAAGCAATATGTTAACTGAGATAGTGTTAAAAGCCAATTTCCCCGTCTCATCTTCTTTCAATCAGATAAGGAACAAGACAGGACTTTCATAATTCTACAGAGGCCTAAGCATCTTTTCAAGAAACTGCAAATTTTAATTTTACTCATAATCCTCCTTTAGTTAATTATAATTCCCCTTCATTGTATTATTTATTGCTACAATGAAAAATCTTAATACATAAACCAAATGAAAAAAGAAGCTGTTTTTGTTTGTAAAAGTGAGTCGCATGTGAAAAAACTCAGCTTCTGAGCCAAGTGCCACTGTAATGTATTCATTTCTGTGAGCTCCCTACTAGACCTAGGACAAATCACCAAAGGTGCCAGAATCCAGGAGCTACACGTATATCCCACAGAAGCACAGAAAGCTGCCTTATACTGAGTCAGACCATTGAACCATCACTCAGTATTGTTTGAGCCAAGGTTTCCCAAACTTGGGTCTCCAGCTGTTTGGACTACAATTCCCATCATCCCTTACCACTGGTCCTGCTAGCTAGGGATGATGGGAGCTGTAGTCCAAAAACAGCCAGAGACACTTGTCTGGCAGTGGTGCTCCAGGATTTCAGGCAGGTGTTTTCCCAACCCTGCACATGCAGGAGCATGAACCTGGGAGCGTCTGTGTGCAAAGCACATGCCCCACCACATCAGCATCACCAACAGAGACCATATGTAGGACCTTATTTATTGCAAAAGGCATACCCCCACCTTTCAGAAAGGTGTTTGTCTTTCTGTTTTATGCCTTCTAACTACCTGAGCTCTATAATGTCTTCAATTCCCGAAATATGATTTATTATTTTTTTAGTAACCAACAGCATAAACTTTCCCTCTCAAGAAGAAACGTTGTTTTGCCCCGCAACGACTAGCTTTTTTGCTTGTGGAAAGTTCTGGACCCCAACAGCCCAATCCTACGCATGTTTACTCAAAAGCAAACTCCACTTGGCTCAATGAGATTTACTTCCAAGTTAGTGCCTCTGAGATTGCAGCTTTTGCATTCAAGTGGGAACTTCTTCCGGGCCACATTCCCTCCTGGGCAATGTCCAGGGGGCAAAAGTGGGCGGAGCGAATGTAAATTTGGCCTTCGTGCTATAGGCTAGTTTCTACACACATACACTCCTCTCTATCCTCCATCTAGGCAAAGAATACATTCAATAATACCTTCTCGTCAGGCAAAAACCCTCAAGGAGGCAGAACCAGCGAGGTGTGCAGTTCGAGAGGGTGTATGAACTGAGGAGAGTCCTGAGGGCCAAATACAATGAGTCATTTGGCCCCGGAGACGTAGGTTCCCCACGCCTGAAGCAGAGGATTACATACATGAACTGATACTGAGAAAGCTAAGTAGAGATCTTACTCCTATCTATGTATACATAATTCAGTAGTGCTGAAAGACAAGGGAGTTGTATTACCAAACATTTCAGACTGAGTTGCAAGGGTTGCATGAAGACTATTTTAGCTGTAAATGGATATCGTTTTAATTGCTATAGCAACCAGCTAGTATGCAAGCTTGTTCATGAAAGATATGCATTTCAGAAATGGGCAACCTGATTTACAACTGGATCTCGTGCCCATGGGCAAACTTTGGGCATGTGGGAAGCCCCATTAACAGGCAAGGTTTGGAAGCAAACCACACACATAACTCACAAAATGGGGGTTGCCGACAGCACCAATCAGCTTCGACAACAAGCCCCCTTGCCTGCACTCGGGGGTTCCTGATGGGGAGCGCCACCTTGCAGCCAATCCTAGCAAGGTTCACTCTCAGCAAGCCCTGCTTGCAAAGAAGCAATTACAACCAAGAGTTCACTTTAAACTTCTGGTGCTTTTCCTTTGTAGTCACATCCTTTCTGGCCCACACCTGGGTGAGGGATAGCTCAGTTGGTAGAGCATGAGACCCTTAATCCCAGGGTGGTGTGTTTGAGCCCCACGTTGGGCAAAATATTCTTGTACTGCAGGGGGTTGGATTAGATGGCCTTCATGGTCCCTTCCAACTCTACAATTCTATGATTCTATGATTTTAAGTCAATCCGCACTGACAAATAAGTACTAGGAAAGGAAGACAGCAGAAGATCAAGCCCCTGTGGTAACATTACTGCATACATTTAAAACATGTACTTCCACACCCCCAAATATCTTACCCGGTGTTCATTTATCAAAAGATCCCGAGCAGCATTGAAGATCAATGTGTGCAAATGCTTGGAATAGAAGACAAGTGTGTAGTCATAATCAAAGCCATAGATTTCTATGTCCGAGAGACTCATTTCATTGTTTGAAAAGATAGCATCTGGATTCAGCAAGTTACTCATAATGGAAGGAACCAGGTCTGTGGGAAAGAGACATAAGCACACAGAGAGATTTTCTAGATTTTTCAGAAATAAGACGTCCCAGCAAAATGACAACAAAAATGTATTCCAAAAAGGGATGGATCTTGCAAGATACACACATTACTGCAATAGTATTCATTAACAATGCACTTAATAAAATAAAATAAAATAAAATAAAATAAAATAATTATTTATACACCGCCCATCTGGCTGGGTTTCCCCAGCCACTCTGGGCAGCTCCCAACCAAATACTAAAAACATGATACAGCATTAAACATTAAAAACTTCCCTAAGCAGGGCTGCCTTCAGATGTCTTCTAAAAGTGAGATAGTTGTTTATTTCCTTGACATCTGATGGGAAGGCGTTCCACTACCGAGAAGGCCCTCTGCCTGGTTGCAGTGAGGGAACCGCCAGAAGGCCATCGGCGCTGGACCTCAGTGTCCAGGCTGAACGGTAGGGCTGGAGATGCTCCTTCAGGTATACAGGGCCATGGCCGTTTAGGGCTTTAAAGGTCAGCACCAACACTTCGATTTGTGCTTGGAAACGTACTGGGAGCCAATTTAGGTCTTCCAGGACCGGTGTTATATGGTCCCAGTGGCCACTCCCAGTCACCAGTCTAACTGCCGCATTCTGGGTTAGTTGCAGTTTCCGAGTCACCTTCAAAGGTAGTCCCATGTAGAGCGCATTGCAGTAGTCCAAGCGGGAGATAACTAGAGCATGCACCACTCTGGTGAGACAGTCTGCGAGCAAGTAGGGTCTCAGCCTGTGTATCAGACGGAGCTGGTAGACAGCTGCCCTGGACACAGAATTGACCTGCGCCTCCATGGTCAGCTGTGAGTCCAAAATGACTCCCAGACTGCACACCTGGTCCTTCAGGGGCACAGGTACCCTATTCAGGACCAGGGAGTCCTCCACACCAGCCCGCCCCCTGTCCCTCAAGAACAGCACTTCTGTCTTGTCAGGATTCAACCTCAATCTGTTAGCCACCATCCATCCTCCAACTGCCTCCAGACACTGGGACCTTCACTGCTCTCACTAGTTCTGCTCACATAGGACCTTCACTGCTCTCACTAGTTCTAATTTAAAAGAGAGGTAGAGCTGGGTATCATTCGCATATTGATAAACGCCCAGCCCAAAAGGATAATGCAATGGACTTGCAGTTCATAAACCATGTATTTCAAAAGGGGCATCACTCAGGGACTGCTACAGAACCAGTCACGGATCAGGGCACACGCAGACCTGAAAACAATGCAGTAAGGTGGCAGTTCTTGCAGGTAAGAATCATAGCTGTCTTAGATGAACTTCACAAAGTATTCCCTTTATGCTAACCCATTGGTTATTTTCACTTACCTGTATGTAAGAATTTGGCCTGTTTCCTTTCCCACCTCTCATCCTCATTTTTGTTCAACTGCTTTTTATAAACACAAAAATTCTTTAGAAAAGCACTACATGCTCTGAGGATAACAGAACGGCAGCACTTCTGATCACATCTCAGACACATGCCAGAGTAAATCCCATTGAACTCATCTATATTTATCTATTTCTTAGCCCTCTGTCCTTCACAAAAAAATCCCAGGACGGGCTTACATCACAATAAAGTTGTAAATACAATAAAGATAGTGAACAGAGCAGCAGTTAATGAATTTAGGCTTGTGCTCCATTCTACTTTCAGAATAATTTAAACTGTTTATTAGTAAGATATAGTGTGTGTGTGTGTGTGTGTGTGTGTGTGTGTGTGTGGTTGGACAATGTTCTCAAAGCTGCCAGCATGAGTTTGACGAAACTGCGGGAAGAAGTGGAAGACGGGATGCCTGGCATGCTCTGGTCCATGGGGTCACGAAGAGTCGGACACAACTGAACAACTAAACAAGTGTGTGTGTGTGTGTGTCCCACTAGTGTGTATGTGTCCCACTAGTGTGCTGATGGTGCCATAGATCCTTATTCAAGAGGCAGAGTTTGCTATTTGTGCATAGGGTAGTTAATATTTGCAGAATGCCTTCCAAATGCTTTGGCATGCAATCCTTACAACAAAGTAAAATCAGAATTGTTATCTCCCACATTGCAAAAAGGGGGGGGGGGATGATGAGGTTGAGTCTTAACCGCTATGTCAGCCCTCAGATCCTTTTCTTCAAACTGTTTGAGAGAGACTAGCAACGATCTAGGTCAAACAAAATAATTGCTTGGAAATCCTTACCTAATTAGGCAGATGGGAGAATATATTTAAAGTAGTACCCAGAACCTGGAACTGCATGACGCAATCAGCATTAAAAAAAAAAAAAATGCATACCAGAAGCGCAGCATTTTGAAACAACCATAACTGCGCCCAGGAACATTATGCATCCACCTCACTTAGACAAAGCAAGAACAATTTGTGTATTTCTGGCTGCAAATAAAGCACAGAGCCACAACAGAAGGCTTCACTAATCTTAAAAGCTGTAAGCAAACTGCAGCCAGCCTGAAAATCCTGCTTAGACAATCTGCGTGAAAAAGTTTCCACCCATCCTAATTCATATGGGACTGTATCTTGAACAGGCACCTTACCGAGTATATTCACAGTGATTACACACGTTCAGGAAGGTCACATTTTTGGGTCTTGTGGTGCACTAAGATTCATGGCACAAGAACTTCTGGACCTTTCTAGCATGGGGGGTTACAGAGCAGATAGGGAGCCAATACTGGAATCAAACAGATGTTTTATTACGGAGACCAAAAAAATAGGTGACACAACAAGGCAGCATTCAGACCAGTCCAGCAACTATTTGGTTAAATGTATGGAAGATTAGTTATAAAGTAAATGAATGTATTTCCAAAAGACAAGCTCAATTGGGTTAGGAGGAGATTCCTGGTGGTAAACAACACTTTGCTAGGGGGACAGCATGGGTAACTTGCTTGAAAGTTGAAAGAGACAGACAGAGAGAGAGAGATAGAGAGAGAGAGAGAGAGAGAGAGAGAGAGAGAGAAAGGGTTCTGAATTAGAGAATCTTTAATGAAAACATTTTGTTTAAAAAAAAAGAATAATAAATAATAAATAATAATAATAATAATAATTTATTATTTATACCCCGCCCATCTGGCTGGGCTTCCCCAGACACTCTGGGCGGCTTCCAACCAAATATTAAAATAAAGTAATACATCAAACATTAAAAGCTTCCCTAAACAGGAAGAAAAAGAAGAGAACCCCAAATGCAGAATGTTACCTACCCAATGCAGGAAGGAAAAATGGTTTCTTCTTCAGAAAGAAAGAGCCATGAAAGATGTGGTTCAGGAGGCTATTCTCTGGGACCAGTCCATTGGACTTGCGTTTTCAAGTCTGCAGAAGTGGGAACTGAGGAGCAAGGGAAGTCCTTTCAGGTCCTTTTAACCTTGTGCTTTATGTGCATTTATTGGATAGAGGCTTAGAATGACAACATAAGGCTATGCGTTCCCCAGAGCCCTGACTCAACTCGAGTACAAAATAAAGTTAGCAGTGGTGAACAAAACAAGGAGAAGCGTAGAAGGATGTGTGAAGCTAACTGAATCTGGGCCAACTTCAAACAAAATGGGCCAAATTGGAACAGTGATTTGTGGGTGCTTTAAAAAACAACAACAGATTAAGCTATATGAGAGAGGGGAGATTCTGCTTCCCATTGTAATTGAGAGACTGGTCCCAAGTTGCAGGAAGTTTTCTTAAAATAAAAATCACAGAGCATGATGTTGTTCATTGCATTAAATTGAAAGAGCAGCTGTATTTGTCTTAGCACAACTCTGTGCTGATGAATGATCTAACTTGTGGGAGGGGGATCTCTCTCCCTTTGTCATCTGTATAACAAAAATAGGCAAAGAGACATAAGGGGGCTAATACACAACTGTCCTTTCGGGCCAGGCATCTGCAGTGTTACATGAAATGCCTTGGTGACAGCAGAATAATTTTCCACAAATCATGTCGCTGAAAAGATAAAACAGTAGTTGCAAGTCACAAGCTATACTATAAAATTAATTGCAGTAGAATAACCTTCAGACTCTCAATTGCTTTAATGTTTCAGTTGTTATGCAATAATAAAGTTACTGAATGCACCTGTAGTTCTCTTACTCAAGTACCCCAAGGCTATTATACTAGGAAGAAGGAAAGAAACTCCAGTGACATAGTCTCAAGGTTACAGAGTAGAAATTTGTCAAACTCTTAAAGATGCATTTATAGCTACAGCACACATACAAAGCATGGGGGGGAATGGAACAAGAGAAAGCAACTGTTTAAATTTTCTCTGAAGGTGACACACCAAAACAATAAAACAAGAACATTTTATTTCCTGAGTGAACAGGACTGCTTTAAGATAATATCCTTCAAATGCTGTTTTAATTAAAACTGTGTTCTACTTAAACCAAAGGCATTCATTACAGTGATTAAATTACCTGAACGCAAATTAAAGGGCTGATGCCTAGGAAATTGGTTTCCAGTAGCCCTGCTCTATTTTAGGAGTCTATTAGGTTTTTTTACATGTAAATGGATAACAGCATCAAAGGAAATGATAATAAAAGCAGAATGCTGACGTTTGCCTGAAGATGAAATAAACCATATCAAAAGTTATTCAAATTAAGAACCACTATTTGAGATAAGCCTGTTTGAAGCTATTGGCCTCATCTGCACTATACAATTAAAGCAGTATTGGACCACTTTAAACAGTTATGACTTCCCCCAAAGAATCCTGGGAACTTCAGTTGGTTAAGGGTGCTGAAAATTGTTAGAGAGATCTCTTCTCTGCTCCCAGAACTGTAATACCCAGAGCAATTTAAGAATCAATCATCCCAGGGTACTCCAGAAAGTATAGCTCTGTGAGGGGAGTAAAAATGTCAGACATCTTCAAAATAAGACAATGAAAATGAAAGTTGCACTCTGGTCAGAACTCATTGGGAGTTCCGGAAGTCAGTTCTTAACCCGAAGCATTCTTAACCCGAGGCGCACGTTCCCAACATAGGCCTCCCGCAGCCCTGGAAGCGGATTGCGTTCGTATCCTGGGGCAAAGTTCACAACCCAGGACACCTACTCCTGGGATTGTGGAGTTCATAACCCGAAGCAGTCGTAAGCAGGACTGTTCGTAACCTGAGGTACCACTGTACTCATTCCTTCACTTTGTGCCTCTCCAATGCCTTCAATGAACTCGCTGCTCTAGAAGCTTGGATCATTTCACTCCTAGTCAGTCTACTGCTGCAAGCAGAGTTTCCCCAGCATTAAGCCATAATATTTGGCTTCCCCAAACTTCTCCCCAGCAGCCTGCAAAGCCATTTAGTTTATAATTACATTATAAGATGAGACCGCATGTAGCAGGAACCCACTGGGGAAAGTGTTTTGTTATGATTTACACAAATCTTTGAAGCCTGGGTTCTCTCTTGCAGCACTCTCATATGTCAACACACCAATGAATCCCTTACCCCCTCAGCAGGGCCCTCGCTAGGTCTTCTTTTTATTTTGGTTGGATGTATGTTTTTAAAAAAAAAAAAAGTACCATAAAGTACACATCCCACAAACTGAAAATCCAACCAACAGCCTTGCCAGCCTCACTTCCATGCTTCAGATAAGGAAAAGGAAATGTCAAGAAATTTACAGGAGAACTTAGCTGAGTTTGACAAAGGGGACAAAAATGCAGCTTGGTTATGACCGGCTTTGGAGAGCATCATGTAAAGAAGTGTGATTGCCTGCAATTTTTGGAGCCACAGAATCAGAGAATTGTAGAGTTGGAATATAGAATGGACCCTGAGGGTCATCTAGTCCAATGCCCTGCAATGCAGCAAACTCCACACGTGGTCCCCCATCCAATTTGAAACCACAGTGGACACTGCTTAGCTTTGCAAATGTGCTAGCAGTTTTATGGCTGCACCATTAGGAAGCAACCCCTTGTGCTGTATATCAGAGAGAGGCATTTGTGTGAAGGCACCCTTGCACTCAGGCTTGACTTTGTTATCTCTCTAAGACCACCCAAAACTGCCCACTCTGAAGAGACTCATTGCTAACCTTCCTGAAGAATGCCATGCTTTATAGATCAAAAGAAGCTCCCACCTTCATCTCTAGAAAAGAAAAATAAGAATCTGGTATCATAGCCCTGACACTGCATTCTAGAACACCAGAAGGAATTGTGTGGCCTAAAGCTGGGAAAGAATCAATATACACTTCAGTTAATTTACACAAGAATTTCTAAGAATTAAACATCCATTTATCACTGAGGGTCTTATGTTCACAGCCAAACAGAGGGGATGATGGAATCATAGAATTGTAGAGTTGGGACCACAAGGGGCATCCAGTCCATCCCCTTTTATGCAGGGTCCATCAGTACTGTCTACACTGACTAGCAGCAATTCTTCAGGGCTTCTGACTGGGAACATTCCCAGCCCTACCTGGAGGTGCCAGTAGGACCTTGCGCATGCCAAGCAGCTGTTTCACCACAGAGCTACTGCCCTTTCTAGAGCAGATAGCAGACTAGTACTATTTCCTAGTAAATAGTAAACCCTGAAACAGCCAAGATTGCTAGAAACAACATCTTAAATTAGCTTCCTTTTCCCTAGTCAAAACAGCATGGCAGCAACCCTGTGACTGGTTCCCCAACTAAAATTAAAATTAAGCAGAGCAGTCCAATGTCAATAAACCACTCCTGGCAAATTTCATTTCAACAACCACTAATAACTCACTGTAGAAGTTCTCCATTTGAAAGTTATCCCATGGAAGCCAAGTACCCACTGCTTTGTTAACTAGGTAAAATTGCAACAAGTAATTCACAGAAGTTCACTGCCACCACTATGTGCACGGCTACATGCAGTATCAGCTTACTGTATGTTACTTTCTATAATAAGGGTTGATCTGTCTTGCTGGCATGTTTAAAGCAACCCACACTTCATATATCTGAAAGCCAGCTTCATCCAAACTGAAACGACTGCTCCTCCTAGAAATTGTTGTGAGTCGCCTCAAGAGCTAGCCTTGGTTTTGAGCTCAGAAGCAATGTGCTTGACACATTTCAGTTTCGTATTACTCTGGCCATGGTGACCCACTGAAGTGATGCTTTCACTTTTCACCTTGTATATTTGTCACTAGATAAATTCACGCATAACGTTTTTCAAATAGATTCATTACAGATCTGTTGGGAAGTTCTCCGTGTACCACTGAACAATTTGAAGCATGGAGGAAAACAGATTCAACTGCAGGACTGTCCTTTCCATTTCATTAGTTTTAATGACTGGCACAAAATAAGCTGCAACCAACTCTTCTATTTTACACCTTCAAACCACCAACCAGTTCCGATTACATAAAAAGAAATGTTTAGTCAAAATTAGGAAGAACTCCATGATGGTAGGAGCTGTTCCAACAGTGAAACAGTATCTTGGAAGGTGGTGAATTCTCCCCAGAGGCTTTTAAGCAGAAGCTGGATAACCACTTATCAAGGATGCTGTAGAAACAGATTTCCTGTACCAGCAGGCAACTACAATAGAGGACTTTTCAGGTGCCTCCAAATTCTGATTCCAAGAAAGCACAAAATTAAGTACTGTATCTTTTTGAATAGCTACTAAACTATATGTTAACCTTTTTAGGGGTATAAAATGGGTGTTTGAAAAGAAGCCTAAAAGCAGTTTAGGAAAATCAAGGATGCCTGGGGAGGGGAAACAGCAAGAATGGAGACAGAGGTTTGGTTCAGACATAAACAATCTCAGTTTACCAGTCTGAGAATAAGCACTGTGTGTACATTCTTCCTCCCTTCTCTTATGCACTTTAATGCAATTAAACTGCAGTTTTCCATTACACCCAGGAAACTGTGATTTAAGCTGTGACTATAATCCTGGCTTGCCAACTACAAACAAAGTATTGCATTAAGTCCCAAAGGGAAGGGGGAGGAGACAGTGTGTATGCACATGACTTATCAGCCCAATAAACCATTGCCCATGGTTTATTGGATTAGGATTTTTATATATGAACCAGCAAGACTGAAAAATAACCAGGGGTTTTTTCAGCCAGAACTCACTGGAACTCAGTTCCAGCACCTCTGAGGTGGGTGCCATTGGCAAATTTATAAGATAACAAGCATTTATAAGATAACAAGCATGCATGGTGAGTTCCGGCACCTGTTTCTGGAAAAACAAAAAACGTTCAATCTGCCATGTTCCGCCCCTGGAAATCCATGCATGAGAATCATGTGACTGCTGCATCACTTAGATTTTTATATAATTTGTACATAATCATAAGAAGAGCCCTGCTGGATCAGACCTAGGGGATATATAGCCCAGTGCCCTGTTTTGTTTTGCACTGTGGCCAACCAGTTGCACATGAAAAGCCCAGAAGCAGCACATGAGCATAGCAGCACTCTGTCCACAGGGACCAATATAAAGAAGTACAGTGCCTCTGATCCTGGAGACAGCGTATCGTCATCATGACCAGTAGCAACTGACAAGCTTATTTTCCATGAATTTGGCTAGTGACCTTTTAAGTTGGTCAGTGCAACCAACTATTTGCAGCAAATTCCAAGGTTTAACTATGTGTTGTTCCTTTTGCCTGCCCTGTCTCTCCCCTCATTCAGTTTCACTGGATGATCCCAGGTTCTCGCATTATAAGGTGGGGTAGAGGCAGCCAGTCTTGTGCCACTTTCTCCACACCATGAATTTTATAAGCCTCTGTCATGTCTCCCTTACTCACTACAGTGCTTCTCAAAAGGAATCAATTCACACATTCAGAAGAAAAATCCAGTGTCAAGCATTCTCAAGTGTTGTACACTGATGTGTGAAATGGCCAATGGGATACTATACCTACAGTAAACATTTGTCGGTTACTCAATAGGAAGGGAATAAGCACAGATGCAAATTATTAAAGAGATGGAAACTTGTCATTTCCCAATACAATTTAGAGACTTATTTACACCTCTTGTAACAAAGTTTTTCAAAGCCTGTTAGTTTCTTAAATTGAGCTTCCCCTCAAAGGCCCATACGAGCACTTTTGCATGTGGGAGATGTATTATTCTATCCAGCCGCACCTGCAAACACTCCATATTTCGAAATGAGAGCTCACTGATTACCACACTGGCACAGAAACACTATTCATTTAATTTCATTTAACATTAAAAAGCCTCCAAGAAATCTGCCATTTGGACCACACGGTTCAGAGGACCAGCCCAAACAGAATGGTTTTTGCCCATTTTATCCAGTGTCTAGGGCCCACGTCATTCAAGACAAGACACTGGTTGGACACTGTGAGAACAGGATGCTGGCCTAGAATCCAGCTGGCCGTTATGTTCTGAAGACGTTGCACAACAGCTCCCATTGTATCTAACCACTGGCTATGCTGGCTGGGACTGAGAGGAACCAGAGCCCAACAACATGTGGAGGGCCACAGGTTCCTCATCCCTGCTCTAGAAGCATGTATGTGGAGCACTTTTTGTAACATTTGTAACCCACCATTCATTAGAAATTGAAGGGTTGTTTACAAAAGTACAATCAAACCAGAAAATATACAATGTTACAGTAGGTAACACAAATACTAAAAGCTAGGTAGCAACAATAGCCAATGTTTGAGTAAATAAATAGGCCTTCACCAAGTGCCTAAAACCAGTCAAGGTCTGGGGCTCTCTCTCTAATGTCCAGAGAAAGTAGATTTGATAGAATGAATGCACTACCACAGAAGACTTTCCTCCAGTTGATCCAACCACTCAGAGCCCCTTAAGACCACGATACTCGACAAATACTGACCTCAACAGTCCACACAGCAGAGGATGACAATAATTGTATCACTGCAAGCCATACAATTTGCAAGTCCTTTCTCTTCGCCAAGTATCACACAGCAAAATGCCCTCTTTTCAGGAATGCTGCTTTCCAGCCTTCTGGTTTTGCACTAGTATACCAAACTAGTTGTGTGGAAATAATGCCCTATAGATACGCACACGTAACTTGTTATCTGACATTTTGCTGGCACCTCAACTCAGACCTGGAAGGGAAAAATAGATACTGCATATTCAAAAGGGAAATTTGTTGCCCACTTAATCTAAAGTAATACATTACTCATCACTGCCACACGTTTTATTTCATTAATTCTCTTACATTTATTTCCCACCTTTTTCCATCGTGGAACCCAAGGCAGTGTATAGTGTATGTCTAAACCCAGACCAGCTTAGTTTCAGCAAAGTGGAGGTCTCATGTACCTAGTTTAGATGACACATAATGAGCACCATTTGACGGATGAAACTGCAACAAACCCAGGTTTGCCCCCAAGTGGACTTTCAACAGAAGTAAAAACAAATCCCACTACCCTGACAAGCTGGTCGATATTATTTGCTTAATTCAGCCCTTGTTTTCTTGAGGTGCTTGGCTGGAAGCCGCCCCAATTTCATGGTCTCGACTGCATTTCCTACATTAAACAAAATAATTTTCATTTCTTGCAACTTTCTCTGAAATAAAAAAGGACACCCCATGTATAATTTCTTTCCTGTTGATTATATGACTCCAAACACTACTCACTCATGATCCCTCAAATTTGAGTCTGGAGTGGACCCTTCAACAGAGACCCTATTTTATGTGGCTGGAAGTGACTGCAGCCATGCCTAATGCGTAACAGAAACCATTGTGTCCCCCCCCCCCCCCCAAAACAAAACACTATGATATCTTCTGACAGGAGACTGGGGAAGCTTTAATCCCCTAGATGTTGCTGAACTGCTACTTCCATCTGCCATAGTAGTAAAGGGTAAAGGGACCCCTGGCCATTAGGTCCAGTCGTGACCGACTCTGGGGTTGCGGCGCTCATCTCGCTTTATTGGCCAAGGGAGCCGGCGTACAGCTTCCGGGTCATGTGGCCAGCATGACTAAGCCGCTTCTGGCGAACCAGAGCAGCGAACGGAAACGCCGTTTACCTTCCCACTGGAGCAGTACCTATTTATCTACTTGCACTTTGGTGTGCTTTCGAACTGCTAGGTTGGCAGGAGCAGGGACCGAGCAACGGGAGTTCACCCCATTGCGGGGATTCGAACCACTAACCTTCTGATCAACAAGTCCTAGGCTCTGTGGTTTAACCCACAGTGCCACCTGCGTCCCACATATCTGCCATAGTACTCATGGCCAATAACAGGGGGTGATGGGAGATGTAGTTCAGCAACATCTGGAGGGCCAAAGCTTCCCCACACCTGTCTTAGGAGTACCAAAACAAGAAGCAATTTGCATATACCATTTTTTTAAAAATGAAACTATAAAGCAGTCCCTGGAGCCCTGACTTTTACCAGAACAGCAGCACACCACTCTCACAAACACAGTTTTCATTGTCTAACACACAAAAAGCTATTAGGACTACAAACGTCAAGGAGTGAGGGGATCTCATCACAGATCTCCCACATCACATCTGTTTTGGCCTTCAATCAGAGAACCTATTCAGACAATCATGGTGTATGCAAATTTCTATATTGTCTTTTCAAGGGAGCAGGAAGAGAGATTAGTTGGCACTCAGTACAGGAACCAGATTTTGGCAAACCACCGCATTCATCAGTGTCCAAGCGCACACAGACAGAGATGCACCACAGACTAGGAGCCAACATATGCCCCACACTGGAAGCTATAATCTGGGCTGGCAAGCCGAAGCAACCCTCTTCCACTTCTGCACCCTACTGTCCCACCAGGAAGCTCCCTGTTTAGCTTTTGGAGCGCCCCTCCAGGCAGATCCGTTAGGATGAGAAACTGCGTCTCAGCCAAGGTCACCTGCGCGAACTCCGGCGATTCGAACCCAGAGCTTGCCAACCCAAAACGCTTTCCACCCGTCCCCACGCGCTGGCTCTGGGTTCAAACCTCCGCGTGGCTGCGAAGCTCACGTTTGGTGACCTTGGCCAAGGAGGGCTCCTGCCCCACACTTAAAGTGGAAGTGTCCCTCTCCCCTCCCTACCCACCTCATGTCTTTAAAGACACCTGGAGTCCCCTTGAGAAATGGGGGGGACACACAAAAAAAACCCAAAAATGGGAAGGGAAAGGGCGGGAGGGGAGAGAGCGGAATGTCAGCAACCGCTTTCTGCAAGCCTAGAGGACCCGCGTGGCGAGGCTGTGGGGCGCCTTCTCCCTCCAGCCCCAAAGCTGCTGAAACACACGCGCAACCAACCCCCCCCCCTCCAATGCACCCCTCATTTTAAAACCTCTCACCTTTCGTCACTTTCTTGGCTTCGTTATAGCGCTTCCACAGGTAGTTCTTCATGTCCGGGGGCGGGGCGGAGGGCTGCTGCTGCTGCCGAGGGGCCAGCGTGCAATAGGGATTTGCCTTTAAGCCGCCGCAGGAGCAGCAGAGCCCGGCTAAGGAGGCAGGAGAGGCGGCGGCAGCAGCAGCAGCAGCAGCACTTGCCCGCCTCGCGCCGCCCTTCCCCGCTGACCCCAGCAACACCCTCGCGGTAGAAGCGGCCGTGGCTGCCATGGCCGGCGCAGAAGCAGAAGCAACAGCTTCTGGCGGACTCCCCGGAATCCCTTCAGGAGAAGAAACGCGCGCCAGCCGCAACCTCGCCTGCCTCCGCTGGCTCTGCGCTCCACTGGCGGCCGCCGCCGGCTGAAGTCACTTCCTCAAGCCCCGCCTCTCCGTCTCCGGGAGGGCAGGCGGGCGGTGAAGGGGCGGGCAGGCCGCGCGCGGCACGTGTCTTGGCGGGAAGACCCGCCCGCCTCCTTCTTCCTCGGGGCAGAGAGAGCTCAAGAAAAATGCCGGAGCTGAACCCACTGGCTCCTTTCTCTCTCTCTGCCAACAAACCCATTGCAGGCCCCTGCTTGGTACCGCCTTCGTGCCTCTATTGCCAACTTGCCTTGGTCGGACTAGGGCGGGGCCAAGGCATTTTGGCACCTAAGGCAAACCACAAAATGGCACCTCCCTCCTCGCCAGGGAAGAAGGGGTGAAGGAAGAGCTGCCTCGGGAACAAGGCAGGGAGGGTAAATATCTGCTCTGGGATCTGTTGCCCCTGTGGATCTTGCCTCACCTTGCCTCATGGGTTACTGGCCCTGGGTAGGCAGGCGACTGAGGAAAGAGGGGACACTGCAGCAATCCCGCTGCTCCTTTTATTGAGTCAGTTCCATCTGGCCCAGGTCGGTATTTCCCAGACACGCACAGTATGTTGGGGATTGGACCCAAGACCTTTCTGCATGCAGAACATGTGCTACCAGTTTGGAGCCAGTCCATGCATGAGGCAAGGTGAGGCAATTGCCTCAGGTGGCAGAGCCAGCCTCCAAGGAATGCATTGCCCTCTGTTACCACCACAGTGATCTCCCACCTTTGTAGATCTTGTTCCTGTTGGATATTTTCACTCCCTGCTTCTTCCCTGGGGAGGGAGGGGACACCATTTTGTGGTTCAAAATATCTTGCCATTGAGTTGTGGTCCTTTCCCTGTTAGAGACTGCTTTCATTCATTCCTTCATTTCTTCTCCAACCCTTGGGGTCCTTTCCATCCTCTGGTGCATGGACTGTTCCATTTTTGCAGCGTAGGGAATTCCCATCACTATAGGACAAAGCCATCTAGCAATTTTCTTGTACAGTATAAAGTTCTTTAGATTTTTGGTACAGGTGTTGACCACAACATCTCTGTGAGGTAGAATGCCCTTGTTGCTATTTTCCAAGTGAGGCATCAACACGAATGGGCGGCTTGGCAACCGTCTCACCCGGAGGGCTGCTCCATATATTGCAAAAGAAAACATTTCCAGAAACCCTGTATTATTCATTTACTTCCATTTAGGAATCACTTCCTATAAAACATCTCAAAGCGATTTTACAATGTGTCAGACAATCCATGCATGCCATAGAATAATCCTCATCAGAAAAAAAAGGTTGCCCAACTGCTTTACAGTGTGACCCACATAATACTTAAACTCACCTCCTTTTAAGGCTAGTTAGTCCTATGGTAGAAATGGGGAACCTGGTACCCTCGAGGTGCTATTGGACTCCCACCTCCCATCAGCCACAGCCAGCATGGCCAAAGGTCAGGTATGGTGGAAGCTGTGGTCTAACAATATCTGTTGGACATCAGATTTTCCCCCCCATCCCTGCCTTATGGAATTAGATTGGCAGGGAGAGAGTTGTCTGATGCAGGCTCACTTAAAGGTGAAGTCCCACTGTGTTCAGGGGGTCTTCCGGGTAAATATGTGCAGGATTTCTGCCTTCAAACGTTGGAGTCTTCATTCTTTGCCTAGAGTCATTTATAAAACCTCAGTGGAAAAGAGCGTGGGAAGCAGAGGTCCATAATGTGAGACAATCTCTCACTTTCATTGCTAAAAGACCTCCTATGGAGCCATGTACTAGCTGAAGTCTATTTCAGTCACAAAAAGTGCCATGCCAACAAATTTGCAGGTCTCTAAGCTTCTAAGAATACCTTACGTACATGAAATGATTAAACTCCACTGCAAGGCTAATAATGTACTTGGCCCAATTTTACAAATACCCATTAATTTACCCAATAGGACTTTCATGGTCTGTGTGTTTCTGGAAGTACAAAACCATTGCTTTGTGTATTATGTGATCATAATGTGATCACTTTTTGCTGGGTGACTATGCGTTTGTCCTGCTGCTGGCTATTTCTATACTATTGTAGTTTTATTGTTCATTATCATAGAATCAAAACATTGCAGAGTTGGAAGAGACCCCAAGGGCCATCTAGTCCAACTTCCTGCAATGCTCATAGCAGTCCTGGGGCCGGGGGGGGGGGCTCAAACCACCAACCTTCTGGCTAACAGCAAGGTGCACTGATTCATTGTGCCACTGCTATTTTATTCTGTACTTTAAAATAAACTAGACACCCCCAGGGAACTTCACACTCAGAGGCGCACTCCATTGTCTCTCAAGACAGACAGATGCCAACAGCAGAACTGTAAACTTTAAGGGTCTGATGCCCAAACTACATATTACATTATAGTTCTGTGCAGTTTTCCTTTAAGGATGCAATCAGGACTGGATGGAAGTTTTCAAAACTTCAGAAGAGAAGCAAATTTGTCTCTTGCTCCTTTTTTAAAAGCTGGCTCAAGTTCTCTTTTAACGTCATTAGCAACAAGCATGTAAATTGTCCATTGTCTTTCCACTGCACAAAGTAAATGGCTCCAGGACATTGCGCAAGCTCTAAATAGATGCACACATTCAGAACAACCTGTTCATGGTTATTCAATGTAGCTTCAGACAGCAAAGTAGAAGATACACAAAAGCCTATGTAAACCTACCTGCTCAGATCCATTCCTCAGAGAAAGGAGGATGCAGATTAAGAAAGATAAGGCCTAAGTGCTCCTCCTACCTTCACAGAGTATCATTAGCCACCATTTTGTGCCAGCAAATCAGAAAATGCAGGAACAGTACAGGTGTTATTTGTTCTGTACATTTGTTGCACTAAAATGACAGAGCAGTTTTATCCTCTTTAACTAAGCAAACCTAAATTCCCAGTATGTTCTTGAATCCCTCCTACAAAATACTGACAGTCTGGAGGAATTTTGGAGGTACAGTGGTACTTCGGGTTAAGTACTTAATTCGTTCTGGAGGTCCATTTTTAACCTGAAACTGTTCTTAACCTGAAGCACCACTTTAGCTAATGGGGCCTGCCGCTGCATGATTTCTGTTCTCATCCTGAAGCAAAGTTCTTAACCTGAAGCACTATTTCTGGGTTAATGGAGTCTGTAACCTGAAGCGTATGTAACCTGAAGCGTATGTAACCCAAGGTACCACTGTACAGCAGAGTTCTGGATACAATATGTCAAGAGGGGTGCAGTTCCCACCCACCCCACTTACACAAGAAAACAAAGACCACCACAGCCAACCACAAATGAATAACCACACCCTAGGCCAACCCCAACCTCTCTCACCACCAAAGGAACACAAGCGAACAGCAAAGAACCTGCACAAGCAACGCTGACACCAAACCCTACATATAGTAAGTGAAATAGAAACATTGCCACCCGACCCCACTCTCACCCATCTCTCCCCTCCTCCACCTATTTCCCCCTTTTCTTCCTAATGTCTCAACAAATGAAAATGATTTGTAAAAATGTTACATGGGGGGGGGGAAACACGTGTGTGAGAGAGAGAGAGACATTGCACAGTTTTGTAAATCAACAAAATCTTTAATTAAAAAAAAAAGAAAAAAGAGGGGTGCAATTTCCCACAACAAAAGGACAGAAAGGAGAAGGGATTGCACAGAAGGGATGTGAGAACCAGTGTGGTGCAATACTTAAAGAGTGTTTTTTTAAGGGAAATTCCCTTATTCTGAATAGGATTCCTCGCAAGAAAAGGGAAAAGTTGACAGCTATGGTCAAAAATCATGGGTGTGTTCCTAAAGCAAGTTTTCTTAACAATTGTGTAAGAGTGTTTTGCAGTAAAAGCTACATTAGCAACTATTTTTTGCATATTTTTCAAATAATTTTATAGCCATAAAGTAAAGGTAAAGGGACCCCTGAGTGTTAGGTCCAGTTGCAGACGACTCTGGGGTTGCAGCGCTCATCTCGTTTTACTGGCCAAGGGAGCCAGTGTACAGCTTCCGGGTCATGTGGCCAGCATGACTAAGCCGCTTCTGGCAAAACCAGAGCAGCGCACAGAAATGCCGTTTACCTTCCCACCACAGCGGTACCTATTTATTTATTTACTTGCACTGCGTGCTTTCGAACTGCTGGGTGGGCAGGAGCTGGGACCGAACAAGGGAAGCTCACCCCGTCGCAGGGATTCAAACCACTGACCTTCTGATCGGCAAGCCCTAGGCTCTGTGGTTTAACCCACAGCGGCACAGGTACTAAAAAATACTTCATTTTTTTCCAGGGAAAAACAAACACGTATTCCACTAGGGTGTGCTGTGACCCAGTGAATGTTTTCAAGTTAGTATAGTAAACTACCATAAATATCCTGGAGTTTCTTTGGCAATATCAGCTATATCTTTCCTAAAACAAACAAAGGTAACTTTAAATCAGCTTCTATATGGGCCCTCAAGTTAAAGAGGAGAAATTGTGACGGGACTGGCTTTACTGTACCATGAATTAATTATATAGGGACTTTTTTCCTTTTGCATATTCACATAACAAGAAATCTCCCTTTGAAACTGCTGTTTCTGGCAGGAGATAGAGAGGGGGAGAGGGTAATACCTACAACTACCTCTCTCTATCCTGCTAGCCTGATTAGAGAGAAAGGTTGAGCCCTGTCATGTCCCTGCAAAGGGAGAGAAGAACCGCAAAGCTGTTCCTTGTTCCTGACCTGTGCAAGTCTTATTGGTGCATCTGAAAACTTCACTGCTACAATTGTTTTATATGTTTTTAATTTGGGGAATGTGTGTTCTGTTGTTGTTTTAATGAGGGAAGGGTGATCTGTCTGGGAGGAGAGGAGCTGAGGAGAGCAGGGGTTCCCAATCGCAGTGGTTCAAATTAACAGGCATGAACTCTGAAGGGACAGATGAGTAGGACAACTCTAGGTTGCTTACCTGCAATGTATGGGACTGCAACCTTAGCCCAATAATCTGATAATGTCAGGCTGCATACATACTACAGTGGTACCTCGGGTTACATATGCTTCAGGTTACAGATTCCGCTAACCCAAAAATATTGCTTCAGGTTAAGAACTTTGCTTCAGGATGAGAACAGAAATCGTGCTCCGGCGGCGCAGGAGGCTCCATTAGCTAAAGTGGTGCTTCAGGTTAAGCACAGTTTCAGGTTAAGTATGGACCTCCGCAACTAATTAAGTACTTAACCCGAGGTACCACTGTATATCTTTAAAGCACATTCAAAGCACATTCTTTCCCTCAAAGAATTCTGGGTACTGTAGTTTGAGGGTTGCTGGGAATTGTAACCCTGTGAGGGGTAAACTGCAGTGCTCAGAATTATTTGAGGGAAATAATGTATTTTGAATGTGTTTTAAATGTATAGTGTAAACTGTACAGAGTATTAGTACTGTAATTGAAATAGTGAACTACTCCCACCTGCACATAATATTCATTTGCATAAAGCAAATGGCCCAAATATGTATTTGGGAATCCACTTCTTGTTTTTGTTTACTGTACTGTATCTGAAGAACCCTTACATGACTTGATTTTTACTTAAAAGTTAGTTTATAAAACATTATGGTATCCAGTGTTTTTTAGCTTCTGTCACTCCAGTAAATAATTAGTAAGCAGAGTAAAAGAGAAAGAACTTCTGTTTACAAATGTTCAATGGAGAAAAACAATAGAAAATATATATAGCAGATAAGAAAAGCCACCTTGAAAATTAATGAGACACACAATGCTGTGTCAGTTTTTCTGGGTGACAAATTGTGTAACTTTCAAGTTACTTCCATGTATATGAAGCTGGAAGCAGGTATTGTGCCATTTATTCTAAGACTATGACATTAATATTTTGCAATCTGTGAGACACTTGCTGGTACAATTTGTGAACTTCCTTTTTTAATGGGACATCAAATGCTTTTAATAAGTCATATCAGTACTTGGTATATATACCGTTGTACAGGCACTTCATCAAATGGAACATCAAACGGCAAATAATCATATATATATATCATTTATCATTTATATATTTCATATATATAAGCATTTACCAGGCCAACACGTTCCATGGCAACTAAGTGTTGGTTCACATGTTGCAGTTCAGGATCCAGTATTTGTATTCTACACACACACAAAATCAATTAATCATTTGCAATGAAACACTTAAGACAATTCCCACTTTTCAGATATCTCTAGTGAAGGCAAATTGTGGGCCTTGAGGTTCAGTAGCCCAGACTTCTAACACGGGAGGCAAATCTGGACAGAAAGGCAGTACAGTGGTACCTCGGGTTACGTACTTAATTTGTTCCGGAGGTCCGTTCTTAACCTGAAACTGTTCTTAACCTGAAGCACCACTTTAGCTAATGGGGCCTCCCACTGCTGCCGCGCCACCGCCGCATGATTTTTGTTCTTATCCTGAAGCAAAGTTCTTAACCCGAGGTACTATTTCTGGGTTAGCGGAGTCTGTAACCTGAAGCGTATGTAACCTGAGGCACCACTGTACAGTATATATCTAAGTCACACTCAATATATTGCTTCAGTTCATTTATTTAAATGGGCCTACTCTGAGTTTGATTAACATTGCATATCACACTTTTTAAGTGTCTTGTGGCAATAGTTATGTCCTATTTTATCTGTTGCTGTAACAACCTTACTCTGGTAGCTAAAACCCCAAGTGTCAGAATATAGGGCTGTAGCTTTGAGACTGTGGCTTACCAGTGGTGTGAAGAAGCAAGCAGGTGTTTTTGTTGTTGGAGGTTCCTCTGGTGGTTAACTGGAACATGCCTAAATAGTGTTCTGCAGTTGATAAAACACAGTACATAATTTGGTGGTAGAACACATACTTTGCATGCACAAGGTCCCAGGTTCAGTTCCTGGCATGTCTGGGTATGATAATTTTGAGTAGCAAGACTGAAAATTCCAGAAGGAAAGGGAAGATCCCTGCCAAGGATCCTAGTGACCTGCTGACCGTCTTGAATAGACAACAGTGGCCTAGATAGAACTTTTGGCAGCTTCAAATGGTAGGAATGAAAGAAGTTTCTCAAACACTGTGTGCTATCAGTGGTGCTAATGAGCTTGGCTGCGGGTTAGGAGGGCAATATGTGCAGGCTGAAGGTGATTCTCCCAGAATCTATGCAATGGAATAAAACTTTGGTCAAGACTGAGACTCTGGCTCTTAATGGAAATAGGCCTGGATGCCTGTCTTAAGCTAGGGGTAGATACGTTTTTTTCTGGAGTGTACGAGAAGCAGAAATGCTGACAATGCCTTAGTCACACTAAGACAATGCACTAGTGTGAAAGAGGCAGAATACGTTTTGCTCCATGAGGCACTGGGTGACGACCTTGAGTCTCTCTATACCCTGATAAGACTTGGATCATGATAACTCCTAAAACAATGGAAAATTGTTTGTGCAGGTCACTTTCTATTCACCAATACAGAAACAAGTTTTGTTGTGAGCGAGGGTAGAGTGGGGTGGGGTATTAAAATGGAATCGGGAAAAGGTTTCTAGGATGTTGGGGAACAGAGAGAAGTGACAGTTCCTTTTCTGAACTTCACCTTGAATTCATCTATTTTATACTCAAGCAGCTTTTTCTAATGTCTTTTTGTGCTGTAACTCTGGAACACACAAACAGGAAGGAAAACTTTGCTTTTAGATTTAATTATTGCTACCTGTAATAGCAATAATAGCAATAATGGGCTGCGTTCTTCTCTTCTGAGTTTTCCAGAAGACTCTTTTTTTAATAGCTCCTGTTATCTTAGATACAGACTTTTTATTTTTAAATGTTTTTATTTCATTTTTACCTAGCCTCAGTTTCTGTTTGGATTTTTCCAGGATCCCAAATCCTGGATACCAGATTGATTAAATCAAAACAACATCTAACTATTCCTAAAACAAATATATTTATTTCATTATCTTAAGGAGAACACTTAATGAATATTTTTAATACATACCTGCAAATAGTAAAAACCAGTTTGTAAATTAACAGAGTCAGCAAACCTGTCCATGCCGTTCTTGGCCAGATCAGAAGTCAGCCCAACCAGAAATACTACATACTGAGCATGCTCCAACAAGTAGCTCTAGGGGAAAAAGGCTAATTGCCAGATCTTCTGCTGTTACAAGCAGATACAGTACGCTTCTGCTCAGTGCTACTAAATTCAGGCAATTGCAACAAAACATAAATGTTAATAAATAAAACAAATACTACAAAGCCGCTGCAAACTTCAGATCTCTCCTCCCATGGACACCAAGTCCAACAGTGTAGCCTCTGCAACTTCTCATTGCTTAGAAGTGTGGAGCGCACAACAGTTTTGCACTCTTGTGCACCAAGAAAATACTGATACAGTCAATCTTTGAATGGGGCTCTACTATTTCACAGTGCAGGTAGGGTCTCACAGGATAGGAATTGTTCTCCCTCATACCACACAAATAAAAACGAAATCCCTCCACATGGAAAACTAGATGGTTGGGAGAAAGCTTCTAACCTAGCCTTCTCCTCCTTGTGGAAGTTTTCTATCTGTAGGAGTATTTTTACATGGAATACATTAAGTTCAGCATTGTGTACACTAACTAGCAGTGACTCTCTCCAGGGCTTCAGGCAGAAGGCTATTCCCAGCGCTCCCTGTAGATGCCAGGGAGTGAATCAGAGACCCTCTGCATTCTCCTTTTGGTGAGGTTCCCTACCAGTACTGGTGATAACATTTATGAAACTTAAGGAAATCTTTACAGTGGTTTGTCCTAATGCGTGAATCAAGTTAAAGCTGTTTCAAATTAAAAGTCAGCAGTCCGCCTATTGAGGTGTCCCATGCCTTTAAGAACCTCAAAAAGTCAAGTCTAGTCAATGTATTTTCTTTAAAGGACTACAACTCCCACAGGGCAATGTAAGAGGGCGGTCCCAGCATGCAAAGCAGCAATGACGTAAGCATGAATAACACCAATCGTGGGCCTGCACCTACACAGCGACCCTATGGACCATTGCATGATGGGACCATCCTTGCAGACTTTATTTTAGACCTTTTTTCACAACAACTTTTTACTTTTTTACAACTAGCTCTAGAATACAGTTCTGAGAGGAAAACTGATGCTGAAGAACAGCCGTCCTGTTAATCATTCCCGATTATCTACTTTAATCACATCTGTTTGACGTGAGGCGTAGGAAAGCGGAAGTGAAAGTTGTCATAGTAACGTGTAGTTTTGTCCAACCTGCCCCGGAAGTACATGGTCGGATCCCTAAAACGTGCATCTGTACATTTTTTAAAAGAAAAAAAGATACGTCAAATCTCATGCTTCGTTGTCAGAGATACAGCCAGAGACAGAAAGCCGGCAAATAAACTTTTAAAAAACGTAATTTGAAAAACCAGACAGTAACTAAGGCCTGCTGCTCCCGCCCTTGACACCCATTGGCTCATCAGCATAGCAACAGCCAATCGCACCCAGCCACGCTCCGGCGCCGGGAACCCTCACCTGGAAGGCTCCGATTGGCAGGGGGCGAACTCCGCCCCTCCCCTCCAAGTTTCCTACTGGCTGCGTGTTTGGCGTGGTGCGCTGCCATTGGCCAGGGCGAGGGACCTCTTCCCCCCCACCCCGCGGCGTTTGCTGGTGATAAGCCTGAGAGGAGGGAGGCGGGTTGACGTTGATTAGTCGCTTTGGCCGTCCAAGGGGCGCGAGTGTAAGGAAGGCTCTCAGCGAGGGGGGAGGGCTTTTAATTCCTTTCCCTCGACGGTTCCCAGTCCCTTTCCTTGTGGGAGCGCGTGGGAAGCAGGTGTGCCGCCGTAGCCGCGCCAGGGTAGCACCGCTGCGATGAAGCCGCTTTGGGGTCTCGGCCTCCTCTGCGTTCTCCTCCTGGCCGGTGAGCGACGGTGGGGGATGGAGGCGTTTCTGGAAGGTTCGGCGGCTGGGCGAGCGGGACCGTTGAGGGCGCGACCTCCCCTCAGCCGCCCTGTCCTTGGGCTTACTCTATTTACCTCAGGACATAAGTTTGTTTTGTGTGTTTTTTGGGGGAGGGGACGTCCTCGTTTCATGCTCCCCCCCCCCCCATGAGGAGGAAGGTACTTAAATTGTGGGCGGCGGTTGAGAGAGAGAGTTCGTGTGTGTAACGGTCCTCCCTCAGGGAGGCTTAACTTTCTGAGGATGTCCTGCTGAATCTTAAGGCCCAAGGCCCGGCAGCCAGTCCCGAGTGGCGCTTTAACTTCTGAGGAAACGGGTGTGCGAAAAGTGTGTGGCATGTACTTGGCTGTTGGAAGATCCGTTGTCACAGAGCTTGTTGATTCAGTCTCTGTATATCAAAAAGGGATTTGAGTGCGGGGGGGGGGGAGGGTTGAAAGAATTTTTAATGACGATTAGGGGAGAGGCGAAGTTTCCCCCTCGTTAAGTATTCATTAAGAACACTTCGATATCTGCCCTAGCAGGAGACCTTTGTGGTGGGTTGTCATTCATCATTGTGGGTGAAGAATGAAGTAAAAGTGGTCCGCAGGAGGACTGTAATTCTAACTTAGTTTCCTAATAGACAGCGTTGGACTGGGGCATTGGATGGGGATAGCAGCCATGTTTGTCGCTTCCCAGCACGTTTGTCCTACTATGCTAACTAAGCAAGAAGGGCTGAGCAGAGAGAGATGACTTCACTGTTCTCTCTTGGGACCATCATTTGCTGCCTGCTTGCGCAGCAGCTTCTCTTTACTATCCATCTGAAATTTGACAGAACTTTCTAGCTGGTCCTTGGTGCTGCCCCTTTCAGTTGGCTCTCTTGGCCAATCACACTTAATGCGGGGGGTGGGGTGGCTTGAGATTGCTTCATCAGCTTTGCTTTTTCATTCAGAATGGTTTTCACTTCTCATATACCCTGCTATGCATTTATTTGAGAGAGATTCCACATTGATGTTGCAACGAATATATGGAGCGATGCAAGCAAGGAATGGATGGCTTGGTGGGCCCCACTTCCTACTTGAACCTAAGATGTTTCCCTGTTTCTGGTGTACAGATCAGCAAGTTTCCTTTGAGCAACTGATTTGATACTAATGTGTTCAAATTATTCATTTTGCAGCCTCAGTCCAAGCTGATGAGGTAGATGTAGATGGCACAGTGGAAGATGACCTTGGTAAAAGCAGGGAAGGATCTCGAACTGATGATGAAGTTGTTCAGAGGTTTGTTTTAAAATTCATTCTTTCAACACTTTCCCCTCAAATTGCTTTAAATGAAACAAACCTTCAAATAGAGGTAGTTGGGATTGCGGTGCAAATTTAATACCGTGTTTAAAAATGATTGACTTCATGAGGTTGCACACTGACATACTTGTGGAATGTTTGCCAGCTTCTTAACTGGCAAATTGGAAAAATGCTACCTTATCAAACACAAAGTAACTTGCACACAGTGTTCTAGGTCATAATCTAATTGTGAGTATTGGTGCTTTGTTAAATAAACTATTGTTAAAATGAAGTCTTCATCCAATAGGCATATTTACTTTTCCAAAAGAGCACTAGTGTGCCTAAGACATTGAATGCTTATTTAACACTGACTTGCTTGCAGTGAAAATTTCAATTGCTTAAAACAAGAAGCAATGGTTTCCATTGTGTAGGTATTTTGGGACTTTTCAACCTAGAGATGTCATGAACATGGAAAATAGACAGCAACGAAAATAGAAACTGATAATACATGAGTGGCGGGGGGGGGTTAACCTGTCAAGTGCTGTTTCAGTAGCATTTGGCATGTGTATGGCCACAGGAAGAGTCATTTTACAAGCTGCTTGGCTTTGTTGTGAGACCAATTGATCATGTCAGGAAACTTGGTGACATTTAGTTATGTCCTTCTGCTTGCACAAAAGAAACACTGCTAGTGTAGTGGGCCATCTGGTTTCACCTGTGTATTGCAGGCATTCTAATTGCATCAAGGAACATACATTTATGTTTGCAGAAAAATCAGTTTACTGCTACAGTGGTACCTCGGGTTAAGTACATAATTTGTTCCAGAGGTCCATTCTTAACCTGAAACTGCGCTTAACCTAAAGCACCACTTTAGCTAATAGGGCCTCCTGCTGCTGCCGGAGCACGATTTCTGTTCTCATCCTGAAGCAAAGTTCTTAGCCCGAGGTACTATTTCTGGGTTAGCGGAGTATGTAACCTGAACCATATGTAACCCGAGGTACCACTGTACTTGGAAAAATAAAGTCTTAATGGATAACCTGGTATTTCTGTCTACAGGGAAGAGGAGTCTATTCAGTTAGATGGTTTAAATGCATCCCAAATAAAGCAAATTAGAGAGAAGTCAGAAAAGTTTGCATTCCAGGCAGAAGTAAACAGAATGATGAAGCTTATTATCAACTCTCTTTACAAAAATAAAGAGGTAAGCTATATATATAATATGAGACAGAGTTGATATAACTTTTTGTACGTACGTGTACCTGACTGTTTTTTAAATTTCACTCCAGATCTTCTTGAGGGAATTGATTTCAAATGCATCTGATGCTCTAGACAAAATACGACTGCTTTCACTAACTGATGAAAAAGCTCTTCTTGGTAATGAAGAACTCACAATAAAAATCAAGGTAAGATACCACTTCGATTCCTTCAGCAGTTTTGGAGGATGTGTGTTACTATTAAAAATAATTCTAAGCTACTTTTTGAGAATGTATTTTAAAACGAGTGGGAAACCTGTAGTCCTCCAAATACTGTTGGATTCCCACTCCCACCAGCATGAACTGTGGTCAAGGATTGTGGGAGCTGTAGTCCAGCAAGACCTGATGGTTCCATAAATTAGGAAGTGACATCATGGTATTTTCTTACTGCATATAAAGGAAAAGACTGACTGTAGGAAATAGAATGTCCTGCACTGTCTTGCAATGTACCGTATTTTTTGCCCTATAGGACGTACTTTTTCCCCTCCAAAAATGAAGGGGAAATGTGTGTGCTTCCTATGGGGCAAATGCAGGCTTTCGCTGAAGCCCGGAGAGCGAGAGGGGTCGGTGCACACGGGCTCCCTAGGCTTGCGGATAGCAGCCTGTTCTGGGGGCTGGGGTCAGGGGAAGCTCGGGCTTCCCCCGCCCCAGCCCCGTGCCTGGGGGGGAAATATTTTTTTTTCTGTATTCCCCCCCCCCAAAAAAAAACCTAGGTGCACCCTATGGGCCGGTGCGCCCTATGGGGCAAAAATATGGTAATCAGTTATAAAGTCATGTACATTGATGACCATTCAAACAGTGATATGTTAAACTGATAAATCACTCAGACTGGGTTTGTTTGTTTTACAGTGTGATAAAGAGAAGAATATGCTTCATGTTACAGACACTGGCATTGGCATGACTAAAGAAGAACTAATAAAAAACCTGGGTACCATTGCCAAGTCTGGTACAAGTGAATTTCTAAGTAAGATAACTGAGATGCAGGAAGAGAACCAGTCGACTTCTGAGTTGATTGGTCAGTTTGGTGTTGGCTTCTACTCAGCTTTCCTTGTGGCAGACAGGGTTATTGTCACATCAAAGCACAACAACGACACTCAACACATTTGGGAATCTGACTCAAATGAATTCTCTGTAATTGATGATCCTCGAGGAAACAGCTTGGGACGAGGCACTACTATAACGTAAGTGTTCCACTCATGGGTGGAAGAAAGTATAGACGTTTGACTGCTGTTGAACCAGATTCTCAAAAATAAAGGCTGAAGGCACAATTCTCCCTATCCAGGCATTCTCTGCTTCAGGCTGCCTAGGATTAGGATTGACGTCCCTTCACTGGGATGATCTCTAGTGGGATTTGCTGCTATAGGTCATTGGTGTTGTGGCTGTTCTGTGTTGGGAAAAGCAAGAACTTCAGATGTCTACTTTTTGATCTTTTTGTTAATAAGTTGCAGAACTCTGTACTGTTACAACATGTGGTGGCTTGTTTTGAAAGTAGTGCATAGTGTTTTCCAAGTATAATATGCTGTAGCATCTGCAGCATAAACTCCTAATTATACTGTGCTGCTAGAGAACAGAAAAGCATTTCGTTACTGGTCTGTTGAAATAATGTGCAGTGCTTAAATTTATTTTTTAATGTAATTTTACTTAAATACCTTGGTTAATATTAATTTGATTAATTAATTTGATTAATGCAGATAGCCAGCATGTAAAAATATTGTGATATGTTATTTATTACTTTAGGTATTTGTACAGTGAAAATAATGCAAACTTTAGTTGTAAAATAATGGTTTAGTTACTGGATTTTGCATCCTTTAGGATATATTTGAAGTTGCAGTGCAAAATTTGATTTTAATCAATTATGTGTTAATCCTATGTGACAGTGGGTAACAATTGGCTTTGGGGCTAGATGCCCTAGCATCTGTAATCAATGTTGCATATAAAGCTAAAACTTCATTAAAATCATTAAGATGAAGTCATTAGAATTGCCTAGAAAATCATTAGAATTGCCTAGAAAGTAACTTTGTAGCTGATCGTATTTTATCAGATGTAGAGTTTGTATACAAAGCTGCACGTTTTGCTGCTTAGAATTCTTGTTGGTTGCATGGTACCAAAAAGTAGGGCCGTCTAAAACTTAATTTTAACAATGTGGCTTCATACTTGCTTCAACCTTGGTTAGCATCTCTAGTCCAAATTTAATTTAATGATGGCCCATGTGGATTGGAGAGATTGAGGTTAATGACAAAAACATCTTTTTGCACAAGTTCCTGCAAGGGCTGTGCAAGATCTAATCTGTTCCTTATGCAGCTTGGTGTATTTCTTGAATCTCCCAACAAAAAGCTACAGTTGCAACTTGTGATAAAGAAGGGAGGATTCTAGAGAAAAAGGGCCTTATTGTGATGAAAATATTGGTGCCAAAACCTGCTTGGTGATCTAAGGACATTCTATCCTCCCTCAAGAGGTGGCCAACTTTTTGCCTCTTTCACAGGGAAAGGAATAATTTCTAATTTTTTACTGAGAGCAAAGATTTGCCATTTATCTTCATAGTTCACAGCTGTCTCACAACTGTAACATTTAATGTACACGCATATAACTGCCATGTCCTGAAATTTCTTAGAAAATTATTCCCTTCGCTCTCTTCCCTTCCTATGGCAAGTGGCTGAAAATTGGATTCTGCCAAATTATCAGAACAGTCTTACGAACGATAAGTTATCAGATTTTAAAGTTGCTGAACTTCTCTAGCAATGGAACTTCTAGAAGCCTATTACTCTTAGAACATGCTCATTAGCAAAAGCTAATGTAATTGTTATATCTAGTGCAAATTAGTATTAGAGAGGTTGCTAATACTCAAATCAGGCAAAATTGTTTTTGAAAAGAGAAATGTATAGTTATTTGGAGTATCCAGACAGATCTGCCAACATGCTGGTAGCACGTACCAGTTGTATCTTACATAGTAAAAGAGCTGGTCTGGTAATTTTTTTATTGGTGTTCCAGTTCAGATAACTTGGTTTAGAAGCTTGTAGGTAAAGTAGTTGTTTTTTAAATGAAAAGCAAATTGATGTAAAATATGTTGTTTTGAACTGAAACAATGCATTTTCCCTTTTATTTCTCAGTCTTGTTCTGAAGGAAGAAGCTTCAGACTATCTTGAGCTGGATACAGTTAAAAACTTGGTCAGGAAATATTCACAGTTCATAAACTTCCCTATATACGTGTGGAGTAGCAAGGTAAACTTTTTAAAATATTGCTGACTTGTGTAAAATACTAAGAACATAAGTTATATAAAAGTTTAAAGATTGTTTGTGGAAACAAAGCTTTAAGTGTTGCTATTACCTATGATAAACCAGTTTAACAGGAACAATAGATCCCAACTGAGCAAATGAGACTACCAAGCAAGATAGTTTCTCTGTCTACATTGTAATTGATGTTGAAATGTGCTCCTGGTAGCCAGAGGGCTTCTTATTGGATCAGCTCATACAGTAGTATCTACAAGGCACTTTTTAACACTAAGCTGTTAAGGATGCCTCTGATTTACTGAAGACTTAAAAAGCTGAAGCACCATTAACTTTCAATATTGTGGCTGGTAGACAATTGGAAACTTAAGACTTAGTCTTAATACACTTAAGAATTACATGTAGTAGTGAATAGTATGGTTCAGCATGTGGTTCTTCTGCTGGATATCTGTAGAATACTTACAGCCATACTTGCTAAAGTTGAATTCTCACTTTTCAGTGCTCATGATGGACTTTACACCCTTAGCAAATATTCCCCTATTTAATTAAACATTTCTCACCAAATATATGAATGCAACATCAACTATTTCTGCAGACTGAAACTGTAGAAGAACCTCTTGAGGAAGAAGAAATGAAGGAGAAAGAGGAAACAGATGAAGAAGCTGCAGTGGAGGAAGAAGAGGAAGACAAAAAGCCAAAAACTAAGATGGTAATAGTTCTTCACATGCCTTTAATGTTAAAACAGCTGCCAACTGGAATTGGCTGAGTTAGTAAGGTTATCCAAACAAGATGTGTATACATAGGTTTAGGGTTGCATATCTCCAGATGAAAAATCTATTTGCTACAATTCTTTGGAGAGTGGTTTCAGAACATTTGAAATAAAATCAGATACCTATTGGTTTTTAGCTCTCAAAGTGCTTCCCCTTTAGCCAAAATGTCACTAGCCTCCCAGTAGAGGGAGGTACACAAAGGTTTGAAGAAGTGCCTTTTTTTCTTTTTTGGAAGAACAAGAGTTGCATGGGTGGTGACCCCAAAACAGTCCCATGAAACCTGGGCATCCTCGGTGTTTAGAGAATGTTGGGGAAAGGGTAAAATCCTGAACAGTAACATTCTACTCTGCAGCATTTTGTTTCAGGTCCCACATATTTTTCTGATTATTTGGCCCAATAATACAAATAGCGTAGACAGAGGCAAGTACATCTATAGGTAGAGGGATTCTGATTGTTGTCAACAGTCTCAACACTTTGTCCTCTTTTTTTCTTTGTCATTTCCAAATTCATAATTCATTTCCAAATTCAAATTCATTACTGACATGACAGGAAAAGCAACTATTATGTTTGTGTGATGCATATTTAGTTGAGTACCATGCCAGCTAAAGTGTAGACAGCTGCCACCATTTAACTTACATGACATGTAAAAACTTGAGTTCTGCAAATAATGCTAAAATACTTTACAGGTTGAAAAAACTGTATGGGATTGGGAGCTTATGAATGACATCAAGCCCATTTGGCAGAGACCATCTAAAGAAGTTGAAGAAGATGAATACAAGGCTTTCTACAAATCATTTTCTAAGGTGTGCTTGCTTTAGCATATTGGGATAAGAAAAATTAAACTGCAGTGTTAGATGTCAAAACCTGCTTTGATGGGGTTGGATGAAATTGGTACACTGATTTTCAAGGCATGTGTCTAGAGCTTAGTAAGATAACCATGAAAGTACTTATAATAGTTGCCATGCTGTGGTCTCAACTTGCTGCCGGTATGAGGTACACTTTAGAAAAACTAGATTCTGACTTGAATCAAGAAAGCACCAACTCTGTGTAACTTTATTGCAGGAGACTGATGAACCCATGGCTTACATTCACTTTACTGCTGAGGGAGAGGTGACATTCAAGTCCATTTTGTTTGTTCCGACAACTGCTCCACGTGGCTTATTTGATGAATATGGATCCAAAAAGAGTGATTTTATAAAGGTAAAAATGTTGTAAATTTCTTCCTAGAATCATAAAATTGTAGAGTTGGAATGCAGGAATCTCAAGATGCAGTCCCCTGTGCAAGCAGTTTTATTGCTTCCTAAAAAGACAGTTGCAGAAACGGTCATTAATAACTTTGTTGTCTTACAGCTGTATGTCCGGAGAGTTTTCATCACAGATGACTTCCATGACATGATGCCCAAGTACCTTAACTTCGTCAAGGGTGTTGTAAGTATCTTCAGGAATAACGTCCAGTGATAACTTTCAACTCCAATTTTACTGCTAAGCCTCTCTATAAAATGTTCTTTTTAAATGCAGGTAGATTCAGATGATCTTCCTCTAAATGTATCTCGTGAGACCCTCCAGCAACACAAACTGCTAAAGGTACGTCATTTACAGCAAGAGCTTTCAGGGGATGTCTTAATGTAGCTTAAGAGCATGAGTTGTAGAACTTAAAAATATCTAAACCATGGGTAGGCAAACTAAGGCCCAGGAGCTGGATCCAGCCCAATTGCCTTCTAAATCTGGCCCATGAACGGTCCGGGAATCAGCATGTTTTTACATGAGAAGAATGTGTCCTTTTGTTTAAAATGCATATCTGGGTTATTTGTGGGGCCTGCCTGGTGTTTTTACATGAGTAGAATGTGTGCTTTTATTTAAAATGCATCTCTGTGTTATTTGTGGGGCACAGGAATTTGTTCATCCCCCCCCCCCAAAAAAAATAGTCCGGCCCCCCACAAGGTCTGAGGGATAGTGGACCGGCCCCCTGCTGAAAAAGTTTGTTGACCCCTGATATAAACAATTGGTTTGACTCTGAAGATCTCTTTTGTCTAGAGGCAGAGCTGGAGTTTTCTCCTTTATTCAAGGGTTAAGCCATAATCAACAGGCAGATGGGTCTGTATTAGCAAAAAACAGGAGGGTTGGTTTTAATAGGAATATTTAATAAGAATGCATCATAATGCATCTTGACCTAACAACTTGCAGAGTTTCAAAACTCCTGATGTTCTTGAAAGCTGTCATATGCAAGTGTCCTTTTTCAATCATTTTTAGGTTATCAGGAAGAAACTTGTCCGCAAAACACTTGATATGATTAAAAAGATTGCTGACGAAAAATACAATGAAACATTCTGGAAAGAATTTGGAACAAACATCAAACTTGGAGTTATTGAGGATCATTCAAATCGCACTCGTCTAGCAAAATTGCTTCGCTTCCAAACTTCTCACCATGAGTCCGAATTGACTAGTCTAGACCAATATGTAGAAAGAATGAAGGAGAAACAGGATAAAATCTATTTCATGGCTGGATCAAGCAGAAAGGAGGTCAGTCATTTTTCATCATTGAATCCTACTGTGATTGTAACTTCCATTGCAGAAAGATGTTGCTATATCTCTAGAAAAGTAAGATTAATGCCTTATTCAGGCTGGATAAATGTATGCTAGTAGTGAAAGAATACCTCATTCAGCATTTTGGATCTTGCAGTACTGTGTGCTTATACTAGTATTTTGTACACCTGCTTTGTAGGCTGAATCTTCACCATTTGTAGAACGACTTTTGAAAAAAGGCTATGAAGTAATCTATCTGACTGAGCCGGTAGATGAATATTGCATTCAGGCTCTCCCAGAGTTTGATAACAAAAGGTTCCAGAATGTAGCTAAAGAAGGAGTAAAGTTTGAGGAGAGTGAAAAATCGAAGGAAGCCCGTGAAGCTTTAGAAAAAGAATATGAACCCCTTCTAAATTGGATGAAAGATAAAGCTCTGAAGGATAAGGTATGTACATACTAAGGAAACTCATACTCTTCTACTGATGCATTTCTGTGCTACGTTTGAACTCACAACAATATTTCTTTTTCAGATTGAAAAAGCAGTGTTGTCTCAACGATTAACTCAGTCTCCATGTGCTCTTGTGGCTAGTCAGTATGGATGGTCTGGCAATATGGAAAGAATTATGAAGGCTCAGGCTTACCAGACAGGCAAAGACATTTCTACAAAGTAAGTATTTAGAATTTTTCCTAAGTGCTTTCTAGTTAAAGAATTTATAAGTCAGACATAACATCTGCCAGTAGTCTTCTGGATAAAGCACTCCCATCTAGAACTTATAGGCTATATTACCTGGCTGATCATAAAGCTGTCTTGCTGTTACCCCAGCTTCAAGGTCTCATAGGCCTTGTTTTAGCATTGCAATTGGAAACTATCCCATAAGCAATGTAAATGCAAATAGTTAAGTATTTCAAAAATGCCTTTTGGAACATTTCATATTAAACATTTTGCAGTTTGATATAGAGGCTCTGAAGTGAATTTTCTATGCAAGTTTGGTATGCACGCCACAACACTGTGGCAGTTTCTTACACTTAGGCTGCAATCCTAGGCACAGTCACCTGAGTGAAACCATTGAAGGTGGGACTTGCTTCTGAATAAACATACAGACAATTGTACTGCACAGCGCTTAGTCTTCCTACAAATTGCAATGTTATCTTTGCCTAAGATTAAATTAACAACTCAAGGCCGCCTCTTTAAGTATCGTTACTGGTTAGGAAGTTGTTTTTTTTAACGTTTCATACAAAAGTACTATATTTAGTGAACATTAAATATTCTTTCTTTATAGTTACTATGCAAGCCAAAAGAAGACATTTGAAATAAACCCTAGACATCCCCTCATAAAAGACATGCTCAGACGTATTCAGGTAAGAAAGTTCTAGGACCCTGGGCATCTGTATTGTCGGGTCCTGCTGGAGCTACTTGAATTCTACCTTTTGAAGCTGTATTAAAGTAACTTGTTCCTTCTTCCTGTAACAAAATACCAAATGCTGGGTAACTCATGCTGCAGCCTATTTGGCTACATGTATGACAGCCCAGTGACCACAAGCTCATTTTGTTGTGCTAATTTTTTGCTTCTTTCTCAGGAAAATGAAGAAGATCAAACAGTTGCTGATCTTGCTGTGGTTTTATTTGAGACTGCTACCCTAAGATCAGGGTATCTGCTACCCGATACAAAGGAATATGGAGAAAGGGTAGAAAGAATGCTTCGTCTGAGCCTGAACATTGACCCAGAAGAAAAGGTTGGTTAAAACGTCAAGGCAATTGGCATAAGCCTTCAATTCAGTTTAATTGGCTCTTCATTCAAGAAGCACAGTGGTATTCAGTACAGAATTGGAACATACTAATCTAGTCAAATGCTAACAGAACTGTAACCAGCTATTACTTAAAAGCAAGGCTGAAAATGTCCTATTAGCTAGCTATTAGGCCACTTACATAATTATAGAAATGTAAGAATTAGGAAAACAGTTGTCTGAGCAGAAAAGGAACATAATTGAAATTAAGACTCAGCTGCTGTACATCACAGGTGCTTCTGTGCTATGGTTCCTTCATCTTATACCTACTTTGGTGTAAATTTAACTAGAGAGAATACGCTTTTGGGGGGAGGGAATGCTAGGAACCGAATTGGAGCTTGTGCCAATGAGCCAGAGGTTCCCTATGCCAAATACCCAGTTTAACACACTTAAATTTTTTACTACTTCCCCAAAATGAAATCCCATGCGCAGTAATGTACCATGACTGCAAATGTTCCAATGGAAGTCTTGGGTACTAATCCTGCATTGTCCAGAGAGCCTTAACAAGAAAAAATCACACTTGGTATTGATTTAAAGTATTTTGGAGGATGGTTGGTTGGTTTTTTTGTTCACTAAATAAAATGATTTCTGAAAGGTGGAAGAAGAACCAGAAGAACCAGAAGATGCTACTGAAGAGGTAGAACAGGAAGAGGAAATAGAAGCTGATGAAGACGCTGAAGACAGTGAATCAAAGGTTAGTGCTATTGTGTGCGATGGTGCAAAACTTTACATAATTGAAAATGGAATTCTAATACGTGTTTTTCAAAAGGACATCATATTCCCTTTATCCAAATAATACAATCTTGTGTTTCTGGTTGATTAGAGCAGGCCTAAAGTAGAGGCAAACTGTTTGGACTCATTTAAAGTTGCTAATAATTGGAGTACTGTTTTTGCTCTGGCCCAGTGTGGTGTCCTAGATGTTATTGAATTCTACTTCCTATCAGTTCCAGCCAGTATGGCCAGTGGTCAGGAATGATGGAAGCTGGGAATCATTCGGTATCTAGAGTGCACCACATTGGCTATTCCTGCTCTAAAGCTGAGTAATGTAAACCTTGCAAATAGGAATAAAAAATGCCATACTGCTTAATAGCAAGCCTAGAAATAATGTTGAGACGCTTGTACATTCTTTTACAGGCAAGTGTTTGTGCCTTGAAACATTTGACTTAGTCTTTTCTTTGTCTGTCTTCCAGGAGCCCACAGATGTAAAGGATGAATTGTAAAATGCACTCTCACAAATCGTATCCTGTGTCTGGGATGAAACAGGAATGTGAACTAAATTTGTTTTGGTTTGTTTTTTTTCAATGTAAAATGTTGGGGGGAGGCTTAGGGTTATGGGCAGGAGAGAATTTTTTAAGTTGCATTTTTTAAACATTCCTCACAATGTAAATTTGTACTATTTAACTGACTACTTGGTGTAAAATCTTGTCATGTGTACAAAATTAAAATGTTCACACCATTTGCTGTATGGGGCAGCGGAGGTGCTTATTTACTTACCTTGAAATTAAGCAAAGTTAGTCTGTTAGTAGAACAACCTTGTTGAAAGAGAAACAATGGAAGAAAAGTGGGAAAGGAAAACCTGTTAACTATTTTACAGGAGATGCTTAATAATCAGAACTGATAAAGGTATGGAGCACCATCTGTGTTTTAGAAAGTATACACTATTCAGAAGCCAGAACATAATTACTTAAAAATATAGGGGATTGGAAATAGGAATCGATGCTATTTTGTCAATTCTGCTATTGCAACAGAAGTTATTCACAGCTATAATAGGCAGGTTCTAAATTACTTGTACTTCCTCAAACAAGTAGAATGCCCAATTTCCAGGTTCTGTATGTTTTTAAAAGAGATTAAATTAAATTACTTCCCTGTTTTTTGTATGAAAATAGTGGACCTCATTTATTAACAAGACCTGACTAGTTGCTGTTTCAGAAGAAGAAAAACCTGAACACTCATTTCTTGTGTAATTAAGAGGTCTATGAGTGATATGCAACAATGGAAAAAGATGGAAAATTGTGGTGCTGGAAGATGTAGCAAGGTGGAACTACAGCCTACACGAGGCATTGTACCAAGGAGCTAGGCAGCAAAAAAAATGAGAACTAGAGCAGAGACGTATGTGGTCACATGACAAGTTGAGCTTTGTAGCAGTTATCAATTCTGAACTCGTCCACAAGGTCTTATATATAGAATGTATGCCAATCTATAAGGTGGTAAATCCTGAACAGCAGCGATACCTTCCACTGCAGGAAAAAAGTCTAGTTGGTACAGCAGATAACTATAGACACCTTATATTAAACTGGCTGCTCTTAATATAGATTTAAAGGACAATCATAACAATTTCTACTGAAGAAGTACTAGTGAACTCAATGAGGTAGATACATTAGGATTGTAGCCTAAGGCTTGCCTACAGAAAGCACACTTCACGCAGCTTTGTGAAACGTGAGTTTATTGCACCACCACTTTTAGGGAGTGAAAATCCAAGGAGGCAACCATCCATCTCCAGTTCCCATTATTTTCATCAACTGGGCTACCCTCCCACCATTGGAACCAACTGTTCTTTAGTGGGTGTCATTTTGCTGCCTTTTACTGCAGAGGCTGCAGTGCTAGAACCTACAAGGCCCCAACCTGCAAATCCACCTCCATTACAGCCACTTTAAGGTAGGCTTGACACCCTTGCTTGTTGGAAGCCCATTATAGAATTGTGAGCAGCCTACAGCAATGGATGTATCTGCTCTGATGAGGGGCTGATGAGGGGCTGACAGATTTCTTCCTATGCCCCAAATAGCCAGTCTGTAAGGTCCATTGCAAGTGCATTGCAACTCTTTCCAAGGTGTTTGATTGACACTAACCAAATGTGTAACCAAGAACTAGTACTTCAACGGACAGCTGCATATTTCTGCATTGCAGGAGGTTGATGATCCTCTATTAATAGGTGTCCCTATTCTATGAGATACCTTTTGCTCTTGTGTCACATCTTAGTCCCTGCCCTTGGGCTGACAACCTGGCTCATTGATCTCTGAAAGTCACTCTGCAGACCTTTTTCAGCAGAAGGGTAGAAAAGCTTAACACCTCATCAAAAACCTACAGAAACGGTTTTAAGGAAAAGGGGGGAAATAGTACTGGCATATTGTGCCATATAGAGAGAGCAATGCTACAGGTACATATTGAGACAAACCAGACAGCTAAGTAAAAGACTGCCTTGTATTGCATGGGAGGAAGTAAAAACATTTTGACTCCAGAAAATGGGCATACACTAGATGACTTGTATAGCCAGTGTTGCCAGAAAACTCTGAAATTGCACAGGTTCAATTATAAATACGAAAGAGCAGTTTGTGGAGGAACATAATCCTTGCATCATCACTGTTGTGAAGGCTGAACTTCCTGATTTCTTTCTTTGAGCCCCAATAGTTCAGTTCTGAGTTCTCCAGGCTTGGGAGGAACTTCTGGTATTGTCTAAAAAAAGAAAAAAGGCAAGTCATACTGATACCAAGAACCACAAGTTCAGTTTTTAAATTTATAGCTTTGAATATATGCACACTTAGTGGAAGCTTCTAAGTCATGAACCATGATAAGGTATTAGCTCTAACCCAGGTGTGGGCTTCTGGGTATTGCTGAACTACAACTCCCATCAACCCCAGCAAGCACAGCCAATGGGCAGGGATAATAGGTTCAGCAACATCAGGAGGGCCAAAAATTCCCCACACTCCATTTCAAAATGCACAAAATGGATAAAAGGCTAAAACAATAAAGGAATATTTTGAACTGCCTTTGGACACAGATCTGCAGGCTTAGGGAAAAGAGTAAGGTGTTCAAAGCCATCCAGGCAACAGAAGATCCAACTATTATTGCTCAGCAGCTCATCTAAGGCCTAGGCTACTGTCTATCCTGGGATGGACAGTAAAAAACACACAACCTACAGTCTTGGGAGATATATTACCTCTCGGAGCTGTATTGGGGAATAAGTGTATGCCCAGTGTTACTGTGTTGTTTGATGTAAGCTGTCCTGGGGGTCCTTCTGAAGTTGAAAGGTCAACTATTTCAAACAAACCAATACATAAATGGGGGGGGGGGGGGAGAAGCCACTTACAAGATCAGGCCTGTAATATCGATGGACAACTTCTGCACCAGCAAACATGGCCAACATACTTGCACTGAACATTTTCAGGTAGCGAGGCCAAGCTACTCCTGCAGGCATAGCCAAGAGCTACTAGCAGCAACTGGAATACAAGTAAAAGAGGAAGACGAGGACACTGACTAGGAAAGAAATGGCATGAACTCTGATGACATAAAAGGAAAATGATTCCAGGATAGAAACACAAGATGCTGGACATTCTGGCAGTGCCTATCGCTGGCTGTATCCAACTAATATGCTCAAAATGGATTTCAATTGATTAACTTAAGTTTGTTGATTACAATGGATCTACTACACTATTTCTTGCTCAAAGCCACACAGCAAATCCCCAACACAGAGATGGAAAAACAGTTTTAGTCTGCACTCCCATGCACAATTACTTAGAAATATGTCCCACTGCGCACAGTGGGACTTCTAAGTAGATGTGCATGGGACTGCAATTTCAGTCCCATGTGCATCTAAGAAATCGTTGGCATGCTGTGGGCTCCAATCCAGGAAATTTCTGAAAACAACACATTAGTCTGTCATGGCATAAATTTGTGTGCCAGCTATGCCCATTCCTGGAGATGTCAGATCTGGCTATGGTGATACATACCTTAGGTACAATCCGTTTGGATTAATGAAACACACCCTAGATGGGACTGTATTTATTGCAGTAGTCTAACCTAGAGTTTACCAGAGCATAGAGAGCAGTAGTTGGGCTTTCCCTCTTCAGATATGGGCCACCAGCCAAAGCTGATGGAAAGCACTCTGCGAATAATTGTATTGTAAATTGGTATTGTTATAATGAGGCTATTATTGGAATCTAATTGAAAACTAATAAAAATTATCAAAAAGAAAGAAAAGAAAGAAAGCACTCTGCGACACAGGCCACCTGCGCCTCAAGGAACAGTTGCAAAGGATCCAGCAAACGGCAGTCTCCACGTTGGGAGAAATGGGTTGCCTGCGGGTCTCTTAAACGGTTCTCCCAGACCCATGAAACCGAGCAAATCCGCCATGTGACAAACACGCATCTTGCCCAACGGACACGCGTGTCCTTCCACAACGCCAAAAGGCAAGCCAGGCTCTTCCCCACGGAAAGGAGGAGATGGGGGGTGGGGTTCTTCCATAAAGCTCCCTGGTTGCCAGCACCGCCCTGAGGTTCCCTCTTACCTGCATCAACCCTGATCACTGGCTCGTCGGTGGCGGAGACTAATCTCACGAAGGACAAGCCGAAAGAAGGTTCTCTTTGGCCGGACCAGGAGCCAATAGGGGACGCGGAAGGCAAGAGCAACGCACAGGTCAAGAAGTCACGTGTACGACTAGATGTTACGTCCCATCACTCTTCTGGAACTTGAAAGCACTCTAGAGATAGAAATGTGGAATCGCGTGTAGCCTTTCCATTCGTGTAGCCTTTACATTCACGGGAAGATTTGAAAGACGCCCATGGCTGTAATTCTCGCCCTAGGTGCTCTACGCCTGCTCTAAAGTGTAACGTATATATGGGGGGAAAGCCCTAAATATTCCGCATCGGGAGATAAAGGAGGAAAGCCGTTCGCTCTAGACCGGCAGTGCTATAATAAGGCTAATGAACTAAGTCACTCCTATTTTTGCTATGTCTATGATGAAGTAATAAAATAAAATTGAAATAAAATAAAATTTTGTATATATATGTATGTATGTATACATATACGCACACACACGGAAGTAATAAAATTAAATCTTGCCGTAGCTCAGTGCATCAGCTCCGCCTGCATAAGGTCCTCCCACGTTTGGCCCCACATCCCTCCAGCAAACCCAGGCAGGGCTGCGAGAGAGAACCCAGCCTGACACCCGCGGTTCCGGAGCGCTGCTACCCTTCAGACCAGGCAACGCCGAGCCACGTCGGCCAACGGAGCAAAGGCAAGCTTCCTACGTTGCTGAAATCGTAGCCCCACGTTTCTCCATCCCGGATTTCTACGATAGGCCGCGCCGCGTGTCAGTCTATCCTTTTCCTGTCTCTGTGGGCCGGCCGGCCAGCCCACGCCGGCGCCGCGGAACCAGAGAGAGTCGACGGCAGAAGGTACAGCGCGCGAGCTGTGGGGGGAGGGGCCTTGCCGGGGGTCGCGCGGTATTGGAGGTTGGGCTTGGCTGGCGCTGACTAGGCCTCGAGTTCTCGCCGGGCCTTCGCTAACTGGGGAGGTGGGCGTCGGGAGACGTCAGCGCTCGGGAATGGAAGCCGAGGAGCCCGGCCCCAGGTAGAGGGGGCGGAAGGAGGCCGAGGCCGAGCTCGCGGGTGGGCAGGGGGGCGGAGGGGGCCGTGGTCGCCTCCCCTCCTGCCGTGGAGGAGGCTGCGGCGAGTACAAAAGGCTTCCAGGCCAGGGTCTCCTGCCACAGGCAGGCCAAGGCCTGAGCCCGGAATGGGAAGGGGGAGAGGGGAGTGAGCGAGGCTCTGGGTCGCCTCTGTATTGTTATTTATGGTGCGTGTTTATATTATTGATACATGGGCAGATGCACACAGGATGGAGGGCTGCATAGCTCTCTCTCTCTCTCTCTCTCTCTCTCTCACACACACACACACACACAAACACAAACACACAATTATGTATACTTACTAGCATATGTGTAATATTGGAGCAAGATCTGTTAGGTACGCTCACAGTACACATTTTACTGTCATGACTCCCCTGTATATGTGTGTGTGTGTTTATTGTTGTTGATTGCAATTTTTAAAAATGGTTCTCATGCACCATGCCCTGAGATCCTTTGCTTATAGGGTGGGTTATAAATATTTACAAACACACGCACACACACATATATATATTGATTGGTGTCCATCTGTCTCGGGAGACAATGGAGGAGTGAAGGCAAACTGTTGGAAGGCAGAGACTGGTATGAGAGAGGCATGTTTTGTGCATATACATGTGCACATACATACATACAAAGCTGCTACCAGACTGGGCGGGTGGGCTTGGCATGATTCATATTATCAAAAAGTGCCCATACATAGAAAACTGGTGTGTCAGAAAGAGGCTTGAAGCCTCTGGTGTCTAATTTTTCTACAAGTAAAGGGCATGGGACTGGTGTAATTGAAGAGGGTGTAGTGAAGTGAGCTTCCACCTGCAGTGTGAAATGGTACAATCCACAAACAGGCTTACCAACTTGAAGCAGTTCATGTGGAACTAGGCCTCCACGAAATGTGTATTCAAAACTCTTCCTATTACCTTGGAAAGCAATTATCCTTTCTGCGGGTGTATATTCAGGATCAAATAATGTGGATGAGTTGCTTCTTTATGCTAGTTGTAAAGAGTGGTGAAAGGACGGTTTTTCATTGCCCGCTTTCAATTACACTTAAGGTGGAAACTAACTTGCCTTAATAAGTATAAGGGTAGAGCTGAGGATGCTAGTTGTTCCTCCTTTTTATAGTACAACAGCAATGGTCCAGTTCAAATTCTCTTCAAATAAACGCCATATGGGGCATGTCTATGAACTCAACTGCGGATAGGAACTAGTATCTGACCCATGACAGCAGGTTTTCCCAGCAGCAGTTTGCATGAGCATATTGGTACCTTTTTTATTATTTGCAGCATAGGAAGTCTCATGGGAAGCTGTGTTATACTGAATCAGACCAATCTCCTGCCTCTGCTCTATAGTCTTGCTGTCAAGAAGTGGTGCCTTTCAGTGTGTGTTGTAACTTCTTTTACTCTGCTTGTAGGGTTTTTCAGTGCTTGAACCAGGTTAGCATGTAGTGTTGAGACTCATTGACTTGATTAGCAATTGACAGTATTTTGTGCTTCCCAAATCGTGCAAACAGGAAATGTAACTCTCCAAATCATTTGTTTGTGTTTAAATTAGACTTTGAGAATCAACCCTGTTACCACTCTGATCATATATTTAACAAACAAAAAGCAAGCACAACTATTCAAGGGTAACTGGGGATACTTCCAGAACAGAGGTTAATAGAATAGATCTCACAAATGGGCTGTTGGCAACATTTTTTTAAATTAATTGGATTTTTCTTGGAAAGAGTAGGTCTGAATTAAATGGGGAAGTATAGAATGGTATTTTTACACAAACAACGTATTGGGAATGCTGCAAAAGATGTGCATGCCTAAGGAGCACCCATTCCACACCAAGCACCTGTCTGGAAGTACCCTTATTGTTGACCTTGACTGTGATCCTGTGGGAGCAGAAGTATATAATATATAAGATGAGAATTGTTGCCAAACATGGAAGAAATCCACCAGACTAGACTTGAAAATGCATGTCAAATACTACTTGAAATTTTGTTCCAAATTTATAATTTGAAATGGTAGTAATTTTAACCTTTTTAAATTATTTTTTAAAAGACATTATACTGCCCTTCAACCAGCATTTTATCCTTTTCCATTCCATCAAATGATGACTGGAGTTCCAAACATGGAGATGATGAATGAAGAGGAAGCACTTCAGGGGCCTTTGGAATCAGACTTTGTTCCAGAACCTGTTCAAGGTGTCTCAATTTTTTCCTTGAAATGTTTAAGCAAATATGCAGGAACATATTTCTTTTAGGATATCTGAAAACAGTTGGATAGCTTCATTCTTCAGAGTGGTGGTATTGCTGACCTGAACCAATGCTTATTGTGAAAATGTGCCCTTTTCTTTACAGTTTTTAAATATTGTAGTAAGAGGAAAGAGTGGACACTTCTAGCTTGAGCTTGCAAAAAAAAAATTCTAATAACTGATGAAGCAGCAGTTTACATGAACATACTTAACTTGTATTTCTGTTGTATACAGTAAATGGTGAATGTTGAAGTTACGGGAACAAGTTGCATAACTTGTCCATATCATGGTATTCATACATGCATTACATTGATCTCAGATTGTTAATGCAACCATTTTTATTCTGTTTTTTAGTTCAGAAACTGATCCCATTTAGTCTCACTTGATTATTCTACATCGATATTTAAAATAGTAGATTACCAATCCCCTTACAATTCTTGGATATTGTTACTCATTTCTGGATAACATTTAATAATGCAACTTCTTCGTTTGCAACATAACTATATGATTGCTTGCCATGTAGTTACTAAGTTATTTATTAGGATAATGCACAAAATAAAGTTTTGATGCAATCAAACTTTTCTTGCAGCCTTGTGTTTTCTATAGCAAATTGAATTTATTTGTAAAAGCAGCCTCTAGAACTAAACTTGAATAAGATTTCTCAAGTAATTTTTTATTGTGTACTTTCTCCAGAAATGGGCACTGGGCACTGGGGTCAGTTTCGATGCTCAGAGCTCATTTGCAAGGCATTTAAAAACCCTATTTCATGTATCAGCAGGTTTCTAGTAATATTTATCCATCCAAAGGTAAATATTAACAGCACGATGCTCTTTTCATGGCAGTAACAGGATGGATAAGTTAGAAAGATGTGGAGTTCTTCCAATGTTCATTGAGAATATTTGTTGAATGTCTTGTTTAGCTGAAAGATATTTTATTAGCTAGAAATAGATTTTTAAATGTAACATTTCACATCATCTCTGATTTTAAATAGTAGTATTTTGCCATCTCCAAAGACATAACAAAAAGTCATTTCCTTTTGTCTTTCAGCAACTGTTAAGGGAAGAAAGAGAAAAAACAAAACTTCTGAACCCAAGAAACCTGCTGCTAAAGTTGCCAAATCAAAAGCCAAACAAGAAAAAATCACAGATACTTTTAAAGTCAAAAGGAAAGTAGATCGTTTTAATGGCGTATCTGAAGCTGAATTGTTAACCAAAACTCTTCCTGATATACTGACCTTCAATTTGGATATTGTAATTGTAAGTCAAATGTAAGAAAGTTTTATCTGTAGATAACAGTTTTGCAGCCAGTTCAGTTAGCAACTTTGTAGTAAACCCCAAAGGGATGTCTGTGTTAGTCTGTTGCAACAATAGCATTCTGTTCTTCGCTTGTATAGATTTGGGCTCTGTACAGAAATGTTACAAACCTCCTCCTCTTGTATGACCTTTTGGCTCTACAGTGTAATGTTTTTCCCTGTGAGTTTCTCTATGAGGATAATTTATCATCCCCCCCCCATTTTTTTCTTTTTAAATTATAAGAAGAGGGTTGTTTGTTGTTTCAAGTGATCATTTTACTAGACTGGCTGGGAATAAAAAGTGATCACTTTCTGATATTTCCTTATTCCCAACAAATAATTGAGGTCTATTTTCACTTTTGCTTTTTCCTTAGCTGTTTTAAAGTATTTTCCTCTGTTTTAGCACAATGGTTTCCCATTGTCATAAACATTTCAACTATTTACAACAGATCTGTAAGAGCTGATGAGATAAGTGATTAACTTTATATTTTCTGGAACGTGAAAGTCATCTCTGAGATATTTCACATTTTAGTTCCATACCCTGCTTTGCTTCAGCAATTAATAGTGGTAAACAGGTCTTTATTTATTTAAAACATTTGTATCTTGTCATGCCTCAAAAAAAGCTCAAGGTAGCTAACAGAACAAAATCACAACTTAACAATTTTAAAACGTCAGTTGCCAAAAATATGAAAACAGCCAAAACAGAAATGGAAAGCAGCAACAATCCTCACTTACTAATAGCATTAAAATATATTCAAAGAAAATATAGACAGTTAAAACCAATGCATTAAAACCATGTTATAAAACCAAACACATAGGAGCATAATGTAAATAGGTGGGCAGGCTCATACAGGAAAAGGCAGCCCTGTAGATGACCCAGTCCTAAACCATTCAGGGCATAACAAGTATCCAAAGCACTTTGATTTATTCCAAGGAACAGATTAGAAGATTTAATTGTTCTTTTGTTTTCTAGATTGGTATAAATCCAGGTTTAATGGCAGCTTACAAAGGCCATCATTACCCAGGACCTGGAAACCACTTCTGTAAGTTCCTCCTTCTATGATCTCTTGAAACTTTTAAGAATGCAGTTTTAATTCTGCAATTTCTGATTGTAGAAGGGCTAGAGAAATGAGATTGTGGGCAAGATTTGGCTTTTGCTGGAAGAAGTGTAGTGAATGGCTGCATGGGTGAAATGGTGAGCATGTAAAATAGTGCATATTCAGCATGAATGCTAAAAAGGAAATGCCAAGCGGTGAGAAGATATTCGTTATCTCACTTCCTTCCAAGAACATCAGAGGCAAATTGTGTGGGAAGCACACAATAAGAGAGCCAAAAATGACACGGTGTTCAAGTACTGGTTGCCTAAGAAGTTGACTGCATTGTAACACAAACTATAAGAATCATATATTTTCCGCCTCCACAGGGAAGTGTCTCTTTTTGTCTGGGTTAAGTGAAGAACAGTTGAACCATATGGATGACCACACTTTGCCACATAAATATGGTATTGGGTTTACAAACATGGTGGAAAGGACAACACCAGGGAGCAAGGACCTTTCCAGGTAGGGTCAAGTTGGAATTCCGTAAATAGATCATTGGTATTTCCAGACCTGTTCTATAACTTAATATTTTCCTCCCACTTTTTAGCAAAGAGTTTCGGGAAGGAGGACGGATTCTGGTGCAAAAATTGCAGAAGTATCAACCTAAAATAGCAGTTTTTAATGGAAAATGTGAGCCTTTCATATACAAGATTTCTGCATATTGATTTCACTGGCATTGTATTGTGACTAACAGTCAATTTGTATTTAATTTGACTGTAGGCATTTATGACATTTTCAGCAAAGAGGTTTTTGGAGTAAAGGTTAAAAAGTTGGAATTTGGACTCCAGCCACATAAGGTTCCAGACACAGAAACAGTAAGTTCCTGTCATGGTTATGAAATGAAAACACAGAATCTTACCATTTGTGGAAGAATGAATTGATATAAACTTGTACTGATGAAGAAAAAAACACTCCTATTCAAAACTGTTACCTTAGAATTTAAGATTTCACTACCTGTGAGTGAGATTATGGAAGTTTTTGAAACAAAGTTAGTGTTCTTAAAAATGCTCTACCAGTTTGGAGGCTTCTGATTTAACATTGCCTTCTGTTTTGATATTTTTTCCCTTTTACAGCTTTGCTATGTTATGCCCTCATCCAGTGCAAGATGTGCTCAGTTTCCTCGTGCACAAGATAAAGTTCATTATTACATCAAGCTGAAAGACCTAAGGGATCAGCTGAAGGGTGTCGCGTCAAATGCAGAGGTCCAGGAAGTGCAGTACACATTCGACTTGCAGCTAGCACAAGGTATAGCATATGAAGCCAGAATAACCAGGATTTGCTCAAAAGACCTAATCCACATAAGAAAAATGAAGTGGGCCTGGGCAGCTGCTCAGTGCTGTAACTGGAAGACTGCAGTTGTGACCTATTTTAAACAAAAGTGTCCTAAACTTATGCATGATTTCTTGTGTGAAACTATTCCTTAAACAGTTTATCAAGAGAGCAAATAGAAAGTTTTTAATACATTTTGGAGGTCTTGTAACTTGTAATTCCTTAAAATTCTATTTTATACTGGATATTATATAATCATTTACAGTAAGGGTATAATTAGAATATACCTTCTGAGTAGGATAACAGTGTTATCCTGTTGAAAGACTCCTCATATGCTCAAGTCAAGAGTTTGAAATCTGATTTATTTTTCTCAATAAGGTTTTTATTGAGATTTTCCCATAATACAATAAGGTTACAGTTACCTCAGATACAAAACAAGAAAAAGAAGCAAAAGAGAAAGAGGCAACAGAGATAGAGAGAAGAGAGAGAGAAAACAAAGAAAGCAGAAACAGAGAAACATTAGCAAAAATGACAAAAGAGGGACTTCCGAGGGACTTCTGCAACCTTGGTTCTCGAACTTAATCTGTTCTGAAGTCCATTCAACTCCCAAAACGTTCAAAAACCAAGGCGTGGCTTCCGATTGGTGCAGGCGCCAGAGAAACAATAACCGACAGCCGCATCAGATGTTCAGCTTCCGAAAAGCGTTCAAAAACCGGAACACTTCTGGATTTTTGGCACTCAGGAGCTGATTTGTTCATTGACCAAGCCATTTGAGAACCAAGGTTCCACTGTACTGGTCATGTGCAGAAAGAATATAAAATTATTTAAAACCATCGGTCAATATGAACTACTATCCACTTCACTGTCTGTTAAACAATATTTCCTCTAAGTTACAGTGTCTCATAGTCATCGTTTTGTTTATTTTATGGAAAGTCCAAGATAGGTCCCCTAAATACTGTAATTATTTATAAGTGTTAACCATATTTCTTCTTTTTATTGATTCACACCAAGATTATTCCATATTGTATCATACTGTTTCTTTCCATCCATGTCTATATTAAGGTCTCTCCACTGTGATCATATATTATATTCCATTTTTGTTTCTCATATAACCACTTGTTCATGTCTGGTTAGAGATTTGATTTAAGCTTTCAATGTATGTGTGTGTGTGTGTGTTTCTTCAGAGGATGCTAAGAAAATGGCTGTCAAAGAAGAAAAATATGATCCGGGTTATGAAGCAGCTTACGGGGGTGCTTATGGTGAGAAAACAGCCGAGGAAGGTGAACCATGTAACTTCCCTTCAAATGGAACAGGTAGAGTATAGGGAATATTTTGTTTTCTCTTCATTTTAATCCATGTTCCCTGATGCAGAAGATAATTAGGATTGGTTCTATTAATTCCTTTTGTTTTAGACAAGTGCAACACTGCATTTGGAACTCAATGCAAAAGTATAAACTATTAAGGTGTTATAAAGTAGAAGTCACATTCTGCATTCACATGTAACTTTTTATATCTATTTTTAAAATCTGACATAGAGAAGCATGTATAAATCTGTGTAAGTAAAATTCAGTCTTTTCAGTTGCCATACATTTTCTCTGTCTTTCACTCTCTCACTTTATCACTTGTAAGATAATGACTATAATAATGATAAGCAGCAGCAGCCACAGCAGCAGCAGTGCTAATGCCAGAGGATCTAGGGGTACTGTTGGGGGACATGGTAAATTAGTGAGAAATAGCAAATCCAAAATCCAAAAAGTTACTCATGGTTATTTGACTTATTTATCATCTTTAGTGAAATAGAATAACAAAATACAAATTTTAAGTGACAGTTGGGCTTTTTAATTCCATTTATTTTCTATCTTGCTCTTCAGCCCCAAGTGATTCTCATAGTGGCTCACAAATAAAAATGAAACTACAAATGCAATAAACAATCTTTTATGAAGCAGCAGAGCACTAAACCAGATATTAGAACCAGAGCCGCATAACATCAAAACTGTTTGTTAAAATACTATCTAAAAAACAAATAAAAAGTAATGGCACTAACCCAGTAATTAATGTCAGCACAAAGTGAGACACCCTTCCAAAGATGGGACATTTGATGGGCAAATATTTCTCTTCCAGTGGAAAACAGACCAACAGGAATGCCTTGGAGGAAGGCATAGAATTCTTGAAGCACACTTACTTTCTTATAGGAGAATTGGCTAAAATATGGCCATCTTTAGTTTTTTAAAAATTGTTTTCTTAATGAAATAGATTGAGTAAGTTAGTTGCTTTAAGTTGTACATGTTTAACTTCTTTTTTAAATGGATAGCAGCTGGCTGGCTTTTGTAGCTGAAAATTTCATGGTGGGGAATGGGTTAGACTTGCAGGGGTGCCGAAACGTTTTTTCAAAGAGGGCCAGATTTGATGAAGTGAACATGCGTGAGGGCTGACCAAAGTTGTTGAGGTTTTTTTACAATTTTACCCCAAAGTTGTTGAGCTTTTCTTAGGATTTTACCCCAGGACATATAGTGCCACAGGGGCCGGATTAAATCAACCAGCGGGCCGGATTAGGCCCCCCAAACGGATTTTGGACATGCCTGGGTTAGAATTTCCCTGAGGTGGCTACCCTCAGCCACCCACCATCTACAGTCAGACAGATGAATGGATGCCCCCTGGTGGGCAAAATCTGTAACCAGCACATTTGGGGAAATGCCTTTTCTTCCTTCAGCCAGAGCACCAACTAAACGATTAAGTCATTTTGGTTTGTTTTCCTGCAGCAACCAGTGCAGAGTACAGCAGTGGATCTTCCTTTGGAGATGTCCCCAATGGACAGTGGATGACACAGTCTTTCACAGATCAGATTCCAGATTTCAGGAATTCTAGACCACAAGAGGAAGAAGGAAGCAATGCTTAAAGGCTGCCTTTTAAGCCAAGCGTAACTTCTGCAGGAGTTTTTTAAAATGTCAAGAATGGTACCTCAGTTCTCCAACTGAAGCATTTTTAAATAGCATTTTACCTCTTAGTTCTCTCTTATGATAACAATTTGTGTTTGTAGATTTAGACCTATGAATCAGGTCACTTAAAGAAAATGTTTTTTAAGAGATGAGGCTTCCCTGTTTCTTTCTCTTTCTTTCTTATTTTGTATGAGACTTTTGTATTTAAATGGTTCCATAGTTGCAGTTTTAGAAAACTTGACTTCTCATTGGTGAAAACTTTTTGTTTTGTTTTGTTTTAAATCTGTATTTTGTAATGTAGTTTGTGAACGTACATTTTTAACCTATCCCTTCATGTGTTGGGATATTTCATACGTGTGTTAGTCCATCTAAGGAGAGGGAAAGCTGCTTGTAGATCTAACATTGTTACTGGAAGTGACATAGCAAGTTATTGTCCAGCAAATCTGTTACACATAGTTGTAGGCCTGCCTCTGGTGTGAAGGAGGCTTGTTTTTATGGCAGAAAGTAGCGTGCAGGCATGTATGTACATCATTTGACTACTGCCACTTGAATGTGTGACCTGCCACCATTGAAAAGCATAAGGGTTGAACCAAATGATCACCAGGTCTCTCCTCTGTTACTTTATGGGGGCCGAGCACCTTCATCCTATTGTTGTTGTTTAATATCTGCTGCTATTTCAGCTGGCATTTTCACACTCTCCATTTCATTCATCCTCAAGTGATCCCAGTCAATCAGGGATTATATACTGGATGTGGTGACATTACAGTGCTGTGCAGCTGGTCAGATTTGACTGCTTGCTGATGTCACTAAGAGCAAGTGGGTTCTCCTTAGTGTAAGGGCACTGCTTCAGATTCAGATTTTGAGGATAATCTTGGCCCATAAGGGATTCTAAAATCAACATTTTAACAGCCTTTCACAGTGATCTCTGAAAAACAACTGAAAGTTGTAGCACTTCTTTCAGTTCTGAGCTAAGATTATCCTAGCACATGCCTTTGTTCAGGCCTCCCTTTACTGCTTCTGGCTCAGCCTTAAAAAGCTTTCCTTGTGAGAAATGGAAATCCTGCCTCCAGTGGATTGTCTTTGATGGCCCATGATAAACATGCATGTGTGAACAATTCCTTAGTGTGTGAGAGAAAGTGTGTGTGTAAAGAAGAGAGGTATGAGGAGACTGTGCACATGTTTCTGAGAGTTTAATACCTCGATCTCATAGCCACTTATCTCAGGAAGATGGAGGGGAATGCTGTAACTGCCACATTTTGTGTGTTCCCTTCTGCCTGCCCTCTGAAGGTTGAGCTGCTGGTGGGGAATGGCTAGTAGTGTAGCTCTTGGAATGGAAAGATATAGTGGTGGGGATTTAGGGCTAGGGAACATGTGGTCATCCAGATGTTTTTGGAATCCAAATCCCATCAGCCCCGCATTGCATGTCCAGGATGACATGCAATGGTCCAGGATGATTGGAGTTGTAGCCCAACAATATATTGAACAGCACATGATCCCCAACCCTGATTTAGTGTTTCAAGAGAACTTTTGGCCAGAATAGAGAACCACCTTAAGAAGGAAATATGTATGCTCTGTACAGTGGTACCTTGGTTCTCGGACTTAATCTGTTCCAGGAGTCAGTTCAACTTCTGAAACTGTTCAAAAACCAAGGCACTGCTTCTTATTGGCTGCAGGAGCTTCCTGCACTCAAGCGGAATCCGTGTTAGAGATTCGGCTTCCGAAAAACATTTGCAAACTGGAACACTTACTTCCAGGTTTGTGGCGTTCAGGAGCCAATTTGTTCGACAACTAAGCCGTTTGAGAACCAAGGTTCCACTGTATAGGCTTTTTAAATACATACATGCCACAGGAGGAGGAAAACATTGGAAAGGAACTGGGGGCAAAAGAGGGTTGATCTGAAGAAGCTTCACCAGAATTCAGCATTTTTCATTTTTAGGAAACATCACATTCCACATCTTGCTGGCCAAAACGATGGTGGTGGTGGTGTGACATTCAGGCAGCTACAAGCCTACCCTAGGAAATGGACATAATTACCCAACTACAAAACATTTCCTAATGGTTTGGGGCACAGTGACATTGCATTGCAGACACAGCACCTGCATATGGAAGATTTCAGTAAGCTTGCCCTGTCCTCCCCTCCTACTCATGGCTACTCATACAGGCAGTGCTACGGTGTTGGGAGAAATGGGAAGTCTCTGTGCATTTCCACAGACCTATTGAGCCCCTTCTCTCCATGCCTTGCAAAAGTTTGGGTATAAGTGAAGGAGATGTGTCCCTTTCCCCTCTAACATTCCTTCGCACTGCCTTGTATGCACAAGTGAAGGAGGGAGAAAACAGCCTCCGTTTTAGCTCTGTTGGAATTCTTTGCTTGCAAGTTTTGAGCCCACAATGCAAGTGGATCGTGCTCATTGTCTTTGGATAAACTTAAATTGATGTTGGGAGTATTTGTTCTGTCTGTGCCTAATATCTTGCTTCCTTCTCTCTTCCCCGCACCTCCTTTTTGTCACAAGTGGGGAAGAGATGGCTTAAAAGTAAAAGCAATAAGAGGATCAAACTGAAGTTTTGATCATCTGCTGATTAGGTGCTTCGGATACTTGAATTATGCGCAAGAACTGTGTCTCCATAATGTGTACATAGTCTAGATCACTATTTAAGTATGCCACAAACAGCTGGATTTATTTAAAAATGTCTTGTGTGTGTTTGGATCAGGAACAATGGTTTGAGTGGATCAATTTAAAGTAGATCCATAGCTTGCTAGCAGCTTTGAACCTTATGTAGTGTTTTGACTTGCTGCTCATTGAGAGATAAGCATGTTTGTGATCTCCCTCCAAAATCATGTGCTTTAATCCACAAATACAACATTGTTGTTTTTTAAAAAATAATAAGATTGAGGTGTATATTCTGGTTCTGATCATGTCGGTTAGTTGCTGTGGAAACTTTTCATCACCTGGTCAACAATCTATAAATGATTCACTTGCAGCACAGTCCTATGCATGTTTACTCATAATTAAGCCCTCCTGTGTTCAGTGGGATTTACTCCCTAGTAAGTGTGTTCAGGATTACAGCCTTAGGTTTTTTAAGGGTTTTTTTAATGTATCGCTGTTTACATGGACACTTTCTTGCAAGTGCTTGAAGTGCCTTGCATCAGGGATCTGAAACAATTTTTAGTTTTAACAAAGCTATATTGCCACAGGTGGTGGACAGCTCAGTAGTAACTTTAGTTAAGTGTGAAAGGGGAACATCTTACTTAAAAGAGAATCCATTAGATTACCAACAGGTTAATGAAATGTGAATGCACGTCTATTGTCAAACATGGTGCTTTTAAAAATTGTATTGAACACTTCTGATCTGCCAATTTCTTGCAAAAAACAAACCAGGAATTGTTGCAGTATCTTCTGGTGCTTAATTGTGGCATTGTTTAATAAAAGTCTTAATGCTGAATTGTTTGTGCTGTTGAAAAGAAGAAATGGATAAATTATTTGAAATAAATAAAAGAACGGATGTTTAATTTTGGTTTTAGTTTGACTTCATAATGTATACTTAAAGTAAACCTTATTTTTATTCAAAAAGTGTTACAGTCTGCAAAAAACAGTATTTGGTCTCTCAGCAAGAAACAAACTTTATTTACAGAGTATGACTTAAAATGTAGTCCCTGTTTTTATAAAGTACTTTCCTTAAGCCTTGTAGCCCTAATGGCATGACTTGAAGCTTCCCCAAACTGTGATTGTTTCATCAGGGCCCCAATGAACTGTTCGTTTTGAGCCATGCTTTTAGTTACAGACTTATGCAGCGGCTTTATATGCAACAAAGGAGGTGAACTCGCATCGCAAAATATTGCATAGAATGAAGTATCTTGTGCATGCTGCAAATGACTGACCCTGATCCTTTAAAAATGTAAATGACAGCATCAGCTATTAGGACGAATCAATTTAAAGGTTCCTGAAGGGTCAGGAACAAACCACTTTTCCCATAGGTCAGTGTGAACACTAGGGTGATCCCAAGGCTTGTATCTTCCATTCCAGTGAAGTAACTTGGCTTCATTAAGAAAGTGCTCTGAGTACCTGGCATCTGGGCTCCAGCCTATAGGGGGGGAAATTAGATAAGATTTTTATAGAGCCCTTACTGGAAAACTCTTCACTCTTTAAACAAAATAGTGCAGCTTTCCTCCAGTTCATCATAAACACTTGCTTAACACTCTGTCATTTGCAGCACCATCCCATCCATGTCTACTCAGAAGTAAGTCCCATTGAGTTCAGCAGGACTTGCTCCCAGATAAGTGGGCATAGGATTACAGTAAATACTTAACTATGGCTTGTTCACACTCCATAGCTATATTTAAATAATTCCAGAAAGCTGTACCTGTGCACCATAAAGGAACTTTACCTGTGTACCAGGATTTCATCTCCCTGCCATGCCCCATTTGCACCACAGTCTTGGGAGAACAACAGATTTAATTTGCAAAGAAGAAATCTGATGTATGTGCTGTCTCTTACAGTCTGCCCGGCTTCAAACTATACAGGTGTGGTAAAGGTAAAGGTACCCCCGACCATTAGGTCTAGTCGTGGACAACTCTGGGGTTGCGCCGCTCATCTCGTTCTATAGGCTGAGGGAGCCGGCGTTTGTCCGCAGACAGCTTCCGGGTCATGTGGCCAGCATTACTTAAGCCGCTTCTGGCGAACCAGAGCAGCACACGGAAACGCCGTTTACCTTCCTGCCAGAGCAGTACCTATTTATCTACAGTGGTGCCTCGCAAGACGAAATTAATCCGTTCCGCGATTTTTTCATCTTGCGAAGCACGGCTATTAGCGGCTTAGCGGCTATTAATGGCTTAGCGGCTTTAAGAAAAAGGAAACAAACTCGCAAGAACTTGCAAGACGTTTCGTCTTGCGAAGCAAGCCCATAGGGAAATTTGTCTTGCGGAACGACTCAAAAAACGGAAAACTCTTTCGTCTTGCGCGGTTTTCGTCTTGTGAGGCATTCGTCTTGCGAGGCACCACTGTACTTGCACTTTGACATGCTTTTGAACTGCTAGGTTAGCAGTAGCAAGAAGCAAATACAATATCATTCTAAGGAACCCTTAAAGGCCTTTTGCATTTTTGTTTCAGCTTGCACAACTCAAGTCTCAAACTTACCTAGATGTCGGATATGCCATAAAGGATTAATATGTGAATATTTCTCATGGAATACAATGAGCATTGGAGAAGTGGCCACACCTCCAGCAAGAGTGCTGCTGTACAGATTTTCTCTGAAAAATATATCAACGGGAATTGAAAGATCTGTTTAGAATACCTTTTCAATGAATAGCAAGGCACAGCACAATTCATTTAGATGAGAAGAGCTTTTGAAATAGTTGTGAAACTGAACCTTAGGATTCCTTTTCATTTAAGATTGCAAGTCCAGAATATTACATGATAGTATAAATGCTATCATTGATAAACTCTCTGAGCATATTCCTTCATTCCAAAAGGATGTGCTGAAGGAAGCTGATTTAATTTTCTTGCATTTATAAGCTGCTTCTTTTCTATCTTGGAACCTGAGGTGTTGCTACAGCCAGCACTGGCCAGACCCAGACCTGCTTAGCCTCAGGAAGCTGGTGACCTCATGTGCCTTTAGACAATACCCTGGGGTGGCTTTAGTCTGCTACATCATTGACTTGAAAACTGGGCTTTTTGTGATGATACTGAGATTTAAAAAACAACAACAAAAAACATCAGAATCATATGCACTCCTAGGGTGCATATGAGAAAGCTATCACATTGATCACCTTTAATGGTCCATTCAAATGCTGAGTGTATTGCTGGCGCAACCATAACACCCAAGCTAGCCTGCTGTGAACACCAAGCAGAGAATTTGCAGTGCGTATGCTAGTCCACACCAGACCCAGGTGAGAGAGAGAGAGAGAGAGAGAGAGAGAGCGAGAGCGCACACACTGTTTATACATACTCTACATTTTTCTGCATCCATTTTTCTAATTGCTTTGTGATTCGTTGATGCTTCCATTCCGTCATATTTGCAACAATGACACCAGGATTAAAGGAACATGTGCTGGGACTTATGCCAAGATCTCGGATTGTTTGTTTTCGGTAGTCCAGAAACCCCATATAGGTATTCTAGGGGGAAGAACAAAACATGTGATTACTATAAATTAACCTAGATATTCTCAAAATTTTATATTTGTGAGTGGTACTAGCTCATTCCATGTCCCAGGTTTTTAGGGCAGGGGGTGGTAGTGGAGGAAGAGAACAGAAGACATGTTTGTAGCTGTAAAAGGACTTGGAGAGGCAAGTTTATTAGCTTGTATTTATTTTTATTTTATTAGGATTCATATGGTGGGTCACAACAGATTGAAAGACAACATTGTGAACATGGAAAATAAAATATAATTGCAGAATCCATTGCTTGATGCAAGTAGTAAAGAGTCACACAGGCTATGCAGCCTGAAAGTCAATTAAATAGCTCATTCCCATTGTGCTGATAACACCTTGTGACAAGCACCTCTGATTTTCTGCAGGCTTTTTATGGAGCTCTCCCAGAAGGTCTGCAGGTTTCTCAGCCTGCCTCCCTCATACCAGTGCAGCACCAGAAATCCAATTTTTCCAATGCCCGCTGCAAGGACTTCTTACCTGCATTCCAATGCTTCTCACAATTTCATGAGTGGAAGGCAAATCACAGTCATCCGAAAAAGCTGCCGCATGCCCACGGGCTAGTTTGGTGTCATACAGATCTTGGATGTCACCTAAAGAAAAGCCAGGCTTATTCAGAAGCCCCATAAGTCTGTATGCATTGCTATGTTAGCGGTCTTTACTGCTCACCTGTTTCTGATGCAAAAACCTGCTACCCTCTAAGGATTTCGGTGTGTAGCATTCAAGGCCGTCTTTAGCCAATGCAGCGCCAGGGTGCAATTATCCACCCAGTGCCCCCAAATTACCACGGATAGTGTTGTGGTGGCCATAGCTGCACACTGCCAGCCATCGGGGGGCGCAGCTTCCCTCCCAAGCCTCCTCGGGAGGAGAGCAATCCCCACAGAGGCATCGGAGGGAAGCTGCACACCCGCCAGCCTTATGTTTGGTGGGGCGCAGCTGGTGGGCATGTAGGGAAACGGGAGGCTGCTGGCAAAGCCGTGCAGCTCCCCCACTTGCTTGGGCGCCCCGCAAGGCTGCCACCCTGGCACAACGCACCACTAAGCCCTATGGGAAAGACGGCTCTGGTAGCATTACTACCTCTGTTTTCAAAATTTGGGGTACAGGGCTGAGCAAAGGAATCCATTCCAGATCTCATTTCTGGTGATGATAGACCTACAGAATATAGGCTTTAGTTGGGATTTTCAACCTTCTAGGGCTTATTTTTCTGGACAAACCTACCTTGCACAATCACATCATCGTCGAGATATATCACTTTTTCATGTTCATGAATAAGCAGGGGGAGGTAAAACCGCACAAAGTTTAGCTGTTGAAATTAAAAAGGGAGTCAGCAAAGTAGAAGACATAAGACATTCAACATTATATTTCGTATGTCCAGTTTAAAATATTCATCATTCAGGCAATATCCTGTTGGGGATAGAGTGCATTCTAATAACACATAATGCACAGGGGTGTGTCTGTGTGTTTTGCTGGTTTAAGTTATAAAAAAAACAATGTTTATTGGACTAAAACCTGCCTGAAAAACATTAACTCTCCAGTCCTCAGTGGTGGAGGCAAAGCGACTAGCCTTTGTGTTTTCAGAAAGCAGGAGTCGCCATTGTTTCTTTGTCCCAGCATCACTCACAGGTGTGTGATCTGATGAAGGCAGTATGCAGCAGAGATTTAGGTCACTCCCAGTCAATCTTTTTGATATTTCAGGCTGATTTGGTTGCAGGGAGATTGGAAGGGCTTTTCTAGATAGGGTGAGGGTGTGCTCAGTTATGCTCTCTGTGTGCACTTGGGGGGAGAGAGAGGGGGCGGGGAGAGAGAGAGAGAGAGATGCATGTGCAGTTTGTGTATTTGGGAGGAGAGTGAAGGAGATATGTCTGTGTGGCTGTTTATATGTGAAGTGCTTAAGTCTGTGAGAGAGACACAGAGATGCATGTGTGTCTGTAGCTTGTATGTGTCCAGGGAGTGTGTGCATGCACACGCACTGTATGTACAAGAGACCATGAATGTGTATTTTTCCCTGGTCCTCCCTGCTGTTATTAGGCAGCAACAGCACTGCCTAATAGTTTTCCACTACCAGGACCAGAAGAGCACAGATAACTTCCCACCACAAACAATGAGCTTGTTGGGAAGGGAGCAGCAATGACTGTACTCCTCTCCTTTCGTGTTATGCTATGTGCCCCAGGGTAGACATTTTGCGACTGGTGCCCACAGAAATTTGAAAGATGCCTGCTGGCCCAAAAAGTTTGGAGACCCCCAGTCTACGGGCGTCTGTATACTCACAGGTTGAAGTAACTCGGGCCGTGCTGCATCTGGCCTCATTTTCCCTTTTAGCACCATGGGGTTGAATTCCACAATTTTAAACCTTATATCTTTCAGCTTGGAATTTTCAATCCACTTTCTAGAAGCAAAAGAGAGAGAGAAAGGAATATATGACAGAACACCTTAAGCAATGAGTGTCTTTGTTGCATCCCTTGCTGCTCATTCTATCCCCTTATCCCTGGTCATATTGCCCACTCCATTTCTCTACACACGGTACTTTTTCTGCAATATGGTGGAATATGGAATAGTGGGAGAAAATATTACGGGCAATTTCTAAGTCCTTCCAAACTCTGCACTCCAAATGACATTCTTCAGTCACCTGAAGTGTCCAGTGTTTCAGCTTACTGGTGTGACCTTCCATATGGAATTCCAACAGGTCCTGGGATGAGGATATTTGATCTTCTGCCCCTTGCTCAGCTGGCTCACCAGTATACTAAGCTTTAGACATAGTTTTTCCCTGCATTGTCACATACTAGAACGTGAGTTGAGGAAACAGCTCATTGTCTTTTGACTGCTTAGACAGCATCCCAGCAGGACTCCTACTGCTCTGCTTCCTCAGCCATTCCCACGTGGGCATCCAACAAGTTACATGGCTCTTCAGCGGCCGGATCCTAAGCACAGAATTGAGCCCTGTATTTCCCCATCACATTATTTTCACCTGATATGCGGAATGCCATTCTTTAGTCCAACTACGTAGAACAAGACATTGGAATCGGTGTTGCTGTAAATGCTGCTGATTGCTGCTATCGCTGCACCCATTCTGCCTGCAGCAGCACATATCACCACAGGGATTTCCTCTTCCATTTCCTCAGGGCTCTCCAAATCAACTGGTAAGAATAACAATAAAAAGAGTAACAACCACCACCATATGTGTTATTACACACAATTTATATCGTTCTGCTACAACTAGCACTTTATGGAAGTCCCTTAAAGAGTGGGGTAGAGAGTAGTGTTCACAGAATAATAGAATTTTAGGGCTGGGAGGGACCCCAAGAGGCATCTAATCTTCCTGCCTGCAATGCAAGAATGTCAGCTAAAGAATCCCTGACAGTGTTGCTGAAAGTCAATTCTATCTGAGTATCTAAGTTTGTGGAATTCACTGCCCTTTTATATTAGGCAGGCATATTCTGTGTTTAGTTTCAGATGCCACTTTAAAACATTGTTATTTACACAAGGTTACCTTACACAGCGCGTGTGGCGCTGTGGGTTAAACCACAGAGCCTAAGACTCGCCGATCAGAAGGTCGGCAGTTCGAATCCCTGCAATGGGGTGAGCTCCTGTTGCTCGGTCCCTGCTCCTGGCAACCTAGCAGTTTGAAAGCATGTCATGTGCAAGTAGATAAATAGGTATCGCTCCAGCGGGAAGGTAAACAGTGTTTCTGTGTGCTGCTCTGGTTCACCAGAAGCGGCTTAGTCATGCTGGCCACATGACCCAGAAGCTGTCTGCGGACAAACGCCGGCTCCCTCAGCCTATAGAGCGAGATGAGCGTGCAACCCCAGAGTCGGTCACGACTGGACCTAATGGTCAGGGTTCCCTTTACCTTTTTACCTTGCCACATGACCCTGCTTTCTGTTGTTCTGTTATTTGCTTCTTTATGCTTTTACCTTTAGTTTCATATTGATTTTATGCACACCACTTTGAGAATATATTTTTTATTGATTTAGTGGTATAGAATGTATGTATGCATAAATAGATCAGCAAACAAACAAACAAACAAACAAACAATAAATAAATAAATAAATAAATAAATAAATAAGACAGTCTAAATGAAATTGGCATGTTTATCTCCTAATGTGCCACTTGGGTTTGTTATATTTCGTATACCTGATATTCCTGGCTGCTGTATTTCCTTCTGATATTGTACCTGCGCTCACACCTATGCAGAAGTCACTTTCTTATCCCATGTAAGAACATCAGTATAAGGAAATATGGCAACTAGGCCTGAAATATTGTCAGCCACTAAGAGCTAAAACGGGTACAGAAACAATATCAACAGGGAAAGCGACAGAAGCATGGATTCTATTATCCTGTATTACAAACAGAAATTATTCAGTCTTGGCAATGTACAAAAAGAAACAGATTCTAACTATAGGGGCCTACCTGGATCATTCTTGAGCATGGTGGATGGCATCTTGTGAACTTTATTATATAGAATGGCACAGAGAGTCAAAACAAGAAGGAACAGTAGGATCTGATTAACTGAAATGGAAAAGAAGCTGGTTAATAATATTATATTCACAGTAACAATCCTTAGCATGTTTACTCAGAATTTGATGGGACTTTAGTGTATTTCAGGTGACAACTTGACAGTGTAATCTTATTTGCTCAGAAGTATGGTCTCGATGAGGTTTACTCCATTAAATAAACCTCGATAGATTTCCTACATATAATAAAAACATAAGAGTATCATCACACTACAGTTTGTTTGGCCAAAGACAGTTGGCGTTGCAAACTACAATATGACAAGAGGCAGTGGATGAGTAGCCCAGGACAGCCATAGAGCGACAGCTAAAACAGGCCACAGCAGCACCCCAGCAGCCACCTTGCTCTGCTGGCTCCTGGCTCCTCCACCTGCCGGTCCTGGGGCCCCTGCCCCTGAGCATCCGGACCCCCAGACTTGCCAGTGCTGCTACTGGCTACCTTCTTCCTCACCAGCCAGTTTTGACTGCCACCAGTTTGGAGCATGGGAAGGCGGCTGGCCTGGTAATCTGCTGCTATTGATTAGCATGAAGAGTCAGCTAGGATGGGGTGGCAGCAGCTGATTCCCAGACTAGCAGATGGCCACTTCTGACCTCCTTCCCTTGCTTCTCCTGCTACTAGGCTGACTCATCATCCCACTTGGAAGCAGCAGCATGAGGTGGAAAGGGGAAGGTCTTAGCTCCCTCAGTGTGCTGTCGCAGGTCCTGATACTGAACACCGGATGCTGCTCACTGTTGCCTTGCTGCCAACCTCTGCAACCATCTATGGGCAACACTGCAGATATTCAAAAACTTCTCACCCCCCTACCACTAGCAGGGACTCTTCTACAGACTTCAGTTCCAAACCAGGGATCTAATTATTTAAATCAACTCCCTGCCCCCGAAGGTGTCTTACTTTTTCGTAAGAGAGCCATACGGTCCTTTCTTTTGGTCTCAATCTGTGTTCGAAAGAAGAAATAGGAGACAAAGATGAGAAGGCAAAAATAATCCACATTTAGTATGTACTAAACGTTACTGGCTGAAACCCCAATAACGTTAGGTTTTGCCTTTGACTTGAATGGAAAGCATCTTAAATCTACCCAGCAGAGGTAGAGGTGCATTCCAGGAGCAAACTCAATGCATTTAACCCTCTGCCATTAAAAGAAAGGTAAAGAATATAACTTGGTCTTATTCTTCAATACAGAGCCACAAATGTGAAGTGGTCCTTTTTGAGAAGATGTAGGAAAGACGTGAACATCTTTCTGAGCCCTCACTGTGGTGCAATACCTACCACATCTGCTTTCTTTCCATTCATGCAAGGTTACTCTGTATGGGTTGAATCCATTACCCTCACCTGCACAATCTTCTTGTTCCTCTGTTATATCCCTTAATATAAACCATGGGGCAAAATGATCCAGCTTATGGCCTGACTATATATACCTGAGCTGTGAGAGTGATACATGCATTTGTTTTGACTTGATATATCTACACTTGAACCAGTTTCTATATTGTCTCTGTATACAGCAAAACTTGAGCTTATGTTAGTCTCAGCCTGAGTCTGAGAATGGTACCATAAGAGGAGCTACAACTTTGAGTGGGGATTCTGAGAACCAGCCACCTGGTTGTTCATAAATGTACCAAGCAAACACATACAAATATGTAAACCACATGTCTGAAACCTACAGAAAAGTCCTGAAACAATTTTCTCTCTCCCAAAATGACCTAAAATACTTCTCTGCAAGGTCGATGGAAATGCGAAATCTCCCCATTGTCTCTTTCACAAATCCTGTCTAAAGGGCACATTTAAGATATGAATAGGGTGTAGACCTGTGACCTGGATTCAGGAATTGAGTAGTTATCACAACAAAAGAGTGGCCACAATGCCCAGGTTATCCAATCAGGTAACCTGGCAGACAGGAAGAAACAACACACCCAGATTTCCGCCCCTTCTCTGATGTATTAAGGGGGTGGTCTTGGGCCACACCCCTTCTGTGATGTATGTATGATGTTTCTGGGGGGTGGTCTTGGACTCCAGGGCGGGCAATTTAAAATGTATATATAAGGGCTTGCGCGCATGGCTTGGGGTCCCTCCCCCACTCCTGTGTGTGTATGGGGGAGGACCCTGTTTCAACAGCTTTAATAAAGATTGGGCTTACCAGCGGCTTTGCTTCTCAATATTCTCTGGTGGGTCTCTGTTATTTTCTCCTACCGACAGAGAACCTACAAAAGGATGGGATTTTGGGTACCTCATAAGGGAAAAGGAGCAGTTTTTTTCCTCATAACAAAGGCAAAAGTCCCCCAGAGAACAACTCCCCAGAGAACAACTTCCCGAAGGCTGGACCCCCACATAGTTCCATTTAATTCTTTAAACTCTTTCCTTTGCCTCTAGCAACCATTCACTTTGACTAAGTTCTATAAAGGAAAAAAAACATGGGGGGATCATGAAAGGCCTTCACAAGACTGAATAATGCCATCTATGCTTATAGAGGCCTGTAGTTGTGAATCTCAGCTTTGTGTCTTATCTACAGAGCAGGTGCTTTGGAAGAACTGTGCTTGGAAATAATTGCTTGGGTCTGTGTTTACATTGATTTCAGCTATTTAACCAGCATCAGATTCAGCCACCATTTAAAGGAAATAAAAAATTACTCAGAGATGGCATTACTTGCCACAGCTCTAGCCATAAAATTATGAAATTTTTTAATAATTCTCATTTGAAAAGTTTTTTTATGATCCTATATTTGATTTTCTATAATAAGATGATATTGTCTCTTATGGTGATTCATCAATACTGTAATTACATGTTCCCCAAATCTGTAGAGATTTTTTTCCTGAAATATTGCAGAATGAAAAATTAAGCTTTCTGTTACAAGGAACTTATCAGTTCACAACTTAGAAGGTAGCATTTGCTTTTGCAGTGAAGGCCTCCAGCTTTACCCAAAAATATCTGGAATCCATTTCAGACAATTGTGGTGATTCTTAGTTTTAAGGGCATAAATTCATTCTGACATGTATCTCCTACTTTTAATTTAATCAATAATGCTTACTCTTTTTTTAGTAGTTTTAGTAAATACAAAAACAATATATGTTAGCTTTATCTGGATTTTAAATCTTTTATATTGTTCTATTTTCCTAAATTCTATTTTTTCTGACTCTCTTTCTCTCTTTGTCACACACACACACACACACACAGAGAGAGAGAGAGAGAGAGAGAGAGAGAGAGATATGAGGTAATTCCCATGGGGGTTGTCCAAAAAGAAAGGATAGAATTTGGGAGGGTTTGCTCACCACAAGAATAAACAAATAAATCCCCGTGTGGAGAGATCCCCTGCCAAACAGTGCTCTCAGAACTGCATATACAACCAGGTTTCAGTAACACGCACAAAGAACTAACTCATTTTGATCCAAGAAAATATCATATATCTGAAACCTCTCTTTTGGCACGCAAGAAACATGCATTTTCCATTTTCAGGCATGGAAATTCTACTCAATAATTACTGTAAGTAAATAAAACATCGCTGGTGTCCCAAACCATCTGCAGTCATTGAAGCTACAAGTGTTTTCGCATAAAACAACCTTAATCTGTGTAACTTGCACCAGATTCTAAAATCTAGGATCTGAACTTTAGGAGACCCATAGTAAAAAACACAGCGCTATTTGTTTAATATGTGTGTGGGGGGGAGGAGTTTTCATTTTTGGAAAATGAGATCATGTCAGCTCATTGCTTTTAACACATTTACTGGAACACTTGGGAAATGGTTACTGAATATTGACAATCTCCAGACACAATTGCAAGATAGTATGACAAAACTAGAGAGTGCAGCAAGGGAGCAGAAACGGAAATTGTGACTGCCATAATTTCCTGCAGAATAAAATGTTTTACCTTTCAAAGGCAGCTCGGCAATAGGGAATTTTCTCCAGAAAGAAATAACTGCAAGGCAAGTTCCCTAGGTAGCTGGATGGTCCAGTGCCGTAAACATTCACTCCAGAACTTCCCCTTTCATGGGATCGTTGTTGAAATCCTGCAGCCGAGAGTCTTGAAGGTGCTCTGCAGTTCCTGCAAAAGTACTTTGATGGAGAAGTGTCTTTCAAAATTCTTTTGTGGTTGACTTGGGACTGATTTTTCTTCCCTTCCTTTGCTGCTACGTAGCTACCCAGAATCCAGACCTTGCCCTGCTGGAGTTTATGTGGAGAGAGCCACATAAACTGCTTCCAGATGTGCTGAACGATGCGGCTCCAGAAGTGGCGGACTTTCCTCCTCCCACTCTTGGTTGATCCTCATCGGACAGAAAATTCCAGAGAGTGGAAAAGAAGAAACTTCAGCAGCAGTCCTGAGCTCAGATTACAGTCGCGCTTATTGCTGAGCTTTGGTTGTCGTGAACAGGCAGCATCTTACCAGTTGGAAGGAAGCTCAGCTGAAGGACAGGGAACTGTACTTATTGTTTATGAAATAATAATCTATACCTTTAAAGCATATCCAAAGCACATTCTTTCACTCAAAGAATTCTGGGCATTATAGTGCACCCACTGTAGCTGCAATTCCCAGCAACCCTTAACAAACTACTGTGCCCAGAATTCTTTGAGGGAAAGAATGTGCTTTGAGTGTGCACCCAGCCTACATGCATGCTGTTCTTGGGGTGGTGGGGAACCACGTATGGGGAGATGGGTATTTCATTCAATGTACAGCATATATGTTCATAAATAGCTCAGACTAGACCCTTAAGTGAAGTGGGGCCTGCCTTGTGCCAGTGTGGTGTAGTGGTTAAGAGCAGTGGACTTGTAATCTGGTGAACCGGGTTCGCGTCTCTGCTCCTCCACATGTAGCTGCTGGGTGACCTTGGGCTAGTCACACTTCTTTGAAGTCTCTCAGCCCCACTCACCTCACAGAGTGTTTGTTGTGGGGGAGGAAGGGAAAGAAGATTGTTAGCCGCTTTGAGACTCCTTAGGGTAGTGATAAAGCAGGATATCAAATCCAAACTCTTCTTCTTCTTGTGGAATACACGCCCCATTGAAGTTAAGCAGACACCAGCACTGTACATAATTTCACAAAGGCTAACAGCATTATGGGACCAAGCCTATGGAAGTCCTTCCCACCTGAGATAGACAGGCACCCTCCTTGGTGAACTTCAGGTTCTTATTTTTATTTTAAGGTACTGTTTGGGTTTTATTATTATTTTTTGTTGTTTTATTCTCTGTATGGTTATTTTTACGTATACTGCTTAGAAATGTTAATGATTAAGTGCCTTAGATAAAAATTAATAAACTTTTAAAAAAAGTGTTTCCCAATATGAACTTACACAGATTTTTTTTGTTGGGAACTGTTTTATTCATTTATTTTTACTTGCTTAATTTTTTTATTACAAGATCACTATGGTATCTTGTAATGTTTATAAATATTCCAAAATGAACAAACAGCTGTACATAACAGAATGAAGGAAGCAGGCAGAGCACAGTTAATTTTTGGGGCACAGTGAATAGTGCGCTGCTGACAAAATCTGTGAAGATTCAGATAGGATGCACCAGTGGTTGGAGCCAGGGCCAGGCTGGTGCTACCTCAGGCAAAGAACAAGATGGCACACCATTTACAGATAGGAATGGAAATATCTGTCAATTTAACTTCTCACAGCTTCTAATTTTTCCAGTCTTAAATTATGTTCTCTATGTTTTTACAGTGAGTTGTGGATTTCCTTTTTTAAAAAACCTAATGAAAATTCTTCAGCAATTCAGTGTGGATTTCTCCTAATAAACACATTTTTGTATGCAGTTTTGACCAATGTACACATTTTTACAAGCTATTTTCCCCAATATAATGCATTTTGGGTGTTATTTTCATTTTTACACACTTTCACCTAATATATGCATTTTTAAAAACATTGGTTGGTTGGAGAACTGCAACACAAAGCTGGGTAAGTGTCAGTTTTGGAGGATACAGTAGTTCTGCTTTGGTTCTCAGACTGGTTCAGAAAGTGCAAATTTGATAAGTGTGGCTTTAAATGTGAATTGAATAAATCCCTCCCCCCATTCCAACAGGTGGTATACAGGCCAGGCCATGGTTAACATAGGTAATGGGAACACAGAGGGGGAAAGCCAGGAAGATGTTGGCACTGTCTCCCAGCAACCAGACTCTGCCTAATGGTAGGGAGCTGGGTGGAAGTCTCTCTTGCTCACTTTGGGCTATTATTCCCCTGGAAGAAAGAGCTCAGCTGAAAGGAAATGGGCATAGGCATGTTTTCCACATCTTCATTAAACCAACATGATCTAACATGTTACCAGGCCACACAAAGCTCTCCTTGCTGCTTGCCAGTGCCAGTGCAGGATCAATTAGCTTTAAACATAACAACATATGCCCTAACAAACAGCTGTTTATGTCCACCCTTCTGAAAGTGAACAGATAAGACATGACAGATGCTTCTGGTGGGAAAAAGGATCAGCCCAAAGCATGCATTAGCTCCTGAAAGAAGACTGTGGTCAAAGACCAAAAATAAGTAAAGGCTGGCTGCCATCAAAGTCAGAGAGAAAGGGAAGGAATTGTGATAAAGACTCTCCTTGATAAACCACTCGAATGGCTTCCTAGCTTCCATGATGGGGGTAGGTTTCCACTTGTGATTCTAACTCATAATATTGCTCTGAATTCCAGGAATAAATATATGTGCCTTGTTCACATCTAGATTAATTACAATTGTCCTCTATACAGGCCTGCCCTTAAAAGTGTTCAGAGTGCATTAGCTAGGGTTTACCGTGATTCCCTATTTGTTTCCAAGATCAATTCAAGGTACCTTGCTATACCTTTAAAGCCCCAGATGGCTTGGAGTCAGGATATCAAAGGACCTTCCCAATGTAAAAAAACAACAACAGCACACTGAGATCCTTCACAAGGTCGTGGTCTTTGTTACCTGTCAGAGGTGCAGTGATGGGAGCACAAGGGAAGGCCTTTTCAGTGATAGCGCCCAGACTTTGGAACACACTGCCTTTGGAATCTCTCCTGTCCCGTCCCCCCATCTGTCCTTTTCAAAGCTTAAAGTTGAGATGCACTTGTTCCAGCATGTTATGCTGAAGGCAGGATTAAAATATTTTAATGAATAAAAATTAATAAATCGTGGTTAACCCTCCCATGCAGTTTCCTACAGTCAGTTTGGTCCCCACAGCAACAGAAAGAACTGAATGCAATAATAATATAATAATAATTTATTATTTGTACCCCGCCCATCTGGCTGGGTTTCCCCAGCCACTCTGGGCGGCTTCCATAGAAACCAAAAATACACTAAAATATCACACATTAAAAACTTCCCTGAACAGGGCTGCCTTAAGATGTCTTCTGAATGTCAGGTAGTTGTTTATCGCTTTGACATCTGATGGGAGGGCGTTCCACAGGGCAGGCGCCACTACTGAGAAGGCCCTCTGCCTGGTTCCCTGTAGCTTTGCTTCTCACAATGAGGGAACCGCCAGAAGGCCCTCGGCGCTGGACCTCAGCGTCCGGGCAGAACGATGGGGGTGGAGACGCTCCTTCAGGTATACTGGGCCGAGGCCGTTTAGGGCTTTAAAGGTCAACACCAGCACTTTGAATTGTGCTCGGAAACGTACTGGGAGCCAATGTAGGTCTTTCAAGACCGGTGTTATGTGGTCTTTCAAGACCGGTGTTATGTGGTAACAGCAAGACTGTTTGCTGTTAAATGAAGGTGTTGTCTGAAACGTCATACCACATGCATGTTCCCTAAAGTAATATATGCAGTAGTGGCTGCATTATAGCATAGTACACACAGGCTGTGAGCATAGTGTGCTGTGAATGTGTGTTGGCACTTTGCTGCAACATGGATATCTGCCCCTTCATAAAAAGGCATATGGAAGTGATTGGCATAATTTTATATAATGCATTGGGCAAGAGTGCACACATCTGATGCCAGCTGTCATTGTGCAGGCAATGCAGATCAAAGTCCCAAGTATCTCTCTCTCCATTGTATTACTTCCTGCCAGCTCATCTGACTGATTGCCCTGTCAGTCAGTGCAGCACATGTGAGGCAGCTGTTGCCCTAGGCAAGCAGGCACTGAGGACAAGTTATCAGATTCTAGAGAGCACATCTTATCTCCAGACAAACTAGGCTACATTTTCTTCAATCTTTAATTCCTCGGGGGGGGGGGGACGTACTCTATCTAGAAACACCTTTTCCCACAGCTCCTCGTGTGATAAGGAAAATTGCACTCTGCACTTGCTCAGGGGCATTTTCAACAGTTCTCCATGACTATTTATTTATGACCCCTCTTCTGTTCATAAAGCATCCAGGCTGGCCTACAACACAGCTAAAACAGGATCACTGTAAAACCATAAAAAACAACCAATGACAAATATTCCAGAGTTGGGCGCTGACAGTGGCAGCAGATGCTGAGACTGAGCTTTAGCACATTAGTTTTACCTCATTTCAAAAGCAAGGGTTAAGAGCTTTTAAAGGTTTTTTAAAATCACACTGGTCACCTTGAGGGGGAGAGGTAATTAAATGAGAAAGGGCCTTGAGGTTGGGGTATTGTGCTGTAGCCTTATGAGATATTGCGCCTGGGAAAGGGAAGTGGGAGTCAACAGACACTCAAGGAATAGTTTCGGAGAAAAGGCTTTTTATTTCTACCATCCATGAACTGGTAGAAGGAGCAAGTGTGGTAAGTCACAAAAAGCATGCACGAGTTCACAGTCCTGTGCACAAGCATATATACCCCTTTCCAGTTCCCTCCTCCTTTCTCCTCCTTTTCCAGGAGTCCTGCCCCATGAGTTCCTCTGAGCATGAACAGAAAGCTGTCTTGGGACTATTCCCAGGGAAGGGGGGGTGAGAAGCCAAGGGGTGTTCTCTACCTTTTGTTACAGCAGAGCGGAATGTTTCTGATGCTTAGCTGCTGAGAAAATGATTTTGAAAAGCTTTGAGAAGCTTTGAGCCTGCTTTGGTGGGGGGTGACTTCGGGCCTAGGTGAGGTCACCTGTCCTCACCTTCCTTCAGTGCCAGCCCCAAAGAAAGGTGATAACCCTAAAGGGAGAAATGAGAAGTCCTCTTGGTGCAACAGATAAAATTGTGCACAAATAAGTGATTATTATTATCGACAGCAAATTAATAACAGTGATAATAACACAAATGAAAATAAAGCATTACAGTTATAAATCTTTTTTCTTCATGTTAATGTACTCTTTTTTAAAAAAGTTTTTATTTATACTTTTCAAGTTGATACATTTCATTAGTTTTACAATCAGTTTAACATTTCAAAGTCTGACTTCCTTCACCCTCTTTCTGTGGTTTCTTAAATTTATTAATATCGATTGCATATCCAAATTCATTTAATTTGCTCGTTTAACTTAATTAGTTTGCTCATTTGATTTAATTAAGCAATCAAGATAACCAACTTTTCATATAAAAGAATGGAAATGGTTCACTGAATAACCTGCAGTTTCGTAAGAGTTTACATTTGAAGCAGAAAATTAAATAATTAAACATACCAACGCGCTCTGAACGCGATATAATAGCATTTATTAAATGCGGTTCTAATCGAGAGTGACCAAAAAAACACCCGCGTTAACAAAATCGATATACAGTATATTGCTGCTACTGTTGCAACTTGCAATATTATATCAGTCATAATATCACTCTCTCGTATTAACACTCTCGTATTAACCTCCTCATCCTCAATCGCGGTTATTTATTTCCTCGAGCGGGCCTTCGCCTCCCCCCCCCCCCGCTCCACCTCCCGCCTTTTTCCCCACCGCTAACTCCTCGTCCCCAGCTGCCGCTTCGGACCTCGCCGCGGCGCATTGTGGGTAACGGGGGGACAAGATGGCGGCGGGCGCCGCTGCCCTCAACTGGAGGCGGGTTTCTTCCTTCACGGGGCCGGTGCCCCGATCCCGGCACGGGCACCGCGCCGTGGCCATCCGAGAGCTGGTCATCATCTTTGGCGGAGGCAACGAAGGCATAGCCGACGAGCTGCACGTGTACAACACCGGTACGGGGTGTGCGGGAAGCGGGGGGAGTGAGAGAGAGAGAGAGAGACACTGAGGGAAAAGAAGGCAGGCAGGCGGGCGAATGGTTGTTTCAGGTATCCGGACTCGCGAGGCACCTGGCGCCGCTTTCGTGAGGGCGGCCGTCGCCCCGAAGAGGGCTCGTGTGGGGTGTGTCTTGTCTGAGAAGATTTGCCTCAGAGGAGAGCGCGGCGGCATCTTAGCGGCGGGGCAGAGAGAGCCTCAAGCCCCGAAAGCTTAAGCCGCCACCACCACGACGACGACGGCGGCGGCAAGGGCGGCATCTTCCTGGCCCAGGTGCTGCCGGTGCCTGCCGTGGAGCGCCCCCCACCCCCGTGGCATTTGCACTCCCGCCGCGCTCAAGGGCATCCCCCTGGATGGTCCCTAGAAGGAAAAGGAGCAAGGCTGAGGCGGCTTGATCCGAGGCAGCCCTGGCTGTTCTCCTGTTTTGTTTCGTCTCTTTCATGTTCAGTTTGAGAGCGCTGGTCGGCCGTTGGGAGGGCGGGGTAGAAATCAAAATAAATGTGAGGCATCCTTTGTTCGCCCTCTTGGATGCAGCAGGAGCCGAGCTTTTCAGCTTTGGGAAAGTGTCGCCGGGGCTGGATGAAAAGAGAGGAAGATGGATGAAGAGAGAGGCTGGGTGTATGTTTCTATGACTTTACCTGACTTGCGTGTGTTGTGTTAGGTGGAAGGACATTTGTTAATAAGGGAGTTGCTGACAAAGGGAAGCGGGGGAGTTCTTCTTTTTAACTTTTCCTCCTGTGCCAGCTTTGCCCTTTTAATATACCGTCCTACCACCAGGGATGGAGTTATTTCTGTCTTATAGCTTAGTGTGCTGTCGGGCAGTGCTGATCAGATGTCAGATCATCATAGTGGGAAGGTTTACCTACATGTATAATAGTACTGTATTGAAAATAACAACAATGACCTGTGTTTGGGTCTCCCAAAGGTGTGTGGGAGAAAGGGTTTTTGTAAGGCTGCAGATGAGAAAGGATAGGTGAGGTAGGTCCAAAGAGAATATTATATGGCTGAATACAGTGTTGAGAAGTGGAATAATATAAAAAAGCATGATGCATCCCTGCCAAATGTTTCCTAATCAGTTAGCATTCATTACTAAGCTTGCTTTCAAAAGCGTGGGAGTTCTGCAAAACACTCCACTTTCATCTCCAAAGGGCAGTGTAGGGCAGGCAAGTTGCCTTTTCAACAAAAACTGACCAGGTTTATATAAATGTACAGCAAGGCATTACTGTATAAAGCAACATGGTTGTGGCAAAGTGTGACAGTAAAAGTTTGGATGGTTGTATCTGAAAGGGGTATGTGTGTGTATTTGAGGCTGCGATAGGAGCTTGTTATGTGGAGTCTGATGTGAAGATGAAGTTTGTGCACCCTGTGGAGATGGTGTGCATATATAGTAAGGTGTGGAAAGATAAGCTGTGCTGGTGTTTTTCAAACTGAGGAATGGGGTACCAAGCTTTCTGGATGTCTCCTTAGGCCAGTGAACAGGTGGAGGATAAAGCTACACAAAGTGTGGGTTGTGATGGTCCAGCTGTCTGTTTGGGTATGTATTGGCTGGATATGAAGTGGATGCTTGTGCTGAGAGAGCAGAAACGGGATTTTGCTAGAGTTGAGTATATGAAAAAGTGAAAGGTTTGGAGTTGTCTGTCTATGAAAAAAGTGTGTGCTTAGGCACAAGTGAGGATACAGGACTTAAGTTACGTTTGTTTTGTTTGCATTCATATTTGGTCTGAGATAATGTGATGTTTAAAATCTGCTGTGAGCTAACATCTGCAAATGAGCAGTGGCATCTTTTTTTTCCTTTTGGTGAAGATAATTGGCCTGTATATGAAAAGTATGAATATTTAGGAAAAGTAAAGTGGAATCAGATGAGGCAGGAATAGGATGTTTTTCAGTTTATTTATTTAATGTAACTGACTGTTTCCCCCTTCTCCTGATACTCAAAATAGTGTTCAAAGCAGAAATACCGTACAAGGAGGAGATAACATGAGGATAATGAGGTGTTGTTAAGATTTCTCCTAACCCTCTTTATCTGACTACAGACCTTTTTGTGATTTGTTTATCAGCCTGTATGTGTTTGGCCCAAGATAGCTGACTTAGGTGAGAAAATGCATCTTACTGATTGGTGTTCTTTCTTGAAGTCTTCTAGATCTTCTGCTTCATGAATTGTCTTTTTTTCCTTAGGTGGAAAGTAGGAAATATTCAGTTATATTATCCATGTCTAGAGAGTTAAACTTTTATTTGAAAATATAGACTCTAAAACACCCAGTTAAAGTGTTAAGTAATGTAGCATCTGTTCCCTTTGTTAAACAGTGAAGTTTCTTCATTGTGATATTTAATATTTAAATCTACCTTTTGGTTTCTTGTTCAGAATAAAAATACTGTACCAAGCTTCAGACCTCAGGCTATCTACTCTGTTTACAAAAATGTTATTTTCTGTGTGTTTTGATCTAGCTACAAACCAATGGTTTCTTCCTGCTGTTAGAGGAGATATCCCACCAGGCTGTGCAGCCCATGGTTTTGTCTGTGATGGTACCAGAATTCTAGTATTTGGAGGAATGGTTGAATATGGAAGATATAGTAATGACCTATATGAATTACAGGTATGGTGTTGCCTAAGATCACTTCTCTAGTTGAGAAGAAACAAATGCAACCTGTTACATTTAACTAATACCAAGGTGGAATCTGCACACATATAAAAACAGTTCTGAAAATGCTTTTTAGAAAAAGACTCACCATCGCCATCTAGTGTCACTTTGTATATTGCACTTAAAACACACTTAAAATGTCTTATTTGCAGCTGTATAGCTGAGTCCCAAGAGAATCATAGGGTAATTTATAGCGTAATCCTATAAATGTTTGCTCAGTTCCATTGAGTGCAGTGGGACTTACTTCCATTGAAGTATAGGATTGCACTGCATATATCTTATGTTTTTGGCAGGTATCTGTTTTGCCTATACTAAAAATGGACACAGAGTGCTTAAGAATATGTTCTTGACAACTGGTACACACTATATAATGCTCCCAATAGCAAGTCTCGATCTGGCACTTCATGTGAAGCATGAAGGTTTATCCTGCACCCATTTACCTTGGAGTAAGTCTCATTCAACTCAATGGGACTTACCTCTAAGTAGAAATGATTACACTGTTAATTATTTAAAACATTTTTATAGCAATAAGTAATCATAACAAAAACAAAACCATGAAACAGTAAGTGATTTTCATGGATTTTAACCCCCAGTGTATGTCTGGTAAACAAAAATTATGTTTGTCTTGTCCTGAAGACATTGTAAAGTTGCTGTTAGGCAAGCACCTCTAGGGAAGATCCATAAGCTCGACACCACCACTGAAAAAGCCCCCATTCACAATTCTACTGACGATAAAATAAGCAAAAACTTCGATCACTGGAAAAGGGAGCAGGCCTCTCCATTTGCTTATGTAGATCAGGAGAAATTGATAAAATGCATTAACTGGAGGCTATTCTGTCATGAATTTGTATACATATTTTACTTTGTTAATGTGTGAACTAGAATATCAAAATATGATGATTCCTCTGTTAAAGATAAGATAACCTGGTAAGAAAGTTTTAAATGGGAAAGGATTTTTGTCTCCATGTCTCTTTAACTGAAGAATTCTGCACAACCTGATCCGCTTGACAGCCTCTTCAGGAGACTCCAGGTGGAGGGGGATTGAGACAGTCCCTTTCCGCAAGCATTTTTTTGACCTCTAAGCCACTAAGTGTGACTTATGAGCAGATGTAAGTTAACATGCTCCTGTTCTGTTTTCAAGGCAAGTCGATGGCTGTGGAAAAAAATGAGACCTCAGCACCCATCAACAGGCTTGCCACCTTGCCCTCGCCTTGGCCACAGCTTTTCTCTGTACGGCAACAGGTGCTACTTATTTGGTGGGTTGGCAAATGAAAGTGAAGACACGAACAATAACATTCCCAGGTACGCTGATGAAACTGGAACAGAATGTTTGGAATTCTTTGTTTGGAACTAATATTTGAACAGTTTAAAAGGTGGGAAACAGTTCTATGGCAATAGTGATTAGAATATAGCATACCTGAAGGATGTTAAAAGGGGAGTCTTGAAGAGGAAGCTTAGCAACCAGTTATTGAAATTTGATCACCCGAACTTCTAGGACTTTGGATTATTAATGTACCTTTGCAATTCAAAAACAAAACAAAGAATTCTAATTTGTCAGTTAGTATTAATAACTTTTTGTTGAAACTTTGTTACTGAAAAGTATTATAAAAATGAATGGTGTGATAGTGACTTTGGAAGGTTGTATTAATCAAATAAAAGTTTTGATGCTATAGAAACTCTTCAAACTGTAATCAGTAAAATCTCAAGAAGTATTCGTTTCTCTTTAGTAGTTCTAAGTTATAGCATCTTTGTATGTACTTCAGTTTGGAAGTCAGTTGGTTACAGGGTGGATAAAAATAAATGATTTTTTAAAAAATCAGATTTTTTAAAATATAAGTCGGATTTTTTTGATTTAAATGGGATTTTAAAAATAAAATTCTTTTGGAGGAAAAATATAGTCTTCTATTGAAGTTACATTATAGTCCAAAGGCTATTAATCAGGAACTAAGGATTTGTTTTAAGTTTTTCACGTGTGCTAAAACTCAGTCAAAGTCTCTCCCCCCCGCAATGTTTAACCACATCAGTTAACAAACATGGATATATATGCTGTAATGTTATTGTTTTAGTTAAATAAATTGTTTAAATGGTTATTACAGAAATGATTATTTTTCTCCTTCCAATAAAGCAGTAAAGTTGTCCAAATATAAATAGTTAACTTATTAAACCTCACCATAATTTCATAATTATCTGTCTATGTATTTATAATAATATAACCAAATCAGTAATTTTTGATATAACTGTAAAAACTACTCTGAAAATTTATTATTCCAAAAATGAAACCTTCATATGGTTGTAAATATTAAGATTATACGAGCAAGAATCTTTCTGTAAAAAAATGATTTAAATCAAGTCTTACTGAGTAGTGATTTAAATCAAGCCTTACTGACTAGTGATTTAAATCAAATCCACCCTGATGGGTTAGACTTATTTAAGGCAACTTAAATAAGAATACTACTTCAGGAAGGTAGATAGCGTTGTATCACATTCTGTGTCGGCCCACTGAAATCAATGGTCTTACATTAGTGATGACTAGCAATGCCATTGCTTTTAGTGGATCTTTACAGAGTTGGACGCAACCCACAGACTAGCTTTGGCAACTCTACAGGAAAAGAGAATTCCAAAGTAATGTGATACCTCTTTTGTTCTTTCTCAAATTTAGCCAGCTCTGCAAAAACACATGCAGTTTTGTTAGTGAAACCGTATTGATAGGCTACAGTTTCCTTGCAGTAGTTCCATAAAGAGGTCAGTGACCCTTTTGTTTGTTTCTTTTTAATGTATCTAGATATTTAAATGATTTCTATGAACTGGAGCTACAGCATGGTTCAGGCGTCATGGGCTGGAGCATTCCAGTGACCAAAGGAGTGCTGCCTTCACCCCGAGAATCGCACACAGCTGTTATATACTGTAGAAAAGACTCGGGAAACCCAAAGATGTTTATTTTTGGAGGGATGTCTGGCTGTCGACTTAATGACCTTTGGGAGCTTGACATAGGTGAGTACAGTGAAGTTACAAGTGTGAAGTTTTGTTGTATTTTTGCATGCTGAAAACTGATTTGTTCCGAAGGGTTTCCAACTTTAATTGCAGTGTTGGGAGGCAGCTGTGGAACTGGGACTGCCTTGACTTTGCCTTAGGGCAGTTTCACACAGTACACAGCAACACATCCAAGTTTGCTGTAATGTATATTCTGAACAAGGAGCTGTAGCTAGTCCTGGGTCTTTGTCGAGTGCATATGTGTGATACCATTCCCCCCCCCAAATAGCAATTGACTGCATTGAAACTGAATATTTTAGGCAATAACTTATAAAAGGTGTGAAAAAACACCCTTTTAAGCTCAATTTGTAGTATGTTCTGACACATTGCAGCAATGGAAGCTGCATTTGTTTGTCAAGAATGTGATAAAATATTCAGTGCTTATCTGGTAAAGGAGAGTCCATGCAGTGCATTTTAAAATCCTTGTTCACGAACCTGTATAATTAAAAACAAAATAGTTTCAATTGACGTTTTGATGGAGGTTGTAAATCTTTGTCCTAAAACTATTGCTGTCCTTGCAAAAACGGTACTTGGAACAAGGTTCATTACTCCAGAATTGTAGGCAGAATCTGGATGGCACAGACCTATCACCCCAAGTGCGGTCCTCATATCTTGGAAAGATTTATATGAGCAGGAGATCTATAAAAGTCAATAGAGCCTGTTCCTGTAGATCCTTTTTGAGAGGTGATGAGGCAGTGCAAAATTAACAATATTTTGTTGGTTTTGCTGTCACTCTCCATAAAAATTACTTGGGAGCAAGTGAGCACCAGTCCTGGAAAATCTGTGGGAGATTACAGATTTCTGTAACACCTGAAATTGAGAGGAAATTTCATAATTTAAAATGTAATATTATCAAGTAGCTACAAATACTTTACTTGTTATATCTACAATTCACATATTTTATATATAACCCCTAGTACCTGCATTCATATATTCCAAAAGGCTTCTCTGATCTTTCTCAAAACTGTTTATGCTTAGCTCTTATACAGTGTTTCCTGAAATCTAAAAGATGCACGATAGTTTGTTGGGGTATAGTTCATAAATATTCAAGGAAGTAAACCCTGCTGTAATCTTTTTGGTAATAACTGCTAATAACATTTTTGTTTAGACAAGCCTACTTAGACATAAAGAATGTTGATGTATGTTTTCATCTGTTGTTACTTTATTCTGTTTTTTTAAAAAATATTTTAAATAGTTGCTTTTAAATGTTTTTACTGATAATTTTATTGTGTGAGTCTCTTTGTAAAGTGCTTTGAGGTGTATACATTTTATGAAATAAATAAACAAAAAATATTCTTTTTTCTCTGTCCCCCCTCCGTTTTTCTTAATAGAAACAATGACTTGGTCGAAACCAGAAATTAAAGGGACAGTGCCACTTCCCCGTAGTCTCCATACAGCCAATGTAATAGGAAACAAGTATGTCTGTTGTTAAAAGCTCACCTATAGAAAGGTACACCTAGTAGGAGACTGTTACCGTAGTGTTTGTATTTAGGGATCCTGCCTGTGTCCTTCTCTGTGAAGTGCAAACTGTGAAGTGCTTTTTGAAACGCTCTGCTACAGGCTGAAAGACTTAACTGTGGAAATTGAAACATATTGCTTGCATTTTGCTGAATGCCTGGAAACTTTTCACTGTTTTATTTGGGAATATTTAACTCTCTGCATTAAATTACCTGAAGTTAACATCTTTTTGTGGGGGGATGGGGAAAGGCAACCCCTTCTATTAATAGTGAGAGCTGCAGTATTGTAGCTTAACAGAGAAGACTTGCCTTGAATTGAGCATAGTATAAGTGACTGCATTAAAAAAGAATTCTGTGATGAATCACAATGTCACTAGAAAAAAATATCTTAAAACATCAACACTAATAAATGACATTTCTGGAAGCTGCTCTTTATTAGCTGAAACAAAAGTTTGAGATGTGTAGAAATTAAGGCCTGTTGTAGATAAGAACTTGATATGTTTGGTTGTTTCAGGGGCTATTAATGTAATTTTAACACTGCCACAGCCGTATTTCGATATTTGATCCAATGCAGCATGGGAGATTGGGGTTGTGCCAGCTGATCCACCTTCCTCCACTGTACCCATCTGACTCCATCCCCCAAATATTCACACATTGGATGTCCCATTTTTATAGCTTCTTAGGAATATAGGCCTACCCTATCATGTGTAGGCCTCGAACTGCTTGAACCATATGATCTGCTACTTATGTATGCATGACATTCAAAATGTAAACATCAGAGCAGTCCAATAACAGAAAGGGTAGGATTCTGACTTTCCTACCACATCACTTACTATATGTTGGATTTTATATTTTCCTAGGGCTTCTGTTTAGAGCAAGACAGGGACATATGTCTCTAAACCAAAGTTCAAAAACCTGGTCTCCCAGATGTTGGACAGGACTCCAACTTCTATGATCCCTCCTATGATTAGCCATGCTGGCTGAGGTTGATGGGAGTTGGAACTTAGCAAGATCTGGAAGGCCATAGGTTTTCTACTACTGCAAATAAATCTTACTAGCTTAATGAAAATCTAGCATAAGTAAACTGTGAGACGCTTATGCTTATGTCTCCTTTGATGGACAGAATTGAGCATCTGTATAAAACACACACACACACACACACACACACACACACACACAAACACTCACACTCATTTGTATGTTTCTATGCAAGGGATTGATTAGTTCTACATCCCCTTCATTTCAGTATTGCTACAATTTCTCTCATGCCATTCACAGAGTCCCTGCATTTTGTCATGTTATATGAGCTCCTGTTTCTCTGTCCCAGCTTCTGCCAACCTAGCAGTTCAAAAGCACACCAGTGCAGGTAGATACCACTGTGGCAGGAAGGTAAAAGGCATTTCCATGCTCTCTGGCACTCACCACGGTGCTCTGTTGCGCCAGAAGCAATTTAATCATGCTGGCCACATGACCTGGAAAGCTGTCTGTGGACAAATGCCAGCTACCTTGGCCTGAAAAGCGAGATGAGTCACCTTTGACTGGATTTAACAGTCCAGGGGTCCTTTTACTTTACTTACTAATCCTATAACCCCCACTCCATTTTGCAACAGATTGGTTAAAGGTACTTAATGGTTTTGTTATGTGGGACTGTATTTGGTGAAACATTCCAGTGCTTGATAATAGATAGCTACAAACAGCTCTTTACTTGTGGTTGCTTCTTGCGATATAAACATGTGGGAAGACTGTGTATGTAACTTCCAGCTATCTGCTGAGAGAAATGTTACCATACCTTTTCATTGCAGTACATTATTTCCATTTGTTAAACAGGATTGGCTTTCCATGTGGTTGCCAGCTATAAATTTTCAGTTTCCGAAACTCATTAAATGTACCCCAAAATGGTCAACCATGTGATAAATGATTGTCTGTATCTACATGCTGTTCCTGAGACAGTTTTCAGATTGTATTTTGTAAGAACACAGATAATTTTGATAGTTAACAACTACTATTTTAATTTTGAAAACTAATTATAGGGATCCTATGTTAACTATAGCTTTTTAATTATGTGTGGCATGGGGAAGGAGGTGGCAGGGGAGTCAAGTTCTAATTAGTAAATGCAAAGGAAGCACAGCTTTTTTATTTAAAAAATTGTCTGAGAAATTAATATAGTGGTTGGAGGGAGTGTGCTTCTGAATACTGGTTATTGGAAACTGCAAGAGGGCAGAATGCTCTTGTGTTTAGGTTCTCCCTGAGGGCTTCCCATAGCCATCTGGTTGGCCACTGTGAGAACAGGATGCTGGCCCAGGTGGATCACTTTTCTCATCAAGCAGGCTCTTATTATGTTCTTAATATAGAAAAAAAGCTTTAGAAAATAAATTAGCTTGTCTCTTCCCACAACACCCTTATATTTGCAGAATGTACATTTTTGGTGGATGGGTTCCACAGAGCACAGATGATAATGTGTCTTCTCAAGATGAATGGAAATGTACTGGCTCATTTTCTTACCTAAACTTAGGTTAGTATACTTTGCATTTGTTGTTAATTTACAGAGCAGTCCTCTATACCAAATATTCCGGGGGTGGGATACACTGCTGCTACATGGGCAGAGGGAGAGAGGAAAAGTGGTGGTCCTGGCCAGTTGAGTGCTGGCCGCTTATATGGCCCTTGAGGGGAAAAAATTCCTAGCCTTCAATAGTCCTTGAAGAAATGCTGCCCTTGACTTCAAAATAGATTTCCCTCTGCTACACATGCCAAAATGGGAAGGGGGGAAATGCACAACCAAAACATAAAAGTGTGGAGGAAAAATGGCAAGCAATTGGGATGTAACAACAACAAGGGAACATATTAGGAACACACTCGACATCAATGGCAGTGAAATTCCTTGTGCCATGGTTGGTGTTTGTGCCATTGCCAGGAATGTGGCTGTTGATTGATGGATATAGGATATGGTGCATGTGCTCCTTCTCCACAACACTACCGTGTTTCAGCAGTTTCACGGATGTAGCTTTGATAGTAGAACAGTTCCATTTGCCAGTGTATCTTGTGGCACCATGCATAATGGGGCTTCTGCCATATCCTCTGTCTCCTCTGGCAATCAAGTAAATGTTCAGGTTTCAACAGGAAGAAGCAAAATATTTGAAGTTGGAATCAGTTTTAGACCAATGATTGCACTTCAATCTATTTCTTTATAATAAATGATGGCCTACTTGGTTTTGTTATATACAACCAGCCAGGAGCACAACATTTCTTCAACATCCCAGTCTCTATCCAATGAAAGAAACATTTGATACAAACAAAAATCAGCCAAATAGACTCCTTGATCTAAGGCTGACAAGCTAAGATTCAGAATTTACAGAAAATAAATTGACTAATTTGCATATTCTTAAAAAAACTGTTATGTGCAGATATTTGTCTTTGAATTTTTATATCTGCTCATATCCGTTTTATAGATTGCTAATTTTACATGATGTTGTGCATCTGTAAAATAATGTAAGATTTTAAAAAATCCTATCTTTGGACACTGATTTTGATTGTCTGTTTTATTTACTTAGATACCACAGAATGGATAGGTCTGATAGGAGATTGCCAGGAAGACAAAAATAACCTATTGCCAGGCCCAAGGGCTGGCCACTGTGGTGTCATAGTTGGCACTCGTCTGTATATATGGAGTGGCAGAGATGGATACAGAAAAGCTTGGAACAATCAGGTTTGCTGCAAGGATCTTTGGTATCTAGATACTGGTGAGTACCCGCTTAATGCTTTTCAGTAACATTACAGATGGTTGTTATAGCTTGTTTGAGTGTTACATGCATTTGGTTTTTCAAAACTTTCAAAAACACTGTTATTGTGCAACTGAAATTTGTAAGGATCATCCTTATTCTGGAAGTCCACATTTAGGGTTGATTTAAACATAACATTATCAATTCTCCAACCCAGATTCTGTAAGGCTGGCTGTGACCAAAGGTTTATTTTCTCACACAAGTAAGTTGTAGGCAACCTGGTGGCTGTCTGTGGACTGGAGTGCTTGATAGGTAGTTAATTGCTTATTACTTCGGTAAGGAACCTGTGCCATTTGTTCTGCAATTTTCATTTGTGCATATACTTCCCAAAGGGAGGACACAGCCCTTAGAAAGAAAGGTCTGTAGGCTGATAGGCAAAGCCATGATGTGGCCAAAATCCTAATATCCCTGGATTTCTTCAGTTTGTTCAGTCCTACCAGTTTTAATGAGACACATGCAATCTTAACAGTGTGTTTTATTGACAAAAAGACGGTTATGGTTGGACTTACAGATAGAAACAGTTGCAGCATTATATTTCTTGGCTTTGCTTAATAACCTGTTGGAACATAGGCTTTTTTGGTATCATAGATAAATATTTTGTTGAGAAATCATAGCCTGTTCTAAAACACTGCATCCTATTGGTAACTGGAGCTCACTATTCTCCTTTAAGAGAAACCACCAGCACCATCACAAGTACAGCTGATCAGAGCTACTACTAATTCATTCCAAGTTAAATGGGATGAAGTTCCTACTGTTGAAGGTTATCTTCTTCAATTACATTTGGAGATGCCATCACCTGTTACAGCTGAAATACCTATTAACATGGCATCCGAAGCACCATCACCAAGTGTGCAAGGTAAGATAGTCCATCTTTAAAAATCATTTATAAATAATAGGTGCAATCTAGCTGCAAGGCTATTCTTTCAAAGGCATGAATTGTGTTAATTTTTGAAGCAATGTGAAAGTAAAGTCATTTCCCCCGCTATAGCCCCAAATGCACTTCGTGGAGAGGATGGGGTAACTGATCACCATGTCACCCTTGCCTTGCCTTGTGTCATTTCATGTCAGTAGAGCAGGAATCTGACTAATCCTGTTACTTCCATAGTTTCAGTCAGGTATGGGAACAAGTAGAGAATGCTGATTCTTAATGTTCCTTATACCTTATAAATGTGAAGGAAGAGTCTGCACTGTGCTTCCTCCAAAGTGGGAAAAAAATCAAGGGTGGGGAAAAATAATACAATATCCTTTAGGCACTGAGCTGATGACTCCTGACTTACATTATATGTTTCACTTTCGAATATGTTGTTATGAGAAATGGAGGTTTTGATCGTAGAGAAAATTCTTGTCTTTCTGACATTGATGAGGACTGAAACTGTGTTTGTGTGATAACCAAAATGGAGTAACAGCCCTCAGAGCAGCTAAAAGCTTTATGTAAGATTCTGCTGTTGGTCATGCTTACATTTAAATGAAAGATGGTTCTTTTCTCCAGCAAAGCCTAAAATTAATGAATATCATCCTTCCTTCAGGAATCAAGCTGGATCTTCACAGCCAAACGCTCAATAAAGTCCCAAACAACGTAAGTATTTACTTGTGAAGGCTATGAATAAGAATAATTACTCTTGCTTGCCTGGATGGACTGTGTGTGTGTGTGTGTGTTTTTGTAGAAGCTAGCCTACTGTTGCCACTGGCATGTGGCATCCCCAAAGGTTACCCAGAAGGGAATGTGTTCCTTGAGCTGGAAAAGGTTTCCTGTCCCTTCTTGGGAGCCTGCTAGGCCACATCATTTAACTTGTGCAGGGGCTGAAATGGAAGCAACATTGACTCAATGCACTGATTCATTACTACACAAATCAAAGAGCTGTCCTTCTAGTGTGGGGAGCAACAGAATCTTTGGTAGAGCTCTCCCTGCACACTGCTGCTTCCAGCAGGTGAGACACAGATTAATTGAAGTGTGCAGCAGAGAGGCATAAATTGAGAATTCTGCCAAAGTTGCTCTTTCTGTCCAAGGAAGACTTTTGATTGTGTCTCAGATGCAATAAGTGAGATACATAGTATTGAAGGGCTCCCTTGGAATTGAGGGCTATGCTGTGAGAGCCTAGTGAAATATAATTATTATCAAATAATTGCTGTTACTGTTCTTCCATGTGTAGGTGCAAATTTCAATTTCAGAAACTAAAGTAAAGGTCTCGGAACCTGAAAATGCAGAGAAAAACCATTCCGCTTCCAAAGAGTCCAGCACCTCTTTATGTTTGCCTGCTAGCACTTTAGGTAAGAAGAACCTATGGGGCAGGTTATATTTTATTATTCATTTATTTCATTTATATGCCACCCAGTGATGGACCTCGGTGTCTCAAATTTCAGTGGCACCCTGTGCGATGCCAAAATCTGCCCTCCCGCCTCTTGCCTTCCATTGGATGTAATAGTGGTGGTACCTGCTGTGGCGTCCCAGAAGCTTCACGCCTGGGGCCACTGTCTCGGTTGCGCTTCCTAAGAGCTGCTTCTGTACCACCTTTCAATATACATGGAAGCATACTGTATTGGCCCAAATATAAGCTGCACCTTTAAAATTGAAGGGGGGCAAAGAAAAAACGAAAAAATACCCGAATATAAGCTGTTCTCTTCCTTGCTGCTCCTGGCTGCATACTGTGGGCGGGAAGGGGGGGAGGAACTGTGCCGCGCTGCCAGTGGCCTTTCCCCTTTCCCGCACTCTCCCTTCCTGGTCTTGGAGGAGAGGATGGGGGAATATGAGCGGGGCAGGCGCCACTTCGCCACGCTCCTGGCGCTGTTTGCTGCATACCGCAAGGTCGTGAATATAAGCTGTACTTTAACTTTTCACGGTCAAAATTTGGGGAAAAAGTGCAGCTTATATTCAGGCCAATACTGTGAGATGCACTTGATGATATAAACAGGACAAGAACACATGCTCAGTTTAATAAATGAAGGTCAACTAAAGTTGAGTTGAGTGAAAATAGTCCTTATACAAGGGCAAATGCTCTTTTGGAGGATGCAGTTGGGTTTTCCATAGCTGTGAGAAGTAAAATAGCCTGTCAGTTCAGGCAATAAGAGACATTTCCACACACGGGAAGCAGGTTCAAAAACAAAAGTTTCTGTTTATCGCTCTATACTTTTGCTAGATAATATGAGAAAATGTCAGTGATCTTGATAGGAACTGAGTTATTAAAATCTGGCTGGAATAAATGGCTTTGATATGGTATGCAGTAGAGCTTGCTTATCTTGTCTGTTCCTGAACAGCGTCTTTTCTCCTGAGAACTCCTGCCAGAGCTGTATTGCAAGTTCTTCTTGGTGTAATTTAAAAAACCAGCATTTTTAAAAAAGGAGATAAACTGTGATATGTATCATTGGGCCCATGTGTAAGGCCTGCGAGGGATGGTCTTTCTGTTAGACAGAGTGAGGCAGCCATGCACTCAGTAATATATATTAATTCCAAACCATCATACCTGTTCCTTCCACTCTGCATAGCTATATACTCTCTGTATAATTATATATACAGTGGTACCTCGGTTTAAGAACAGTCCTGTTTACGAACGATTCAGTTTACGAACTCCGCAAAACCAGAAGTAGTGTCTCGGTTTGAGAACTTTACCTTGGTCTAAGAAGGGAATCCGGACGGTGGAAGGGCACCGGCAGTGGGAGTCCTCATTAGGGAAAGCACGCCTCGGTTTAAGAACGGTTTCGGTTTAAGAACGGACTTCCGGAACAGATTAAATTCGTAAACCGAGGTACCACTGTAGTTGCTATTGATACCGGGTAGTTTTACGGTTTCCTAAATTGAAAGTCAGCATTAAGCTATGTGTGCATCACACAAAATAGGATTGAAGCTTTCTTTTTGAAATACATTTGAACAATAGCTGCTGAGAGATTATTTGCTGAAGTGTTTTTCCTGAATTAATAATAGTTCTTAATATCATTTTTTTCTAGTTAAAGAGATTGCTGTTCCCCCAATAAGTGTTGCTTCTGTTAGTCCAAATGATTCAGCTATACAATTGCCTGTAAGTACATGAAATTTTAAAGTAAAGGATATTGCCAGTATCACGCTGGCAAAACATAAGTTTTGTTACACCTAGACGTCATGATTTTAAATATCCAGCCCAACAGGATGCACACCACCATCCCTCCATGCCTGATTCAGCCCTCTGGAAGTGTCTTCTGCATAAACCCTACTGAAATGAAAAAAAGTTAAGCAACAATTTTATTATTTATAAGGCAATTAAAGCATAACATAAACAATAAAACCATATGAAAATCATTTTACAACCAATTCCAGCAATTATTGTAAGATATAGTCTTCAATAGGTGGTAGCATGTGCAGTCAAAAATAACAGCCAATATTGCAATGGGAAGGGGGAGCAGCTGGGTAAATGAGGAAGTTTTTCACTTGTGTTGTAAACATAGAAGGTACATCCTGTAGGAAGGCTGTAGGAAGGCTGTTCCATATGGTAGGTGCTACTACTGTAAAGTCCCTCTTCTTTTAAAAGATTGTGGTACCAGCAAGTGGGCCTCAGTCTGCTGATCTCAGTTTGCAAGTAGCTCGACAAGGGAGATGGCGTTCCCTCAGGTAGCATGATCCCAAGTTGTTTAGGACTTATAAACTAACAGTAGAACCTTAAACTTGGCTTGATAGCAAATGGGTTTGTTCAAGACAATGAATGGTGCTCCCTTGAACTGCAGTTTGTGAATCAGTCTTAAAGGGCAACCCCAGTTACAGTGTATTGCAGTAATCCATTCTCAAGGTTACCAATACATGGATTACTGTAGCCGAGCTATCCCTGTCCACTAATGAGTGTAGTTGGTAAACTAGCTGAAGTTGGTAACAAGTGGTAAATATCAGCAAGGACATTCTCTTGTTTTTGAAGTAGCTTATCAAATGATGGCCTCCAATTTTGAAAAATATATGCAAGGAAATAGGATTTTAAAAAATGTTTATAGTAGTCCAGCCAGCAGAACCCATGGAAGAGAACAAATGAGTAATTTTTTCTAGCCATCAAAATCAAAAGTCAGAAGTGTTTTTAACTGAACACATGCTTTTATTCTTAAATCTCAAAAATTTATTTTGCATAACTCTTGGTCATTTCAGTGTGTTTCTAGATGCAGATGACAGTGCAAGAATGCTGTCAGTAAAGCTGTAGCTGAACAAGGCAATTATGGAGTCAAGTATTGCCCTGTAGGTCTGGAGAAATCCTACTTTAGGCAACTCATGTAACAGAAAAGCAACTTCTAGAGAGAAGGGGGCAGATACAATTTCTTGTTATGTAGACCATCCATACTCTAATGAAACTTGTTGTCCAAACCACAGAAAACTTCACCACCAAAGCAGAATGCAAGAAAAAAAGAACGAAGGTGGTATGATGTTGGCATTTTTCAAAGCAACAGTGCTCTAGTGAACCAGTTCTATTTGTTGCAGGAAGAAAAGGCCATAATTTCCAGCAAGGTAACTGTTAATTTCTTTACCTACGTATTCTAACATGACTTTTCCCCCGTTTGAACATTTTTATTATTTTTCTTAGTATCTAGTATTCATTCATTTTGTTGGGAAATCCATGCCACCTTTTGTTGCAGATATGTGGATTGTTACATGTCACATGTCTGTTTACATTCCAGCACAGATTGCTGGCATGATTTATGTATAATAAATGCATAGTTTAGTATTGTATCCACACCTCAAGCCTCATCTGTTGCGCAGTTTACACTGCTAAATAATGTATGCACTGCAGCTTGAGTCACAGACACATGTTGGAGCAGAGTTCGATGGATCTCCAGAGCAGCAAGGCTGAGAGGGGAGATGCTCCAGCTGGGGCCAAGCCAGCTGGCTTTTCACCCCCCGGTTCCGTCACATTTATGTCTTTGTTTAATCTGCTTTTTGAGAACCATGCTATACAAAGCACCATGTAAGATATGTAAAATAAAAACGCAAACCTCAATATAATATAGAGTAAATGTTGTTTTCATAGGAATTTCAAAATCCGTTTCAATAGGCAGACTGAATATCCATTGGGTATCTAGTTAAATCACTTTAGAGTCCCACACTCAATAGACTATCAGCCTAGATTTTGTACAGTTCAGTGTTTTTTATTTCATATCTATTGTCCTGTGGCTTTTGCATTATTGCTGTTTTATGCTCGCAATTGTTACCTGTTTTCATGTCCCATCCTCCTGCCCCCTAAGTTACTTTAAGATCCCCAACTCCTAGGATCTCCTAGAAAGATTTGTCTGCAAGCACAGCCAAAGTTAAGCACATTAGAATCCCACTTACCACAATGGGAAAGGTTTAAGTATATGGTCAGTTGCTTCATTATTATTACTATTTTAAATATATTTTTTATTAAAGATTTCTTGGTTTACAAAAGTCTGTGCAGTGTCTCTTTTTTCAAGTTACATTTTCTACAGGTCAGTTTCATTTGTTGACACATTAGTGTTACATTAGGAAGAAAAGGGGGAAAGAGGTGGAGGGGGCCATGGTGGGTGGGGGAGGGGTCAGTTGCTTCATTGACATCAATGGCTTTGAATGCATTCAGGTTTGCCTGAACTGTGCTCCTTACATCTTTAATATTGCTAATGACTTCTTGTACAAGGAAGCTGAACCTAGCAGGAATTCAGGATTCACCATCTGCAAAGGAATAGCATGCTAGTTTCTTTAGATTATTTTAAGAAATATGGGTCAAATTAATGTTTAATTTATATGTCTTTGTATGCTTTTTTTTTTTAAACTTAGGTAGATAATGCAGATATTCCAAACAACAGTTTACTTAAGAAACAGGATCTTGCTCCTGGCACTTTATACAGGTTCAGGGTTGCAGCAATTAACGGCTGTGGCGTAGGGCCATTCAGTAAAGTCAGCGAATTTAAGACCTGTATCCCAGGATTTCCTGGAGCACCTTCCATTGTCAAAATTAGCAAGGTAAGAAATGATAGCCATGCGGATTTGTGTGTTTGTTCCATGCAAAGCTAAAGAGGCCACTCTTAGACCTCACAATTCTTGGTAAAAGTCAGTGATGGCAATATAAGGTACACTGAGCAAAGTAAGCAGACTTGAAATTGAAATAAGCAAAAGTCAGGGGAGGAAATCTGGCTCACAGAACTATACCTCAGAATGCATAAAATCTTAATCCAGTTTAGCATTGTGGCTGTCAGCATGAGCTGTGAGCAAGGACTCTTCATTTAAATTTCAGGTCAGGCATATTAACTCGTTGGTTGGCCTTAGGCAAGATGCTGTGTTTCTGCCTCAGCCCCATATCTGTATTGTGTAATATATTATTACATTTTTTCCAAACTTAGTGCCCATCAGATCTTTTGGACTACTGTTCCCTATCAGCCCCAGCCAGCTTAGCCATGCTGGCTAGTGCTGATGGGAGTTGTAGTATAAAACATCTGGAGAGCACCAGGTTAAAGAAAAGAAGCTTGTATTATAATATAGCTCTACCATTGAGGATTACTAGAGAATTACTCAGGAAAATATATACGGAGCACTTTTTTGTGCATTACAAACACTAATTGCCCATTCTCCTAGGTTGGGGCAGTGGTAATTGCCTATCCAGGGTCTGAGTGCAGAATCGAAGCATGTGCTCTGTGTTTCCCCCTCACTACTGAGGAACCTTAACCTGATTTCACATACCTGAAATTAAAGGAAACAGCCCTGTTCGCAAATGGCTGGGTACCCTAAAATCTCTCTTCTCCCAAATTAAACCTGAAATATAAATCTTATTCTTTATTCATTAACTAATGAAACTTTATATGCTAGTACCTACACAATGTGAAATTAATTTCCCGTTTCCCCTCAGAGTGCAGATTGTATTCACCTTTCATGGGAACCTCCAGTTTCGCCTTCAGGAAATATCTTGGAATATTCTGCCTACTTGGCTATAAGAACCACCCAGCTGAATGAAAATCCTCATCAGCTTATGTTCATGAAAATCTATTGTGGCCTTAAGACCTCATGTACAGTGACTGCTGCCCAACTTGCAAATGCCCACGTTGATCACACATCCAAACCTGCCATAGTTTTTAGGATTTCAGCCAAGAATGAAAGGGGATATGGACCAGCCACGCAAGTTCGATGGCTCCAAGGTAAAGGGGGTGATTTATTCAGACACCCTGACTTTTCTCTATAATATGTACAGGTTGTTTGTTTGTGGGAACTTGTTCTTTAGTAATACATTTGTATAACTGTCAAGTCAAAATTAGCTACTGGCATATATTTTATGTTTGGAAATCATGAGACACTTCGTCCAAATGATTAGCTCAACATAGTCAGGCTGTTGTGGGTTGCGCAATATGGGTTGTAGGTTGCATCGGCATTTCATTGGGCAGATGTGCAAAACAGAAGGGCCAAAAGCCACTTCTCTGACTTTCTGTAGCCAACTCACATCTCTTTGTAGGAACATCTGTTTATCAACAGTTCTGGTCGCCTTTCTTAAATTGGGTGTCTTGGCACTGGAAAAGATGCAGCCAATAGCTGCCAAAAGTATCAGAGTGTTGGAACACCACCTCTATGAGGAAGGACTAAAGAGTTGGAAGCTTTTTAGTTGAGAGGAAATATCTCTATGGGGGGACATGATAAAAGATACATGCAATCATGCATGGTGCAAAGACACACACACACACACACACACACACACCCTCTTCCTGGGAAGAACATTCCACAACAGGGGAGCCACTGCAGAAAAAACTTAGAGATTGCTTAGAGATGAGGATCTGGGGTTGTGGGAGAAAAAGAAAGAAAGCACTGGGCTAAATATGTATAAAAATGTTTACCCACAGTTAACATAGCAGTGTGGCCTTCAATAAAAATAAAAATTGTCCCATAGAGTGATTTGAGGTGTGTACCCCTGAAATGTGGGGTGTCACTGTACCATTGCACGTAATGAAATGTGGGGTGTCACTGTACCATTGCACGTAACGCTTTGGCCCCTAGAAGACTTTCACAAGGCTAGGAGATGGAAAATGAATCTCCTTTTCATGGGGCTTCACTGTTTGTTATGATTGCAAGCTGGCATTTGCAGGGTAGTAAATCCAGACTTTAAGTTCAATTACTCTTGATATTAAGTGGTTTATCTGTATCGAATTGAACATGGCTGTTCCGGATGTTGGAAATCTAAAGCAACTTTTTCCTCTTCCTTTGCAGAAACGAAAACATCAAGTTCAAAGTAGAAATGGCACATTGTGCTGCAAGTTGTGAAATAGCTGTTAGCTCTCATGGCGTTTTGTAACTCCGTCAGATATTTCATTTGATATTGTCTTAACTTCACAGCATCAGCGTTGTACAGTCTTGCAGAACTGCACCTGCAGTGGCTGCATTTTTCATACCACTTTATCTAGTAAGGTCACTTTATAGAGTCCCACGCTGATAACTCAGAGGATTACATATGCATCTAGATTTTTGGAGAGTCTTCCTTCCAATAGCTCCCAACACATAGCTCCCCAGTTGCATTAGCTTCCAACGGATGTAGAAGGGCTGTAGCTCAGTCGCAGAGCATTTGCTTGCATAAAAAAGGACTCAAGTGCAGTTTGGCATCTCTAGAGAGAATTGGAAAAGACTCCTCTCTGGAGAGCCCTGTCAGTCAGTGTAGACATTATTGAGCTAGATAGACTAATGGTCAGACTCAGTATAAAGCAGCTTCCTGTGTTCCTAGACGTAGATGCTCAGTTTTATTTTAAAATTTGCAGAATTTAAAGAGCTAGTTTGTGATTTGGCACGAGAACCATTTTCAAAGAGAAGCCCATCTGAAAGAATAACACACAAACTTGTGTTGAATTCCCTTTGAACTGTTTTTAGGGCAAACCTACGGTGCTTCCAGGTGGGGAATTACTACTGTAAATGGGCTATTCAGATAACACAAACTGATTATTGGCAATGATTTTTGTAATTCATTGGATTTTCCTTGAAAAGGGGGAAATCAAGCTTTAAAGGGGGAGAGATATGGGCAGGCACTTGGATGCCTACAACATTGTGTGGACACTGCAAACAACAACAACTTGCACGCATGAGAATCCCACAATAAACACCTGTCTGGAAGCATAACCCCCAGAGAAGCTTAACATACAGTTTGGGGGTTTATTTGGGGAACAGCTGAAAGAAATGTTTCCCCAAACTGGTTATTTGCATATCCTTGTGGATTGGAGTCCATAGAACTATTACAGAACATGTTGTTCAAAGATGGCAGTAAATATATCACATTAGAGATGCTGAAAGTAAAGTATTTGGTTTGCAAACATAACAGCAATTGCCTTTATATGTTTAATGCTGATAGACTGAATCAAAATTTACCAATTAAGCTTTTTCAGATGAATGTGAATTGTCTCCCTTTTTCCCCTATACCACTTTAGTAACACAGGGGTTGTTGCAAATACACTGCTTTCTTTCACGACCTTTGTATAGGCACCATACCAGACACGATCTTGCCCATACCAGAAAATAAAAAAGCATAGGAAGGTTTTATGTGTTTAAATAAAATAAATATCCGTAAGTCTGCAGGGTATGCTGAGATTCTCCGTAATTTGTGGAGAATGAGTGGAGTGAGTTTGTCAGTTTGAAAATCAAGCATGCATTTCCTTCTTCCCATGTATTCAAATTTACTGGTGCGAACGACAACCAGTACTATTTTTCTAGAAAAAGAGGTGCCAGAATTCACCATGAACACCTCCCTTGTTCTCTTATAATGGCAGTGGCACCCATTGAAGAGGTGCTGTAACTGAGTTCTGGTGAGTTCCTGGTGAAAAAAAGCCCTCTTACGGGAGAAGTCTCTGAAGAGCTCAGCATTGGTCTCTGCGCTGAGGCAGCAGATCTTGTGCTCTGCTCCCCTGGCATTCTTCCGTCCAAGCAAGAATTAAAAGAATTCTTCCACCTAAGCTGATGGCTAGCTGAGGGATGAGTGGACATCTTTCTCAAGGATGGGCTGCTTTCAGCTGCCATTTCAGGCTGGACCTGTTACGCCCACTTCAATGCCTTTTAAGACTCTATGTGTATTACATGGCTTGTACTTTACAACAGAAACATGGTGAAAAGATGCCAGAGGGCAAAGGCAAGTCTTCCAAAAAACTGACCAATTGGTTAGACAAAGCGACATCACATAATCAAGTCAGCCCTGAAGACTCACAAGCGAATGCAAAAGATATAGGAGCAGGAGTTGCTCACTCCCCATCTTGATCTTCATGCAGATCTGTTCTCCTTTGGCTTATATTCCATATTCATCATGTTATCTTAGTGCTAGGCAAGTTATTTCAGTTTACAGTAAATTAAAATGTATAGAATATTTTAATATATTCATTTTTGTAAAGATTTTTCTAGTGTTTGTAAACACATTCTAATCTTGGAAACTATCCCCTGATGATATGCAAATTGCTCAACTGGTCAAATCTGTTATGAAAAACAAACTTAGTGTAAATGCACTACTCTTAGTTTCTCGTGGGCATGGGAACGTTAAATCTGTAGATATTTTGAATGTTTACAAGAGTCTTTACATGTTAAAGTCCTCCATGATGTATGCTTCATTTTTTTTAAAAAAAGAAAAGAAAACTGTATGCTTTGTTGTGGCATATTCATGCTATTTTGCACTAATAAGAATTTAACTTTGTAACATTTTTGTGTTGTTTCCAGAAAATTTCTGTAGTGGTCTAAAGTTACAAGCAAATTTGCACATATTTGCATGCTTCTGTGGCGTACATTTTTCTTTTCCCATTAATTTTCTCAATGGCTTGTTTTTGCCTTAGTTTTTATATCCTAATAGTGTTGTTTAATATACTTTTACCTTGATCATCTTATCACTAATGTGCCAGCCGCTTCAGGCTCCTTCACTTTTTTCCTACAAGGGAGTAGAGAAAAAACAGCATGTGCACTGCAAAAAAAGACACCAGGACAATGTTCATCCATGGCAGAGTACATGGCTATGCATATTCACCCTACACCTTTGTAGCAAAAATGTTGTGCGTGAAGCGATCCTTAATAGGAATGTTAATCTGTTCCTAAACACACAAGTGTACTAAATAGAGGCAGTTGGATGCCGTTTTATAAATAAATAGTTATTTACCAAATTATAGAGTAAAATAGCTGAAATATGCCAGTATGCTTAGTCAGCCTTCACCAGCCTGGTGCCTCCACAGCTGTGCGGCATCTGATGGGAGTTGTAGTCCAAAACATTTGGAAGTCACCAAGTTGTCAAAGGTTGCACTAGGTGAATATAGCGTAAGGCACAATCCAACAGGGACATGGCTTTGTGAACAGCTGTGCTATTTACATTCATTTGGATGGGCCCTGTGCAGGTTCCTATGGATTGCATCCTTTGGCATTTAAATAAGATTATTTTGTTTTGAAACCTGGCTAAATGCAAATGTGCAATAAAGTGAAAATTTTGCACTTCCATTTTTTTTCTATCAATGCCTAATAAATTAAAGAGGGGAAGTACTTGATCTACAAGATCAGTTTTAAAGTGGATAGGGTAATGCTAGTGGTTTGCAATCATTCCTTGTTCACTCTAACAGGACTTCTTTGAGGAAGGCTGCTAGTAGTCCATTTTGAAATGGGGAAACTGAAGGTGAGAGAATGTGACTTGCCCAAAGTCCATGCAAAACCCAACTCATCTAGTTTCATCCCCAGCAGCGACTAAGACGGTAAGGAAAAGAGACTTGGTCAAATGACCACCAAGAGATTCAGTACATCAGAACTTGTGGCCTTTCCTTTAACAGTAGAATACTATCTTCACAGTAGATATGTTGGCACAGTGTAAGTACTGCAGCACAATCGATAGTGCCATGAAAGACCAATGGCAAACATTTCTTAAGTGTTCTTGAATCGATAAAAAATTAAGTAGCACTTTCTGTTGGCTACTCCCTAAAGAAGGGGGGGGGTTTACATCAATTAAGTTGTGTCTATGATAATGAGAGATGTCAATTGATTAATATGAGGCTTGGTGTATTTTATATATCAAGCTAAACATGCCAGGCCACTCTTATAACTGCACACCCAGTTAAATGGGTTATACATCGAGTTCATCAATCGAACTTTACATGTTCAATTTTTATGTTGGAAAGGTATCAGTCATGGAACTTTATAATACTGTGTCAGTTTTGTTTTCCTAAGGTGCGCAGGGTGACATTAATGAACATTTAAGTTACACACCCTTTTTAAAATTATCCCCATTTCAGAAAAAGTATGTGAAGCTGCCGTAAGATTCTGAATGTCCTTGGTAATTAAAATTATACAAGCTACACAATGAGTACAGAATATCTTGGGACCTAAGATAAGACTTAGGTTGTTCTTAACTAGTGCTGTGAAATCTAAACTTCAGGAAACGTTTAAGGTCAGAGGGTTATATCCAACAATCGTTGCGCTTGTGGAGCAAATTCCACTCTTGCAGCGGAACATTTCCTCCCCTCTCCCCGTGTACCCCTGAATCTGCTCTTGGGCTTCCTTCAGGGCCCCAGAACAGATTTGAGAGGTGCAGGGTCACAGGATGGGAGAATTTCCATTGTGTGAGTGGATATCCTTCCACACCTGGAGTGACTTCATTGAATTCAACCCAGTCTTCAAAGCTAAAGGAAGGCCTTCATAGTGAAATAAATGCTATTGCCAGAACCTTAGTTCTTCCCTGAATTGTCATAAACAAGCAATGTGCTTCCCTCCTTCTTGGTGTCACCACACACTACTTCCAACTCTGGATTGGATCTAGAGCTGCCATAGGATTGTAAAGAAACTTTTCATATTAAGGGGGGGGGGGATCTAAACAATTGTGTGTTTGTTTGTTTTTTAACTTTTTTAAGGGAGGCAAGCTGTGGCAGAATGTGAGAAATCTTGTGTGGCTACTTAGCTACAAATAACTTTTGATTGTAGATACATTACTTAACAATATGATCTGTTGAGTATATCTGTGAGTATTTTTGCACTTTGAGTTCATGTTTCTGCACTTGTTTTTAGGGGTATGTCATGACTACCAAAGGTAAATTTGTGGCAGTGTTAATCCAGACATGATTTTCAGTGTAAGTGTGCTTATGCCAATAGGATCTTATATAATTTATCATACGTCTACAGTCTTCCCCTATATACATGAGATTAGTAACATGCTTATCGGTTTTCTGTAGCTATCCCCCACCCCAATTGTATAACTATTTTTGTGGCCTGTTTCTGTCAATAGCACTTAAAATATATAAATCCCACTTTAAATTTTATATTTGAGGCCTATTCTGTGTAGCGTAAATATCTAATCAATATATTTGGATATCTGACCCATTAGAATTTCACTGAAAATATAAATTAAATCAGGCTGTTTGAGAAACTGGTGGATGCTCTTTTTGTTTGCATTTGTTAAAATGTATGTGCAACATCTTGTATAAATCCGAATCCATCTTATAGCAACTTCAAGGAATAATGGACTTCGTATGAAAATTATAAGTAGAAACATCCATGCTATTTATGACATACTACATCCATTTAACTTAAGATGTTTTGTGACAATGAATATATAGCTATGTGAACAAGTAACTGGCCAGATTTGCATGATTATATCTTGACTTAATAAGCCACAATATGAAAAAGACTTTTGGTTGCACATGTAAGCCCTTTGGATTTTGGGTAGTCAGAATCAGAAGCCTCTTATTAACCATAGTTCCCTATTTTGTCTGAACTAGGAAACTATGGTCAGGAGAAGTCAGAATATTAAACCACTACTTGAAGTTGGTTTATTATTCTCACTTATTCCAAAAGAGGCAACGATCATTTCCCAGTGTGGAAACAACGGGAAACTGTGGTTGAATAGAGGCTTCCTGGTTGGAAAGTGCTGTCAAAAGGCTATCTTTGTTTCTTGAGGCAAGATACATTTACATGAATGCGGCCATTATTATGTATGATTTATAGCAATATTTGACCATAGTTTCTAAGTAGAGCACATCAGCAAGCCATAAACTTTAACAAAAATGGTGTCAGTTAACTGGAATGTTGAGGATATGGTTAAAGCCAGCTAGTTACTGTCTTATGGCTGAAATAGTCTCTACAAAGAAATCCAGTATTTTGTACAACAAAAGTAGCATTGTTCTTTGTAATAATAAAGTGATTTGTCCTAATAATCATGTTTACTGGTACACTTTTTAAAAAGTGGTTTTCTGGAGTTAAGAACCTAAAGCTCAGGGGACCACTACTGAAAAGGCTGCCTCTTGAGCTGATGCCCTCCAAACCTGTGAAGGCGGTACACAAAGGGGCTCATGACTGCAGGGTCTGGGTTGGTTCATAACATGATTAGGTGGCGCCTTAATATATTTCTCATCTTCCATATTAGAACTCAGTGTAGCATATTGGGACTTTCAGACCCATTTAGTGTTACTGTATTGTGATTGGTGTAGCATGTGCCTTCTGGACTCCAAGACAGTGAAATTCTACTGAATGGTCACTGTGCAAGTATTTCACAGGTGGGGATAGAAATTACTATACTACATCACTTTTACATGTCCCTTCAGTATAGTATTATCCCCTCCAGTGTCCTGCTACAAATAAGCACTAACAAAACAGCAACACTGATAGTAATGGTGTGTAACGTAAACAGTTTTGAGGTTTTTTACAATCAAGTGGTGTATAAATTTTATGAAATAATACAGTGGTAAAGGTAAAGGGACCCCTGACTATTAGGTCCAGTCGTAACCGACTCTGGGGTTGCGACGCTCATCTCGCTTTATTGGCCGAGGGAGCCGGCGTACAGCTTCCAGGTCATGTGGTCAGCATGACTAAGCCGCTTCTGGCGAACCAGAGCAGTGCACGGGAACGCCGTTTACCTTCCCACCGGAGCGGTACCTATTTATCTACTTGCACTTTGACGTGCTTTCGAACTGCTAGGTTGGCAGGAACAGGGACCGAGCAACGGGAGTTCACGTGGCGGGGATTCGAACTGCCAACCTTCTGATCGGCAAGTCCTAGGCTCTGTGGTTTAACCCACAGCGCCACCTGCGTCCCCAATACTGTGCTCAACTGCACAATTAATAAGCCAGTTGGAATCCATTGATAATTAGATTGGGAAGATATTTTATAAACATTTAGTTAATTTGATTCCTTGCTGCATTATTCTCTTTTCAACCAGCTTGAATTTCATCTAGTTGGTCAGGATTGAGTCACTTACAAAGATAGCAGTGGCTCAATATAAGTCTCCCATTGTTTGTGAGAATATCCGATGCACAAGATAAAATTACCAAGGCGAAATGCCATTTCCTGGAGAACTCAAGATAGTTTTACACAGTAGCTCAGGAGTCATCTGATAAAAACAGCAAGAGGGACAGTATATAACGACATATTCCAGGAAAATTAGATGGCAGTTTGCACATCAGGGTTCTAGACATAACAGTTCTTCAGACTGTTATACCTATTTGTTTTAAAGTATACTCTATCCACAGGTTCCTGAAAGCAAGTGGTGAATAAAAACAAACACTCAACTTAACTTCCAATTTAACTATGGGGGATGATTTACGGAAAGTAGTGTTTTAATAACATTAACTACCCTGTCGTGGAAGCTGCTGAACACTTGAATTTTAGACTTACACTTTCCATATAAAATATCAGACAAGAATTATAGTTGGATGAAAGTTCTGTCCTTCTACAGAAGTCTCCCCATACTTACTATGGGGAACATTGCAGCATATATATAATTCTCATCATACACATAACTTAATTGCTTTGTCCTAGCCTCCATTATGAAAAGGGCCATACTGGCTATGGATAGGTCCTACTGAGGCCAACTGCACTTTTTGTTAAGTTCCCATGCCTTGTCAAGTGCATCACCTGCATTCTTGGGTTACGTGGGACCTGAGGCAGCATTTGAGCTTTTACCTCAATTCATAAAATATGTGAAACAAGTCATCAATTAATCCTAGTACAAGGCATCTGAACAGCAGAACTATAGCTCAAAGCTTCCAGAAAGCCGGGTAAGAGAATCAAGGTTCCCCACCCCTATGCCTTGCAATTGCTTTGAGCTATAGGGTGGCTAAAGCTAGCAGTTTTATCCTAATAGCAACCATATAATGTTGCACCAGCAAAATATTCACCCCCCATCTAGACACTAAATGTACCAGAACAGGTGGTCTTTGGCACAATCTGTTCATATACAAAATTAAGTAATATTATTTAGGTATATGGCAGTTTATTGCAAAGACAGGAAACCACCAGCCAAGTGCAAACTGAAGTCTTCCATTTCAGATCCATTCAGACACAAGCATACGCCCACACACTCCACAGATGTTATAAACAGTTCAGAATTCCCATGATGCATGGAAATGGACATGTTTAGAGAATAATGATGAATTATCAAAAGACTATCAAACTGTTGCAAATGAGTAAAGAGAATTTGGCTTTTATGAAGAGAGATCATAACTTAAAAAGGGTTTATTTCAAAAGCAGTGAGACGAATGCCCCTAAGTCAATGGAATCAACAAAAGAAACTCTACTACATACTTCTAGTTGTTGCAAAATAGGGACTGCACTACAATGTACAGTTAACACTGTTATGGGGCACCAGGCAATCCACAGAACTAGCCCTGCAGAAGACAGTTATTGTCTTGTGAAAACTTGTGCAAAGCAGTTCTTGGTAGATTATGTCCCACGCTTCTAATGCTAAGATCTAGAGACTGGATACTTCCGGATTCACATTAATTCAATCATTACATTAAAACACTGGGAGCTCTTCTTTTGAACTGCTGGCGCTTGAGGAATTCCCTTTCAAAGTCGAAATATTAATAAATATGTTAACGCAACTTTAGTCATGCAAGACAGTTACAAAACAAAATCTCATTTTTTATAATAAAGGCAACTTGCATTCAAAATGAACTGTACCCTTATGTTTTATTCAAAGGGTAAACTTGAATTAATTACCCAGCTGTTTACTTGAATTACAAAAGTAACATGATTCAATATGAAAATAAGAAACTGTCTACAAATCTCTGACAGTAGTAAATTGCAATATACAATGCATACAGGAGTTATACAGAGCAACAAACTCTTGTACAAAACAAAAATACTTTAATACCTTTAAAATCCAATTTCTTTTAAAATCATTCATGAAAAAAGGTTTGAGTCAGAGTTCACACCTCAATTAGTCAAGCTTCAGGCAGCTACATTACAGCTATTATATATACAAAGTGACATTTTTCTTTTCACCAGCCATTTTAAACCAAAGTTTTCCTCCCTTTCAGCATTCCCATTTCCTTGCCCATCTCTTTCAAGTTCCCAAATCCAAAGCCATCTTCAAATCATGAGAACTGAATTTGCTGAACACCAGAGATCTAGGGAGTGCAAAACAAAGTAAGATTAATTTCAACAATTTACAATAGAAGCACATGCATTTATTTGGAAGGTCCAACTGTTAAACAAGTGCTGATTTAGAACCATTGGACTTGTTTATTACCTGTCTGGTTGCTATCAGCTGTAGCTGCAGAAACTAGGAATATTTAAATATAAGTCAGGAGAAAAAGAACCGGAGGCACTGTACCTGTTGATAAGATGTTGTATAAACCATAACATTTTGTTGTTGGCCATCTGCAGTTATTAAGCCTGCTGGCAACTGGTTAGCTAAAAGAAAGAAAGCAGTTTAGTTAAGGGACTGAATCCACAGAGAATGATACTCCAAACCAAATTCAATGTGTTCACCATTAAACAAAAAATGTATTATGGCCAGTGTACAGTGTATCAGGACACCACCTGATATTGCAAATGAAATCTAATCTCTTTCACTGGTGCATATTAAAAACAGAGAAACAAAGGTACCAGATAAGATTGAGAGACTCGGGTGAAGACAAGAAATTTAGACTCAAGACAATGAAATGGTGGCAGCAGCAGCAGCATCTAATTTGGAAAATGAAAGAAGTTACACTAGCATGAAGTTTGGGAGTGCTCTTGGATCTACAATGGTCACTGAAGATACAAACAGCATCTTAGGGAAGCCAGAGGAACTTAAGTCTTCCTACAATTATCCACAGGCCCAGCCTGATAACCTCCCAGCTGGGCTACTGCAGTGCAATACCTTTGAAAAAGGTCCATTTGGTCCCCAAGCTAAATTATTCGATAAGATTGGCTGTTAAGAACAGATTATTTCAGTGTTGTGCCATGTGAACTGGCATCCAGACTATTTCCAGACCCAATATAAACAGTTAACTTTACAACCATGAATGTCTTGAAGTCAGATTTTCTGAAGAACTGCCTTCTCTCACATATGCCCACCGGAACCTTAAGATTATCTTCTGAAGCTTATTCAGGTATCCCCATCAAATGAGGCATATAGGGAGAGGGAGAGAGGGCCTTTTTAGAGGTGGCACCCCAGTTGTGAAACATCCTCCCAGAGATACTTGCTTGGCATGTACTTTGATTTCTTCGGCACCAGGTGAAGACTTTTCTATTTTGTTGTTGTTAGAATGCTGGACTAGGATCTGGAGCCTAGGATTCAGATCCTCAGTCATGAAGCTCACCGAATGATTTGAGACCAGTAATTATTTCTCATCCTCATCCACCTTACAGTGTTTTAATGGGAAAATGCTGGAAGTGCTGGTGGGAGGCGCCAGTGGCAGGGCAGAGATTAAGAGCCATAGGTTGCACCTTGAGCTCCTTGGGAGGAAAGGTTGTATATAAATATAGTATTAATAAAATACATAATTTTTTCATGCTTTTATGTTACTCTTTCTAGCTTTACCTCGTTTCTGATTTCATGTTGCGTAACCTACCCAAAGAACCTTTGCTGTTGGGTGACATATAAATATTGTGAATAAATATAAATAAATAAATAGAACTCAGGAGATGTATACATGTGCATGAACCAGCCACAAGGTGCCAACCACAAAGCACAGCCTCCAGTGCATTTCAGTGCACCATTCATGGACTTCTACATAAACCACATGGCAGCAGTACTTGGTAGGTTGCAGCCCTTTGGTCATACTTGACAAGCTTCTTCCAATCTCAAGTGTCAAGTACCAAAAGCAAAATCTGTCCCAGCAACTTCAAGTGTTACTTACTAAATGCTTCCTCTGTGAGCTCCTCACTAAGGCCATCTGCTGTGGTAACTGCTCCAATACCCTTTTCTCCTTTCATGGCCTTGAAAAAGCATAAATAATGTTTTGTATGAGGATACAAGCACTTTCAACCACTTAAATCATTGCACGCTTTTTGGAATAGCAGTGTAGTTTATACACAATACGTTTTTCAAACCCTGGATCTCCAGTACAGAATTCTATAATTCTACATATTTTGTACACCAATAATTATATCTGTATTCTTGGTGTGAATGTTGATAACATTTTAAGATCACACCTATAGCAGTGTAACCAGCAGAGTAGCGCAGCAGAGCTTCAGGATCTTCCCCCTTTGTTATTGCTAGCCATTTCAGAGAAAACTCCTTGCTCATTGAGTTAAGTATAAAGTGTTTATATTGCCTCAAACAACAAGACAACTATTTACACTATGTACATAAAGTTAGGAGATGCTGTGCATCAGAAGCTATACACTATAAACTAACTAAGCAAAGTAAACCTGGGCTCAGTCTGTGTCACACAGTCTGCATTCAGTCAGGAGGTTTGTAGTCAAAACTGGAAGCATGGCTCAATCTGGAGGCTCGAAGGCTGAATGCAGCAGGCTCTAAATTAGCCAAACCAGAGATTCGCACAGAATTCTCCCCTTGGGTGAGAAGCAAGTGCGAAGAACCTTCCTGAGTCGTGCCAGAAGCCCATGGCCTTGAGCTGTTTTCAGGAGGCCCACTACAGCTGGAGTTCTAACCCTGAACAGAAATGAGGCAAGGTGGAAAGGCAGCTCAAGAGACAGATCCAAGCACAGTTAATGCAATTAACAGCAATACTTAAATTACAGGTGTGATATTTCCTTCAGCTTTTATTGCAAGTGGTCTATGGTTCTTCAGCAAACACAACCTCTCATATACATCTTCCAGTGAGTGGTTGGCAAAAAGAGGAGGGTGAAAGGGTTGTGGGAGCTAGACCTCATGTCACCGACTAGGAAGAATCAAGAGGTTGCATGTCTGTAGCAGCCCAAGTTGCCACTTGTGCATCTGAAACTGCAGCAGTTTAACCTGTGCATCGTAGCCCGTTATGATAAGAAGGAATTATTGCTGGCACAAATTGCACACACACAGCATTCAATGTGAAAAGGAGCAAAGGGCAGGGATAAGCAATGCTAAGCTACTGCCACAGAAAGCGACTGCAGATTTCTTTACACATTACATTAAGTGCTCATTTCAAACATTTTGCAATGTAGCTTCTTAACGAAATAAATAGGTAAAATCAAAAATCAACAACCAGAGCTGCATCAAGCTGCTCAGGAGACTTTCTTTCCACTGCTGCTAGTTCACCCTCCTTATTGCTGTTGCCCCTTAGCACTACCCACAGTAAGAACGAAAGTAAGAAAATGACAATGAAGAGAACCGCCACCACAATCTGTCCCCCACATCATTATGGGATTACAAAGAACAAAGCAGCTGCCCCCTCCCCCCCATCTATCCTATCAGGCATTAGGAATGTTTTAATCCACTGTCATAAACCGCTTTGGGGCTTTTAATATGAAGTGTGGCCTAAAAATGTTTTTAAATAAATAAAAATAAAACAGCAAGTGTGTGGGCAATAGCTGCTGTTCCTCTTGGCCAGAATAAGTACAATAATGTTAAATAGATGCAAGGTAGAGAGGATAGAAAGTCTACCTGTGACATGACAGATCCAGATAGGAAGTAAAACATTGCATAACATATGGGAAGAGGAGAAGAGTCAAAGGGGAATGCAAATGCTAGATTATTCAAGCTTTGCATTGAATTTGTGGAGATGCTTGACCATGTGCTCTCCTGGACTTGACACATTAAAATAAAGCTATTCTAAATAGTGCACCATGCAATAATAAAAACATGAAGTAAAAGCAGCAAGCTAGTAAACACAAGCTTCTTGTTCAGACCAGTGCATGCCATCTAAGTTGCAACACTAATCTAGCAGGGACAGAAAAAGGCCAAATCCTTAAAAGCATATAAACCAGCTGGTTCATCAACAAAAATTACATTATTTTTTTAAAAAAACACACAATAGCATTTATATTCTGAAAACAGGCTTCATATAAATAAAAATTTCAGTCAACATCCCTGGTTTATATAAAATATAAAAACAGTACAGTGGTGCCCCGCAAGACGAATGCCTCGCAAGACGGAAAAACCGCTAGACGAAAGGGTTTTCCGTTTTGAAGTTGCTTCGCAGGACGAATTCCCTATGGGCTTGCTCCGCAAGACGAACATGTCTTGCGAGTCTTGAGATTTTTTTTTCGCTTTTCCCCCCCTTTATCTAATCTGCTAAGCCTTTAATAGCCTTTAATAGCCTTTTAGCAGCTAATCCCCTACGCCTTTAAGCCTTTAATAGCCGCTAAACCGCTAATAGCGCTATTAGCGCTAATCCGTCAATGGGCTTGCTTCGCAAGACGAAAAAACCGCTAGACGAAGACTCTCGCGGAACGGATTAATTTCGTCTTGCGAGGCACCACTGTAATTAGTCATAACAGACAAAATTCCAAACTGTTGTAAAGTAAAACCACAGAAAGATTACAAACCTCTCTGAACTTCTGAAGGTACAACTTCAAAGGTTCCACGTAGCTGTCAAATCCCAGAGTGGACATGGCAAAGAGAATATCCTCCCCATTTATAGTCTTCCGTTTTTCTTGATGACACCTCTCACTTGCTTCCGATGTTATAAAGCTTATGAATTCACTTACGCACTCCTGAACACATTCCTTTGCATCTTTAGCAATCTAGAATAATCAGCATCAGAATCATCTAGTAATCAAACTATTTCTCGTTTCCAATCCGAATTAACCCTAATATATACACCAGCAAAACTGCCAACAAAATAAAATGTTTTGGGCCAGTTAAACTACCCCAAACAGAATGGCTTAATTGTACACATTACCTCAATTTTGAAATGTTTGACAATTTTGAATTGAGTAGTAGTTTTTTTAAGAAATAATAATAATTGAAAAACCAAAGCTGCCATTCATTTAGAGTAGCCTTCCCTAACTGTGTGTCCACAGATGTTGCTGAAGTGCAACCACCAGCCAGTATGCAGAATGGTCAGAGATGATGGGATGTAGTCCAGCAACAATTGGGGACCTAGGACTGGAATCCCTCCATGAGAGGCAGATGCAAAAGTTGTTTTGGGCAGCTGGAGATGTGGAGGATTAGAAAGCACTTGTACTTCCTGCTCTCATTGTTACATCACATCTGAAGGAGCTCTCAATATTTGGTCTTAAACCCCCACTGAATGCAACCCAATGATTATGCCGTATTTTAAAGAATTCTATGATGAATCTAAGATTCTTACAGTACACATGGAATGCTAGCAAAGCTCTCTTTCTGAGTTATTACCTTTCCTGTCTGAGGTATAGCATTCTTCATTATCCTTGCCACATTTGCAATTGGAAGATATATATCTTGTTCTCTAAAACTCTCTTTGGAGCCATTTGTGTCTTCATGATCATTCATGCTATCCTCCGTATCTAAAAAAAGAGAGCATAATACACAAATATTAGCTTTATATGTTGTACCCCTTTGAAAACCTCACTTACACCTTGTTTTAGGGTTGCCATATTTTGAAGAGAAAAAAAAGAAGAAGACACATTTGCCAACTTTGCTATGATAACTCTCATTTTAAATACCTGTCATATATGTAGGCTATAGAAGTTCACATTCCCACCTTAAAAATGTACAAAAAAAAGTAAACATATACACTTTCTCATTCTTCAGCCTTCCTGGGTGATCCCAGCATGTCAAAATAATCTGGGCTGAAAATTGACATTTTAGGAGCACGAAGGGGGGAAAAGGGTTACACAGCTTATCACTGTATGACACATACACACACATCTAGTTCAGCATTGTCTCTACTGACCATCAGCGATTCTTCCAGGTTTCAGAGAGGGTTTGCCCCTACCAGGAGATGCCAGAAATTGAACCCGAGGCTTTCTGCATGCAAAGCATGTACTTTACCACAAAGCTATGGGTCATCCCCAAAAGAGCAGGCATATAGGACATGTCCAGCAGAAACTGGGCGTATGACAACCCTACCTTATTTGGAAAACCACCTCCCATTACAAAGCCTTTGACCATCATCAAAACTGCTGTACAGTAACTGTTAGTAAAGTTTCTCTTGCATCTTTTTTCTCCAAATGCCCACCCCTTGAAAAGGAAGAGATCATTCTACTGGTTTGACAGAGCTTATTCTCCCTCTGCTTTCTCCCACTCTCCCACCAAACCCTTCCTCCTTTTAGTTTAGTTCTAAATGTATTTAACTGTAAAAATTTTAAAAAATTAAACACCCTTTTAGAAAATATCACATTTGCTATCACAATATGTGATCTTGTCCACTGACATACATGCTGCTTTAAAAGCAAATTAAATAAATTCATGAAGGAAAAGACTACCAACAGAAATTATTCATCATGGCTGTATGCTACTATCAAGATCAGAGGCATGATGCCTCTGAATCTCAGTTGTTGGGAAACACTTGCTGGAGAGTGCGACTGTAGTCATCTTCTGCTGTTGGGCTTCCCATGGACATGTGGATGACAAGTGTGGGAAACACGATGCTAGACTAGATAGGCTTTTAGTTGAAACCAGCAGGGTTCTTTTTATACTCTTTATGTGTTTACAGATATTACATTACAAGATCCCAGGAAACTAGATTTTTAGGACATATTGTAGATCTACAAGAGACAGAACTGGTAATCTTAAGGACTGCCACAAAATTTATTTTTAAAACTGTTTAAAATATTGTTAAAATAAAAAGGTTGGTTCGGTACCAATACGAGCATTTTCTCACATTACTTGCAACACAATGCTACTCATTAAATATGTCCCACTGGGTGATACCCAACTACCAGTAAGTCATACTAAACGTAGATCCACTGAAATCAATGGACTTAAGTATGACCAACATACTTAATGGGATATCACCCATTAGGTTCCATGCGGCTTGAGCCCAAGGAAATGTGCACAGGATTGAAGCATATGGCACACAAGTACTACATGGTATACATTAATTTAATCATTGCTGAGCAATGGTCTCATATAAGAGCTATTAATTTAATACAGAGCTGTGAATGAGTCTTATGATACGGTCTTCTTTTACAGACTATGATACATTTTCACAGGGCTGCAGTCACGTCTCTTCTAAATGTCTCCAAGCTGCAATGTGAAAAATGACAATAAGAATGGACACTGTCTTTGACCAATACATTACTTACCATCATGAGGCTGTATCACATAGTGACTACCACCAATATAGTCTCCAGCAATTCCTAACTGAGAAGCATCTGTTGTAGAACTATCACCATCCATCTGGAATAAAAGGATCCGAGTTTAGAACAGTCCACTCCACTTGACTAAGCATATTGTTCTTAAAAATCTGAGTACATATTTCTGATCGAAATACCTGAGATTTGAAAATATAAATAGTATTGCATGCCCACTACACATGATCTTTGCTGCCTAACACGCAATAGCTCATTATTCAAACTAAGCCTTCTACTGAAGACTTTTAGTGTACGTACTGTATAGCAGTACTTCTATTATTTATGAATAATATGAAGCTTTTATTATCCAAAAACACTTTATGTCTGTGAAGAAGGCAGCTACCCACAGAGAGCCAGAGGTTGAGGGGAGGCAGATCATATACAAGGGCTGCAAAATACACATTGCTGAAGATTAAAGGGCTACACTTGAAAATGTTTTAATTATCTAAATAATTGAATACTTCTGAGAGATGTTACCAGTTTTATATTATGTATAATAGGGGACAATGTTTATGAAGTTACCAACAATTTTTCATTAAACAATGTTGAGTTTATTTCTGTTAAATATTAATAAGTTTGGATGACCTCTTTAATGCTTTGGCTTTGCTTCTGCATAACCATCAAGTTTAAATAAAAACTATACAGCTAGGGCTTTCTCTCAAGGATCTACCTATTATAACAGAGTGCAACTTCAGCATCCATGTTCTCCTCCTGTCTAACATGCCATTATTTAAATCTGATCCAGTGTACCACTGTTGGCAAGATGACTACCGCTATCCTAGAATCCTTGCTTTAAATCAAGTTTCATTCTCTCAACTTTTTCTGCCATAAGAAAGTTAACAGCTGAGGCAAAAGCTGAAGAAAATACCTGACATAATTTACTTTAAGATTTTGTACAGAATCCAGATTTGATAGGATTTGTCATTTAGCCAAGACTGTTCTTTGGAAGAGGTAACTTACGACTCCAAATAAGAAAATGAGCTTTCATGAGTTGAAAGTGACCCTTCTTAAGTTACATGAAATAGCCCTACTGATGGATACTGTACAGAGGCCTATAAAGAGGCCACTGCCAGCATGTCTTGTTTATAATAGAATATTAGTTAGTTGTCTACAGATATCTTATATCACAATTGTCATTGGGAATGAGAACTTTCAGTATATAATTTTCAAGCATTTGTCACTTTCAAATTATGCAATAAAACACTATGTTGTATAACTATATTAGTCAGGTAAAATAAAGCAAAATGTTCTGGCTTTCTGGAAATCATTGAGCACAAGAGCAATATGAAAACATCACACTGTGAAAATGCAACAATTTCTCTAGAAATACACAACATTCTGAAGACCTGCACTTTAGGGGATTAGTACTGATGGAAGTCACTGATTCTGCTTCTTTCTGAAAAACTACTATGAAAATAAAAGAGGCAACAAAATGAAGCTTAACCTAGACAAGACAGAGATGCTGTTAAGGGACAATTCTTCTGACCAGATGAGTGGTGGTCAACTGATTCCAAACAAAGTACCACTTCTCCTGAAGGAACAGGTTTGTAGCTTGGGAATTCTATTACTGTCACTTGCTGCAGGAGTGCTCTCTGTTTAATAGAGTGCCCTTCCCTTCCCAGCTTCAGCTGGTACCCCATCTATATCTGGACAAGGATAACCTGGCTTCAATTCTGGCACCCTCCAGATTAAAATAAGGCAACATGCTATGCATGGGACTGCCTCTGAATAGAGTTCAGAAATGGCAGATAATGAAGAATGCAGTGGCTTGACGGCTGTGGAGTCTAGACGGTCTAATCATATTACATTAATTCTGGCTAGTTTCACTGGCAGCCAATACATCTCTGAATTTAGTTCAAAGCACTGGTTTTAACCTATAAAGACTTACATGGCATGGGACCCCAACACCCGATGGAATATCTCCTCAGACAGCAGGGGTTCAGACAACTATGAACCCCATAGTTGTCATCTGAGCCCAGGTGCCCCACCAAAGAGAGGTGAAGAGAGTGGCAACAAGGTTGTACCTCTCCTGTTCATGGGACACGCTCCCAGTGAGGTGCCCTGGTGCAGACGTTAATATATTTATGGCACCAGGGCAATACCTTCCTTTCCTCTGAGACATTTGGTGAGTTGATTATATAATTAATTTTCTTTTTTTCTTTTCTTAAAAAAATTAATTAATTTTCTACTGATAACTGGCTATTGTGCCAGTTATGCTATAGATATTTGGTGTGGTGTTTTTTTTAGCATTGTTTTCTTAAATTGTGTTATATTATTTTGTTTCATTTGTATGTTTTACGGTGTGTGTTATACTGTTTATAAGTCACCTTGATTTCAGTAGGTCTACAACAAACAAACAAACCAACCAACCAACCAACCAACCAACCAGTAATTAATCCTACTTCAACATTTTCCTGTTTTGGAATTTCCAACCATCAGTTCAATAACCAATCTAACTACAGGACAATTCCATACTAAATATACACAAGGACATCTCACCAAATTTTCAAGTGAATGTTGCTCTTAAGAAAATTAAACCCAAGTTGGGCACAGTTGCAGGATTTTAATGAGCACGGTTAATTCTAGTGCAGCTACTCAGCACATAGTACTAGAACGTATCAGATTGCCTTCAGGCTAGTTAAGGCCATGCTGAAATCAAGAAGACTGCTGCAAGAAGAGGCCTTTAACCTTATACAATAATACTTTTTTATTCAGAAAAGTTTTTGCACTCATTCTATATATTAACACCTTTCTCTAAGTGGCAATCTTTATGTAGCCAAAATGGCACCATCCACAAGAGGGAGGTGCCAGCAGGCATGGTGGGAGAAAAATTGCAGTACGAAAAATCTTTAAGGGGGTGGGAAATCCCAACAGCGTTTAAAAACAACAACAACATGATGAGTGTCTGCTGGGGAGAGAAGATGGAAAACGGGGGGGAAAGAAGCCTGAATAGGTGGTAGAGCGCATGCCTGGCTAGCACCATGACACTGTATAAACTGTTCAATGTACTCTTTTCTATGTATTTTACTGCTTGCGGTATCTGTCATTCTGCTGGTAGAGTTGTGCATACAAGTTCGCACAAGCAGACAAAGGCAACCAATACAAGATCTGTTCTGTCAACCTGTCTTGTTCCTGCATGAGAATTCCATGTCAGCATGGAATTGTCATACAGCATCTTGCGGGATACCTAGAGTTTGTTTACAGAAGGCCTAAGCTAATGCTATTCAGTGTTGGTAGGCAACCCCAGGAAATCAACAGATCACATACACTTTGTATACAGGGAATATTCATTCTAGAATTTTGCTGGGTGCTTTTTAAAGCCTTTATATACCTAAAAGGAGAAACACAAACTGCCCTAACAAAAGAGTAAGTCTTCAAAATAGGTTAGTTCACTTGTTTTTCCACCTTCACAGACTTTTTGACTAGACAGATAAAACAAATGGAGAAATCAGTTATGGTATGCAAAACGGAACAGAGTTCTATGACTGAGTTATGTTTTGAAAAAATAAATAAATCACAGAACTCATGCCAACCAGCTAGTTTGTACTCATAGGATTCACACAAACAATTCAGATGTGATGGGTACATTCACACTAGGCAGGTGGGGCCAGGGACAAGTCTGAGGATTGAACAATTCCAGTAGCTGTGTAAATGGACTCTATAAAACAGTGTTCTCTGATTTCCACAAACACATTTCTAACATGTGTGGTGGATTGAAGGTAGCTATGATCCAGTGACAAGGAGACTTCACAAGGAAAGGGACTGGGGGAGGATGGAAAAAGAAGCTCGAGTGTGTAAGACAAAAGACAAACCTCCCATAACAAGACAGAAGTAACTGGTAACGTTTGAACATGTGGAAGCTAGGAAAATGACACCCCCCACCCCCGGCTAAATGGTACCCCAGAGCCACAAACCCACCCACCTTTGGGGTTCACACGCGTTGCGACCAGGACTTAGCGAGACAAAAACAGCAGCTTCTCTTAGCGTGCAGAGCGCTTTTTGACAGCTTCGTTTCTCCGCCTCCCCAACCAAAGCCACTCTCGAGACCGCGAAAGGCGGCCATGTGCAAGGGCTAGGCGGGGAGGGGGGGGAGATAACCATGGGGGGGGGAGCGACGACTGTGTGGGGTGTGTGCGTGTGTGTGGCAAGAGACTTCCAGACCATCGCCAACGTGGGGGCGAGGGGAGCCACCGACCCCTTCGCCGCCCCATTCCCACTTCAGTGAACCTCCCCCCCCCAAAAAAAGGTGGGAGGCGGGTGGTGGTGGTGGGGAGTAACAGAAGAGCGAGAAGCAGACAAAAGCCCTTATGCACAAATAGACCCAAGTCCACCCCAGGAGGAGAAAAGGAGCAGGGAGAGCGGCGAAAGGGAGGGAGAGAAAAGAAGGGCGGCCTCCACGAGGGAACAGTAGAAGAGGCGCCTATTAAAAATAAAACAGGCTCGGCCGAGAGGGGGGTGGTCGGTCCTCATCCTCGGGGGTCCCCTCCGACCCCCAGCTTGGGAAAGCGGGAGAGGAGAGGGAAGGGCTATTGACTCGGGCGGCAAACGCGGCTCCTTTCGACACACACACAACCTCCCCCCCCACCCCGCGTGTGGTGACACGCTCCTCCCGCCGCCGCCGCTCCTCTTCCAGGGGTCAGCTCCTGTCACAACAGCCCGTCTCCCTTCAGGGGCCTCGGCCAACGGCCCCCGCTCGCTTTCCCCTCTCCAGGCCCCGAGCAACGGTCGCCGGAGCCTCCGCTCCGCGGCGGCGGCAGTACAAAGACGCGGGCGGGCGGGCGGGCCCGGGCCGCGGTCTTTCTTCCTTCCTTCCCCCCCGGTTCCTCCTCCTCCTCCTCCTCTCTGTCTGTCTGTCTGCCTGTCTCTCTCTCTCGCTTTCTCCTTCTCCCCGCACTTCCTGGTCCCCTCAGCGACGGCGCGGCGGCAACGCCGGAGCCCGGGGAGGGAGACGGACATTTCATTCGAGCCTGCAGTGAAACCGGTTACCAATCATTGGCCGGAGCCAGGCACAAACCTCCAGTGCGGCCCTGGTTGGCTCCCTCCGCAAATCGGCTGTTTGGTTGGACAGAAAATGGCTGCGAAGGAACCAGTCCCAGCGCGGAGCACCGCTTCCCGGAGCCGGCCTGCCCTCCCTCCGCGCCGCCTCCTCCTCGCCAGCCGCCGCCCCCTCCCTTCGCGGGAGGGCTCTTCCCGCGATGGGGCGGCCCTCCCGCCGCTGGCCGGATCCTTCTCTCCCCCCTCCCTCCCTCCCTCCCTCCCTCCTCCTCCTGCTGCTGCTTTCAAACAGCTGCGCGCCTAGAAATAAATAAACTATCAAACAAACAACCCCACGGTCACAAGCGGTGACGGCGGCGCGCGCTCGCACACGGGCGCGCGCGCGGGCTCGTCTGAAGAGTCCTGTTTTCCTGTCAGAACTCAAGGCCGGCTCAGGATATTTGGGCACCTGAGGCGGACAACCCTCCCCACCAAATGGCGTCTCCCCCCTCCCCGTCAGGGACAAAAGAATTGCCATGTGTCCTCTTTTTTTTTACCAGGGCACGTCTTCTTTTTCAGGGGTAAAATCAGTGCCAGATTTATGTATAAGCTAAACAAGCTATAGCTTAGGGCCCCACTCTCTTGGGGCCCCCCAAAAAAATTTAAGAAAAACATTTCCAAAATATAAGATAAAAAACAAATAAAACAAAACCTACATACAGCAACAGTGTTTGGTGTTGTTTAGGCTCCTATGATGTCGCCTGCTAGCCTGCTCCCTAAAATATCACTGGTTTGCTCATTTCTATATATAGGGTGCCTACATTCTGCATGGACTTGTTGCATGGCAGCATGTTCAAATGGCTTTAGATACCTATTAGGTCCATAAATTACCATATACCAAATATTCAACACAAAAAAAATTGAAAATTTGTTGTTGACAAAGGACAGCTGGACATATAAAGGGCCCCATTACCTTCAGTAGCTTAGGGCCTCATCAAACCTAAATCCGGCCCTGTGTCCACATATAGAAGCCAACGTAAAGTAGGAGTATTTAAAATGAGAGTCTTCATGTGGTAGCCTTAAGGTTGAGGAAATGGAGGGGAGAAAGAAGATACGATATGGGGAGATCTGCCGCCTTGTGGTGGCACCTCGAAAGTCTTATCGGCTTTGGAGGGCTTTGACTGGGCAAATTCATGGAAGATAACACTATCAATGGCTAGCAGCACAGGGGTGCCAACTTGAATGAAATATTGGGGGCGGGCCCTCCGCCATGCATAATCAATCACATGACATGGTCACACACAGTTTTTGAATGCAATGCCCATCAACCTGGGAGGGGGGCAGTCCCCTCAACTATTTAATGTGGGGCCAAAGGGACCTCGGGCCCTAGGAGTTGGCTCCTATGCTAGCAGAGGTGTAGCGCTGCCACCCCACTTGTGCCCTTGGCAAGGAGATGGATTGATGTGGAGAGACACAGTTTTTGTGGAGGGACCAACCTTGCCTTGCCAACCCCTAGGTATGCTACTGGCCGCAATGGCTATATACTGCCTCCATAGTCTGTGTCCATAATGCTTCTGAATACCAGCTGCTGGAAACTGCAAGGGTGCTTTTCTCGGTCAGATCCTGCTTGTGGGTCTCCCACAGGAATCAGTTGGCCACCGAGAACAGGGTGCTGGATTAGATGGGTCATTGGCCCGATCCAGCAGGCTCTTCTTATGTTCTTGTCCCAAAATGTGCTTGGGAGGGCTTATGAGCCCTTGGGCAGGAAGGGAGAATCATCAAAATACTTATCTCCCTTCAGCATTTGATTGGGGTGGGGTGGAGTGGGGCTTAGATGGAGATGATGGATTCAGTTGATTGTGTTATCACTTATTATTACTGCTATTGTGAAGTTACTGTGCTTATTTTGCACATGTTTAAGCTGTAATTGAATTGCTGCAGACTACGTTTTGCAATCACTTGCCTCTTCAATCTCATTGTTTAGAGATTTTTAAAATCTTCTATACCACGGTGGTACAGCCTGTGGCCTGTGGCCCACATGCAGCCCGCAGGAAGCCTTTTTTGGAGACCCTTGGCAACATTCCAGAAAGGAGATCTTAAAACCTTAAAAAATAAATAAATCTGTCATGCATTGTTAATGAATGTGCATACATCTGTTTGTGTATTAAATTTGTTTAATAATTAAATATCCTAACTGTATTTAATTATATTTATTTAATTAAACATGAATTGTGTATATTAAATAATATTAAATAGATTGCGAATACTTATTTTACACTATGGAAATCTAATTCAGTGTGGCCTGTAGGTTCTGTGTTGAAGTACTCTGGAGGCCCACTTGGTATTAAAAGTTGGATTGTCCTATTCTATCCCCATTTGTTTCATTGGAAGCAATTCATAAATGAAGTAAATACAGACATACCAGCCAACACTTTATGCACCTGATTACAACATATACTGTTGTAAGCAAAATCAGAGAGATTCCATTCTGAGGCGATCATGCAGAGAATGCATGCTTAAGACATAAACAAAGATTAATTAGCTGCTGACCAGACCAACATGAAATAATTAAGATAAAAAATACATTGAAAAGGGGATAGAATCAAATAATTGTTGGAAGGGACCCCGAGGGTCATCTATCCCAACCCCTTGCAATGCAGGAATCCTGCCCACAGCAGTTCATGGAACAAAGAAGAGTGATTTGCGTCTGTATCTGCCTGGCTTTGAGAAAGTGCCTAAGGCAGTTTGTGGACTGGTGAGAATTTTTTTTTTAATCTGCCTGCCTGCAGCAGTATTCCTCGACTCATTTGTAAAGTGGTACAAAAGTGTTCTTTAATTTGCCATGAGAGTCTAGCATTTTAAGTAGTTTTCCTGATTCCTAGCTCTGTACCTTTCATACTTGAGTAAGAAATAAAATTTTGTTTTGGTTGATCAAGCCAGTCATGGTGGCAGATTAGATAGACTCAGCCGGCAACAAACCCTGGGTGGGTATTTTCCCCACAACAATATGCAACCGATCATTATGCTCTGCAGGACAGAGCTGTAAAAGATAGGTGTTTAATGTGCATAATATGCTGTTTGCATGCACTGTGTATGAAACTTATTGGATGTTTGCATTTTCAGAATGACTGTTTTGCAGAAAACTGCAACAAGTACCAAAAAGTGCTTTTGCAGTTAAAGCTGCAACAAGGGGTTGGGAGTGTTTTTGTTAATGGATTATTCATCCCCAGAAGTAGTGGGTGAGTCTCAGAAGCTGCCAGCATATTAAAGAAACAACTAGCTTATCTGATTCTCTCTCTGGACCAGAGAGAGAATAGTTATTGGCATATATCAGCAAGTAAGAACTTTAAGAAAACTGGACTGCATTGGTGGTTGTTTTTGCTCGTTGTTTAAGAGCAATGTGTCAATTTGTACATTTTGTAACAAGTTTAAAGACAGTTTGCAGTGAAATTTTGGAACTCTTTCTTGGTATGGAGAGCTTATTGGTTCATACTGTGCCCATGGTCCAAATCAGGGAATTCCACTCACATAACTCTAACGAGGGCATCTTGCAGATGCCATCCTCAGAGGAGGTCCATTCTGCATGATGTTGGAATTGGGCTTTCAAGATGGATGCTGGTTGCTGTAAAAAGGTAAAAGGTAAAGGAACCCTGGACAGTTAATTCCAGTCAAAGGCGACTATGGGGTTGCGGCACTCATCCCACTTCAGGCCGAGGGAGCCGGCATTTGTCTGCAGACAGCTTTCTGGGTCATGTGCACAGCATGACTAAACCATTTATGGGACACCATGACAGAAGCCAGAGCGCACAGAAACACCGTTTACCTTCCCACCGCAGTGGTACCTGTTTATCTACTTGCACTGGTGTGCTTTCAAACTGGCAGAAAGCTGGGACAGAGTGACAAGAGCTCACCCTGTCATGCTGATTTGAACCGTCAACCTTCTGATCGGCAAGCCCAAGAGGCTCAGTGGTTTAGACCACTAACCACCATAAAGAAAAAAGAATAACAAAGCTCAATGAAGACCAGATATAATCTAAAACATCCTGATCTGTTTGTGGGAAGTTTGCACATCTTCTTTTTAGTCATTTCTGGGCACCACAGTTCAAGAAGGACATTGACAAACTGGAACGTGTCCAGAGGAGGGCAACCAAAATGGTCAAAGGCCTGGAAACGATGCCTTATGAGGAACGGCTAAGAGAGCTGGGCATGTTTAGCCTGGAGAAGAGGAGGTTAAGGGGTGATATGATAGCCATGTTCAAATATAGAAAAGGATGTCACATAGAGGAGGGAGAAAGGTTGTTTTCTGCTGCTCCAGAGAAGCGGACACGGAGCAATGGATCCAAACTACAAGAAAGAAGATTCCACCTAAACATTAGGAAGAACTTCCTGACAGTAAGAGCTGTTCGACAGTGGAATTTGCTGCCAAGGAGTGTGGTGGAGTCTCCTTCTTTGGAGGTCTTTAAGTAGAGGCTTGACAACCATATGTCAGGAGTGCTCTGATGGTGTTTCCTGCTTGGCAGGGGGTTGGACTCGATGGCCCTTGTGGTCTCTTCCAACTCTATGATTCTATGATTTGTTGATCCCATTTTTAAAATGTATTTCCTCATCACTTCTCAAACCACAAGAAGTTAGGCTTGTTAGTTTAACGGAATTTGTTGTGCTGGGGTGACAGAGCTCCTTTTAATGCGCTCCGCGCTTCAAAATGAGGAAACCTAAAGTTCTGGTTTGCAGCTGAATCCCTCCCACAAAACCCCGAGAGTCTGGAGTAAATTCCCCTTGACAAAATAGTAGCATGAGCCGCTTAGGCCAGCAGGGGTCGCGCCTTCCCTTCCCTAGTCCGGGATTTCATTCATTTGTTTGGCATCCGATTGCCATCGCAACCGGCACGATGGCAGAGAAGGCGCGGTAGCTCCTTCTTGGCAGCGCGAAACTCCCGAAAGGCTGCAAGGCTGCAGCTGCCCCGCTTCCCTCGGAGGCTCCGTTCCTGCTGCTCGCACGAAGGGAGAGACGAGAGAGAGACTTCAATACGCGCCCCGCCAGCTGCGCCCGCTGGGTTCCCGGCGGCGTTTGCGCCCAACGGCCAGCAGGGGGCGCTGCGAGTGCTGGGGCGTCATGGGCAGCTCCGTGAGGAAGGGCAAAGTGGTTCGCCAGGCGCCCGCGGGCACAGCCAGCCGCGACCCCAGGGCAAAAGCCCCGCCCGCCCCAGGTGGGTAAAGCCTAGACTTCTTCTTGCTCTTCGTTCGGAGTGACGGAAGGGATATTCCGGGTTCACTTAGCATCCTTTCCCATTTAGATTTTTTATTGGTTATCATTTTACTAATATTTTATTGGTTAGTGTGGGTGTGTTTTGTTGGCATTCAACTTCATTCATTTTTTGGACCTCTTTATTTCTGTTTCAGTAATATTGTTTATTTTTTGGACATCGTCCACCACTTAAGAGATTTTTTAAAAAGCTGTTAATCAGCTCATTAATTTATGTATTTTTTTAAAAAAATATTGTCCTAAAGGACTGGGTGCAACATAAAAAGTTATTTTCCTCCTTCCCCGTCCCCTTTTTACCTTTTGCAGCAACCCCATGAGGCAAAGTGAGAGAGAGAAAGAGTGAGCCCAAAGAAGTCGCCCATTGAAAGACTTGGGGCTGATAAATCAAAGCAGTGCTTCACTTAGGTTTGTGGCTTGTTTTGCAGACCACAGGCATTTGCCAAACCGGTGCCTTCCACATGTTTTGGGGGACAAACCCCATCAGCCCCCGTAAGCATGTGGTGGCTAGGGCTGAGGGGTGCTGTGAGCCTGGATAGCTCAGTTTGGTTAGAGCAGGGTGCTGAGAAGTCTAAGGTTGCAGGTTTGATCATGTTGCGGTCCTGTCTCTTTTTCTGCCTTTACATGTGGTATGTGCTTTGTGACAGGTGCCCATGTTATCCTGCCTGGATAGCTCAGTTGATTACAGTGTGGTGCTGATAACACCAAGACTGCAGGTTCAATCCCTGTATGGGACAGCTGCATATTCCTGCATTGCAGGGGGTTGGACCAGATAATCCTCAGGGTCCCTTCCAACTCTATCATTCTAGGATTTGGAGCGCATGAAGTTGGTAATACAGTGGTACCTCTGGTTATGTACTTAATTTGTTCTGGAGGTCCGTTCTTAACCTGAAACTGTTCTTAACCTGAAGCACCACTTTAGCTAACGGGGCCTCCTGCTGCCGTAGCGCCGCCAGAACATGATTTCTGTTCTCATCCTGAAGCAAAGTTCTTAATCCGAGGTACTATTTCTGGGTTAGCGGAGTCTGTAACTTGAAGCGTATGTAACCTGAAGCATATGTAGCCCAAGGTACCACTGTAGTGCATTTGTAGTGCAATCGTATATAAGTTTACTTAGGAATAAGACCCAGTTCCTCCAGAAGGGCGTTTGTTTGTTTGTTTGTTTGGTAAAGCACTTTTAATACTGCTGTGGAGTTTTTACTATTTATTTTAATAGATTTGTTTGCATATTGTTTTAATTCTGTTATAGTTTAATTACTTTTTAAGTGATTTTCATGTCCAATCACTATTATATTTTATATGGTTTTAGCTTTTGTGTTTTATCTGTGTTGTTTTAATTTGTGTAAGCTGCCTTGAGTTTCAGTCTGGGGAAAAGGCAGGATATAAATAAATATCATAATCATAATTGTGTTGTTATCACTTCCTAATCCTTACAACCACCCTATGAGGTAGGCCAGTTTTATTAGCTTCATAATGTAGATAGACAGCTGAGGGAAGAGAGCGGACTCAGCTATACAGCTGCAAATACAACTTTTAAGTGTGTTGTAAAGTGCATTATAAGGGACGCGGGTGGCGCTGTGGGTTAAACCACAGAGCCTAGGACTTGCTGATCCGAAGGTCGGCGGTTCGAATCCCCGCAATGGGGTGAGCTCCTGTTGCTCGGTCCCTGCTCCTGCCAACCTAGCAGTTCGAAAGCATGTCAAAGTGCAAGTAGATAAATAGGTACAGCTCCAGCGGAAAGGTAAATGGTGTTTCCGTGCGCTGCTCTGGTTCACCAGAAGCGGCCTAGTCATGCTGGCCACATGACCCGGAAGCTGGACGCCGGCTCCCTTGGCCAATAAAGTGAGATGAGCACCGCAGCCCCAGAGTCGGACCTAATGGTCAGGGGTCCCTTTACCTTTAAAGTGCATTATACAAATGTGACACTAGATGACGATGGTGAGCTATGGCAAATTCAATATATTTTTTTCAAAACTTTTTTTAAAAAAGCATTTTCACAACTTTTTTTATATGTGTCTAGATTCCACCAGGGATTTGTGAACTAAAGGCAGAGATGAGTGTTGACCTCAGCCTCTCTAAACCCCATTAAGATTTCTCAGTGGCATGATAGGCTGGAATTCAAGAGGTGCAGTTCTCCAGCATTCAATCACCATAGCACAAAAAGCTTTACTTGCAAACTTCCAGTAGCATGCGACACAGGAAACTTGGCAGTGAAACCAAAAAACCAAAAAAGGGTGTTGATTTGTGTTTATTACATGTAGGTGAAATACATGGTTTGATAGTGTGGGGCTGGTTGAGAGGCAGTGAGTGTCTCAGTCTCACCAAGTGAGCTTCAAGGTGGAAGAGGCATGGAGATGGAACATTGCTTAGTGGTAGAGCACATGCTAGCATGTAGAAGGACCTAGGTTCAGTTGCTGCCATCTCCAGTTAAAAGGATCAGCCTAGCAGGAGGTGGGCGGGGGCGAAACTTGGCCTGAGATGCCGGACATCCTTTGCCAGTCAGATTAGACAATGTTGGGCTAGATTCCATTCACCCTCTTCCATCCAAACCTGAAATTTTATGATATGGCTGCATTTGCATGTAATGCTAAGTTTATAGGCCTAAACTAGGGTTAGTAGAACTGAAGTTCAGGAGTGGGGAAACTGTGGCCTTCCAGGTGTTGTTGGACTACAGTTCCCCTCACCTCTCACCACTGGCCATGCGGGTGGAATTTGGAGTCCAACAACATCTGGGGGGGAGCTTCCCCATCCCTGACTTAGTTGGTATATTCCAGCTGTCAACTGCAACTGTGAAAACATTCACCGCTCTGCAGTCCAGGGTTCCTAGGTTTGCTCTATTTGCAATGTTTGCAGTGCCATTGAACTCAAGGAAATAGGTGCTTTGGGTCTTTTGAGACCTATTCCTTATGGAGAATTATATTCTGCAAAGCAAGCACAGACCAAAGCAGAGTGGCTTCAGGATTGCAGCTATAGCCTTCAAAGTGCCTTGCAAGTGCTAATTAACCCATCCCTTCATTCTATAAATAGGTAGGAAATGCTTTGATGGGGTAGCACAAGAATCCAGAAGTCTGCGAAAGTAAATGTGGAAATATTAAGAGCAGCAATATATATCAAAAGGATCTCTTCACTATCTTTTGACTTTATTTTCTCTCTCTCTCGTGCTTTCCATTGAAAGCTTTTTGTGGGACCGGGATATATATTATTTATTCATGCATAATATTTATATACTCTGTTTAGTATGCAAATTCCCTAGGCGGGTCACATAAAAGATAGTTAAGATCATTAATGGGAGAAAAGGAAAAATCTATATCACATTACAAACAAGAATATGAAGAAATCTATCAATTAAAAATAGGGAAACTGTCAATAAAACATTCAGTAAAAACTCAATGAAAGAACAAAACACGAAGATGAGATGAAGGTTACAAACCACTGGAAGACTGGCCAGATAGATGGATCTTCAGGAGGCTTTTACAATTTGCCACAATTTGCTTCCGCCTCACAAACAGCACATGGGAGGGAGTTCCAGATGTCGGTGCCACAACCAAGAAGGCCATGTTGGCTGGGGCTGATGGGAATTGTAGTTCAACACACCTGGAGTACACCATGGTGGTGGAAAATGCTTAAAGCATTACGCTGTGTTGTCACAAACCCAATCTTCTGGTTTGGGGTTAAAAGCCTGTGGAGGAAAATTCATCTGTCAATATATCTATAAGATCTTTAGTTCGATTTGCATCAGGAATATTTACCATAAAACAACAGGATTCCCACACAGCATTACAACAGAGCAGGAACTGGGAACCTCTGACCCTGTGGATACTATTGGACTACAATTCCTATCATCCTCAGCCAGCATAGCCAATGGTCAAGAATGATGGGAGTTCTAGTCCAAAACTACCTGAACAGCCGCAGGTTCCCTAGCCTTGCAATAGAGGCAACTCTGCAATTAGTGGTTTGTGGGCTGTGAGGCTTCATGAGACATGACATGACAGTTTAATGAACAAATGGGCAGGGATGTGGGGCGGGAAATTTCCCAGGTTGTTAATTTTTTTGGGGGGGTGAATCTGTTTCATAAGTTCATTAGTAACAATGAGCGGATGCCAACTGCAAACGGAGGATTAGGCAAGCTTTACAATTTCAAAGCGCTTAACTTTGTTTACTAAATATGAGTAAAACAAGACATGCGGAATTGGATCACTCTCCAAGGCATCAGTCAATTTTCAAATGTAAGCTGGAAAAAATGCTATGCAAATTATGCTAATCTGCATAGGACCCCCCCCCCCCCGAACATTGTCCAGAAAATCCACAATACTGCAGGCACTGCAGGTGGGGAAAGGATAAACAGTATATAAACTACTGGGGATGGAAGGAACCTGGACATGGTCTAAGAAGATCAGCTGTTTTCATGGGGCTATACAGAGGCATCTGTTGTACATAGGACCTCACTCTCTGGGCTGACTTCACCTCTCTTCCACCTGCCTACTGGATGTGTGGGACAATAACTGGATAAATATCTATCCATTCGGTCACAACAGGAAAGTTGGTGTGGGCTTCTTTGGCTCCTAGAGAGTCTGTTGGTGTTAAAACACTGGCAGAAGCTGAACTGAATGCTCAATCCCTGCTGGGGGAGCACATTATATTACCCTGAATACACGGGGACTCTTGAGTATAGCTACGTACATTTATTGCAGGAAATCTGCACTCGATAGAAGACCCAAGTTTTGTCCAGCTACGAGGACAGATCCGCACAATGCACAAGAACCTCCAACACACATTTAAAGCACATGACCACCTGCCCGAAAAGAGTGCTGGGAATTGTAGCTCTTTAAGGGGGAAACTACAGTTCCCAGATTCTTTGGGGGAAGTTGCCCTGAAAGGTGGAGATGCTAAACACCAAGGGTCAGCCCCTGAATTTCCCTTTTAGTGCTAGAGCAGGACTGTAGCTTTAGTACTAAAATTCACCTAGATCTGGCATAGATGTGCAAGAGGCTATCTACCCACACATTCCTAACATCTTAGCCTCCCTAAGGGAGGAGTGTGACCTGTGATGCTCATCTAGATTACAGGGTATGGCAAGCAGAAAGCAGGAAAGGCCAGGGGGCATCCCAACAAAGCTGCCTATAGGAAAACAACAGAGCTGACTCAAAACAGGCAGGCTACCATGCTGTTCACATACAGATGTGGAGCAGGTGGAAAAATCTGGCCACAGATCTGGCCCGGAGGATAATAGGCATGTGGTTTTGGCATGGAAGACCCGGCAGTCAAATAGGTTGTTCTGTGCCTTAGAAGAGGGATTCCCTCCAACCTTCCAGAAGGTGCTGGACTCTAGCTCCCAGCAAGCATGGCCAGTTTATTTACATGACTATCCCTCTTTTCCTCCAGAAAGTTGAAGATGGCAGGCATGGCCCTCCCTCACCACATTTCATCCTCACAGGAACCCTGTGAGGTAGGCTAGTCTGAGAGGCAGTGACTGGCCCAAGGTCACCAGGTGGGCAGGGATTTGAACCCTGGCTTCTCACCACTGCACCATAT